ACATTACTACGCCCGACATCACAAAATACGATCTTACACCCCAGAAATAAAGAACGTTTTCCACCCGCCTCCACTGGCGAGACAAAGGAGCTCAACCAATTTTGCCAAAAACAAACCCTAACTCTAGAGGGATATAGTTTGTAATTTATGTGACGCACCCACTCACGTGCTACGAAAACGCAACGTGACGTCACGCGGCTCAGGCCTCCGTGAGCATATCAAGGGTATCTTTTCAGTAAAACTAACCCTAACTATGTTATTCTAGAATATTAAATTTTCAGTCTTTATGTAAAAATAAGTTTCGAATTTTAATTTAAAGACAGTTAATGATTTCAGTAAGACGATTCCAGAATAACGATTCAGTTGACAACTGTATTTTGAGAAGTCCTGAATTTCAAAAACTGTTCTTATTCAGCAGTAGAGTGGCAGCCTCGGTCGTCAGGTCCCTAATTCCCAGTGTAGAGCGAGGTGGCTCGTCTCGGGAGCGTGTGCTCTCTCATCTCCTTAATTCGTCCTTCGCCGCAGCCCCCTTAATTCTCCCCTGTAGCATTGCCGCGAGGGAGGACGCTCACTCTCTTGTTAACCCGAGTTCGCCCTCTTATTTATACCGTGTGGAGGCAGGCGGGGTGAGCGGGCGGTGCAGAAGCAGGGGACCCTATCGACGTCCGTGTACGCCGGCTCTATGTGTACGTGAATTAAGAGCGAGTCGGCTTTCATTTTACTAAAGCTGCTACGCTCGTGTGCTCGCCTTTCAGCCGCGGCATACTGGTGTGCGACCACCCACGCGAGCTATTCTCGACCCTAAGACGGGGAGATAAGGTCACAAACCCCTCGTCTAGGCTCACCCGCCTTCAGCATTTTATAACTTTAGGGGGGGACGAGGCGGTGGAGTTTTTGTGAGTGGAAGGACTTTTTTGACGTACGTTTTTTATGTTTTACTCGGTTAGGGTTCGCTAAGATAACGACGGCTCACTGAGAACGAAACTCGTTCTTGCAGAAGATACATGTTTGACACTGCTGTGTAACTCACGAGAAGAACTCTAGCTTTTAGGGGTGAGCAGGAAAGTATTTGCTAAAGAAAAAATGACAACGAGAAGAGAAAATAATAGTTACCAATTATTTTGAAGTAGAGCTCAGATGACGAAACTATTCACCAAGTTTGTTATTCAAGATGGGGGCGTTTTGTGGGTGGCTAAGAATACGCACAGCGTCTTCAGAGAAAGTGAAATTTAGCACAAGTTCGGAGAAATACAACCGCGCCCCCGCCCCCCAAGAGCCTACGGGGTGGTAGACTCGAGCGAGGCTTACAACAATTAAGTTTATTCCCTCTCAATTTTTCTATTTGGTGTAACATAAAATGAGCAAGACTTTAGAGCTGAAGGGAATTTTACCGCCGATGGCTAGTTGAAGTTTTGTTTGGAGGTACGAGTACAATACATATTTTTAATAAGAGTTATTAGTCTCTACATTAAATCTGGTTATTTAAGTTATCACGGTTATAGTTTGATAGTTGAAATATTGGCCTATACTTATGTGGTCATTCTCGAGTATCGAGTCTTACTTTTGAAAAAATTGCAGTTCTTCATGTCGGTTGAACGACCGTAGCTAAGGTGTCGGTTAGACTGTTGGTTTGGGGCGGCAGGTGGGCGTCGGGTCGCCGGGCAACGCAACTGGGTCACTCCGGGCCAGCTCCCCACTCTCCCTCCAATTATATACACGCTCGTTACCGGACACGCGTTTTTCAATCACATCCATATTTAATTGGGCATCTAGAAGCCGGAAAATTTGTTTGGACCGTAATGATTTACGCATATTCCTATGTGACATTACGTTCCTTTTATTCTGAATTTTTTATTCACTTCTTGATGCACTTCATTTTGAAAAATCCATTTCAAAATGAAGCTAATTTGTTTATGTGTAATTACGTATATAAATTAGATCAACTTACCTATCACAAGTTTTATGAGACTGATTCGAGTGTGGTTAGTATTTTTTCCTGTTTCATGTTTGTCGGAAAGTTCGTTGGGTATATCAGTATATTCTCCGGAAATCCTTAAGACAGCCCTAACTTGTTGCATGGATGCACCGAGGGTGGGTGGTAGGGGGGCACGTCTTCATAGTGAATGGGCGAGATGTCGCTGGCCACGTGCGCGTATGGAGATTCCCATTGATAACAGTGACCTCGCCCTTATCGCCCAAGGCTTACAACTGCACCCGACATACAGTTCAACCGATAGAAATCTCCGACATACTACCTAACCGACTACGGCCTTTGTTCTTACCAAGGAGATGTTCTTACGAATAATCCACTTTCATATCCATTTGATATTGAGTAAGCCTTTATGTTTACTCACTCTTTTATATTTATATAACTATATAAAACTATTACGTATCCTAAAATTGTTTTGTTACAGTTCGTTTTGGTTTAAATTTTAGAAGATAGAATTACGAAAATATTAACGAAACTTATATAAGTTATTGAAGTATTGCATGGCAATAACTTAACCTATCTTTATTCACTTCAATTAATATTGTACTGGTTTTTGTATTGGTCAAAGTCTAATGGGAGAAAACACTTGGCACTCACGAGTGCATCCGTGTTTCCCACTGAATCCATTAGGTACGAGACGGTCGGAGCAATTAGCATTTTGTAACAAGTGCAGCCTTGACATTGGCTATCGCGCCCTAATGTCGTCGAATCGATCGGTGGAATGTGAACAAAACCATCTCTGACAAACAATAACAATGTAGGGCTGCCATCTAATTCTCTCTATTCTTAAATCTAATTGTACGATATATGCATAATGGAAAGACACAAGTGTCAATAGGTTTCTTTATCTTCACTTTAGTTATTCTTTAAAGTCCACTAAGACATGATGAATCTCGTAAATATGTGTTTTATCTTCAAAAAAACTAAAACATGTTCGGATGTGATGTTTGAAGAGATGCAGCAATGACAGTTGATTTTCAAATAGTGCGGTTTTTCCGTGGAAAAAATTGTAACGACATGCTCCTTTATAGGAATCCTTCAGGAGGCATTCCCTTGTCTGGCAGCCCTAAGTGTCGACCGATGAATGAGCTGTTAGCGGCACGGGCGCCGGCGAGTCATTACTCGCCCCCATTAATCACTGCAACAATCGGCCGATATCTCGCTATTTACAAACGCGGGAGCACGTGCTCGCCGTACTACGAGTGTATTGACCCATTTAGATAGCTCGACCTTCGCGCGGCCATTGTGAGCGAAAAACATAAAAATAAGTTTTATTGCTGCGTCGTTATGCGTATCGCTGGGCCGCGTCACGCCCGCCGCCCGTCAGCTGATCGCTACGTGACATTTTTATTTTATTCGCTCTCTTCCGGGGATTCTCCGAGATACGTGGTGACGTCACGATCGCGGCCGGATTTATTGAAGCACGCGATGCGCCTCCCCGCAGTGATTTATGCATGTGATGCTCCGTGTCAGTGTTAGCACCTTGAACCAGTCCTGTTATTGCAACGTCGACGTAAACAACACAGTCACGTCCATAACGATTCGCGTTAATTTGTGATACTGTGGTGCATGCGTGAGCCACGATTGAACTACCACTACCTACATGTCACACGTCTAATCTACAATGATTCTATATCGTCAGATGCATATAATGAATTTGAGAACTAAATCTTGAACTGAAATGAACCTTCACATTTGAACTTGATAGTATAAGTATGTATAAATACAAATAAGGTTGTATATTAACCTTATTTGTATTTATCTATCATTTTAAAATATAATGTCATTTATATTATTGGGAACTATAGTTTATACAGTTACTATAGGTACAAAGTCTTTATCTTTATTGTAGACAAAAATTTCTTGCAACCGATCAGTTTTAATCTTAAGATTTAGCATCCCTTTCATCACATTATCTCAATATTTATTAATAACGGCTAAGACAATATTCAATTTGGAATGGATTCTTAACAATGCTTTGAGAATTCCACTCGAGTTATAACTCGCGTTTATAACGGACGATTCTCAGCGAGTCGAGGAGGAAAGATCCAGCCGACATTCCGAGCTGATTCGCCGAACGGTGCGTCATCACAGCTCTGCGTACAAAAAGTTAATATTTTCCCTTTCAACGCATAAATCTGCAACGTGGTATAACGAGTGATCGAGACCGATCGATGGATGGAAATTGACAAGAATAGTTTTTCAAAATCTCCAAACATAATCTTTATTAATATACTAAAAGGGTAATCGGAAATACTGATCCGATCATGAAAATTCTTTCACCTACGGGAAGCTAGGCTACATAGCAGGTTACATAGGCTATAATTCATGCGAGTGTAGTCGCGGGAAAACAGCAAGTTTCAATATAAATGCAGAAAGTTTAAGTCTTGCAAAGAGTTTGAATTGAATAGAGGTTTGTTAAAACAATTATTGATTTTATATTAAATCTATAAGAAACTATGATCGGAGATAGTGTTAGTACAAATTACTTTCAAAATACTTTGCTTGGATGGATATTACTTATATGTGTCAATTCAAACTCTCTGCAAGACTTAAACTATTTCTGCATTTATATTTATATTTTGGTTATCATATGATAACCAAACTGCAATACTAACGTAACTACTTATTTTCAGTTGGTTGGTAATGGTTTGTATCAAACAAAACAACATCAGATATCTCTAATGAAAGGAATATTCGCCAAAAACTGTCGACTGAGCTAGAACAAATAAACCTGAAGGTCACCCAATGGGCAAAGGACCTCTAACCATAACCATTGATACGATAAATCATAATAAACACACCACGAAGCCGCTAGTGCACTGTAAACAATGCGTTTCGGGAGTTCCCTCTTTTTTATGCAGATCGCATTCCTGAGGGATTCCTTTTGTTTGAGTTTACGTTTACTTGTTCATTTTTTTTTCTGTTGTCACGCGCCACCTTGAAATCGTTGAAACGCTATTGATGTTGCATAACGGTGTGGTTAGATTAAGACTTTTTTCCATTTTTTCCATAGACAAGGATTCCCCTGTTTAAAAAAGCATTAGGTTCGATTTGCTTTGCAACTGTTACATTTTGTCTAATTCAATCTCTAAAGATCGTTTCTATACAGATCCGTACTTTAATTCTAAAAATTATAATAATGCAATAAAAAACTATAAAGTAATTTAGTAATTTTAATATTCTTGAAATCTGCCTTTTATACCTAAAACATAATATTAGTAAGCACGAAAAGGTACACTTACACGTTTTGAAAGAATATAATTATACATACTATTTCGTTTATAAAAACGTACGTATCAAAGTTAAAAACTTATACCTACAATAACTTTGTCACTTCATCTCTTTCCCGTGGGCTGGGTGCGAAATAAAAGCTCTACGGCCAGAAGCCCGAGCGCAGCGACCAAACAGGATGTCGGACTGGTTCTCGCACACTCGCACATTATACGGTCGTATACGTGAGCGAGCGATGCACACATAGACGCGCGGCCTCGCCACCGCCGCCGCGCCGCTCACGGAAATGTGCTGCCGAAGGCTCACCTCTATCGCCTACTAAACTGTATACTCGAATACGGCTCTGCATTTTTACAGTACAGATAAAGTTTACAGCGTATATTAAATGGCGACACTGTGTTGTCTTTAAAAATTATTTTATTTTTGAGAATTGACAAACAAATAATAGGTAATAAGCTCGTTTTGAAAAAAAATATATATATATGCTAATTCTATTTAACATACCTAAAGTATACAAATATCCATGGAGAAGGCCCCTGCTCCAGCTAGTGGAGATATTATAATAAGCTAGTTTTCATTAGAGCGTTTTCAGTAAAGTAAAAATGATGAAGCCTATAACTATAACTAGTACCGTTCTTACAAAGAACAAACCGAATATAATTCTAAAGTTAGTTTATGACAAATAAATAATTTAATAAATGAATACAGGTGAATCGCGAGAATTCGTCTAATTGCTATAGTAGAGTAAGTAGGACCATAACAGGTCCATAACAAAGCGGCCCTTTGCAATGAATGAAATTACCGAGACTCGGTCACGTGCGCTATTGTACTGAAACTAAACGAGCTAATGATTAATCGGTCGTTCGATCGCCTCTCGATTTTGACGTAAATAGCGCTATACATCTTCACGACTATGAAATGTTATCAATGAAAGACAAAAAATAAACAAAAAATATTACTACTGCCTATACAGTCGTAAACAATCGAATGAATACGCGTTTTATATTTACATATCGCGTGGGCTCATCATTATATTAGAGCGGCTGAAGAGCAACACAGCTGTTAGACGTCCGTTTTTATACAAAGTTTCTGGATGAAAGTTAATTTTGAGTATGGACACCATTATAATTTGATAGCTCGTATTCTACATATACCTACTTTATAAAATATAATTTTCATTAAATGTATATTGTACCTTCTATATATGTTTGGTTGTATTCTGTACAGTACAATATGTGAAGTGACTTTGGTGAGATGGAACGTAGGTAGCTATAGAGCGCTAGTTAGAGTCGGACGGCCGCTACTCGATGATATTATGTTGCACAGCTGTGTGCACGTGCACAGCACACAGACAGACGCGCGCCTCCGCCCCGCCCGTCCCTCCTCACCCACCGCGCCCGTCCACTCGACATGGCTTAGCGCGCTGTGAAGCAATGCCGTACCGCCATCTATTCCGTCTCTACAATGCCATAGAAAGTTCGTTCGACTCGCCTCGCCGACCGAACTTTTCCTACCTTCTCGTTTTGAACGAGAAGAATCATTATTGCGCCGCTATTCCGAATACGACTTTAACTCGCACGCTAGCGTTTCTTTATGGTTATAATTTTGAATAAGCAGTAACTCCGACCGTCGACGCTACTGCGAGCGACCTGGTTATAAAACGCCGCATATTCAAGACTGGCGATAAAATAAACGTCGGACGTTTTCCAAGTTTCGAGCGGAGAGAACGAACGAGCGACGCGCCGCGCATCAGAAAAAGAACTTTACGACAAGATTAGAAAGAGCGAGCGGAGCGGCAACGTCGCACAGCCGCGTTCCACAGAGGCGCAGAGTGGCAACGCCGTATGGCAACGTCATTTACTAAATTTATTTTCATGAGCGCCAGCGCTGGCGACGACTCAGCTGCACGTTTGGCTCGCGGTCGCCGCGTGATAGCGATGAAACTTGTGGAATTATCTGTTTCTACATATTAATACTGTTCGCGAGGTTATTATAAACGTTGACCATTGCTGCACAACGTTCGAGTCCCCGCACAATGGAATGGCATGTTTTCCAAGCACCGATAAAGGGGTGACGCAAAATGATTATTTGCAGCGTTGCGATGACTCGACGCTGAGTCAACCGCGCGCTCGCAACCGTGCCAGCGCGCCCCAGCGACTTTGTCCGCGTTCCTGATTTCGATACCTACTATACTGACTGACTTTACTTTTTATGCAACTTCGTTCCAATTTAATCATAATTCTTAAAAGTCTTTTTAGTTCCGTTGAGTATATAGTGTTGTAGATTAAAACGTAATAATAGTATTTAATGTCGAATAATAGGCTGGAGTATTAAGTAGTACCTAGATGGTTCGACGAAGATGCGTGTGCCATCTAATTGTTGCGGCAGGTGCACAGGCATCTGCGCCTGCTGGACGTCGCCTTTAGCTATTTTATTTATTTTCTGACGGCTGCGATGAAACATGCATCGTTTGCTCGCCCGTAGTTGCGAAACACAGCCGTTTGCCAAGCAAACTAGCAATGTATGCAGCAGCATGCTAATAAAACTCAATTTTTAGTGTGGCAGGAGTCACTGCGTGTTTGTTACTTGCCACTCATCAAATTGTAGTAGCATGGTAGAGTGCCTGCAGCTGCTATTAAACTATAGCTAGTGTTCAAGTTTAAATAAAAAAAATCTATAAAGAAATATTACTCTCTCCGTAATAAATCTACTTTTATGATAAATTTGTTTATCTTACAGTATTCGAATGACTTTTATTATAACTTGCTAGTCCATTTATCAATTAATACTCATTTTGAAGTTCTTTAAAGTGCAGAAGAAATGTTAAACTTCAGATGTAGAGTCGGGATTTTAAATCCCATCGGAATATGTCATAGCACGGTCTTCTACCTGAGCGTACAGTGCAGGGGTGCACCCCGGTCTATCCCAAAAAAACTGAGTAGGGTTCGGCACAATAGCGGACCCTTCCCAGGTACCCCATGTTGCCGCATGACGCACTGCTGTCGCTCTATGAACGAATACATTCTTTACTATGCGATACAAAACTAGAAAAGGAGGATTTCTTTGAGACTTGAAAAGGACTTTGCGGATAATTTTATTTTTATTATAAATGCTTTATCATTAAATTCTCTAATTCAAATTCAAAAACATAACACGGAACGGACAAACCGACGGATTATATCTATGTAACTATTTTAGAAAATAATAATAAAGAGATACTTTAATTTCTAGTTTCTATGAGAATATCGGAAACGTATTACGAAAATATATGAATTTAGAGTATATACATATCACACTTAGTAGTTTCGAGGTTTTATATTTTAATTCAAAACCCGGGATGGTTATATTATATAAAATATGAAAGTTAAACGTTGCTTCTGTTTTTGTCCCAATTTTCTCACATTTTCCAATGAGCGCGGAGCTCGGTGCCGGCCTCCAACGGTACTTTCGACGCGGCTCGGCTCGTACCAGCTTTACCCGAATATTTCGTTGCCAACCCACACACCATTGTTCCATGACGTCTTTCTATCATTTATTGTATCTGTAACTTATACATACATCCGGAACAGGTTTTCTCATGAACTTATTCATTGTAAGTCTAGGCTGTGACTGAATTTGAGGTTTTAATTTTCTGAAAGTGTTGATCATAAAAATCATAGACAAATTTTCGAAAACACCTTTGACTAAAGTTTTAAATTTTTAAGCATAGAGTATGAATATTTTAGTGTATGTAAAGAAACCATAGAAAGTAATGAATTCAAATATTTCTTGTCAATGTCTATTGAAACTTTACTGAATTCGTTGGTAATATTTTAATTTATTTTTTAAGTTCGATGTTTTCTTTGATGTTAATATTATTTTTATCCAGTTTTTGTGTGCTTTTAGTTACTTGTTCTGTACTTCAAGTTAGCACAATGCATATTCCTCAAATATGTCTTATTTTAATCTCAGGTAACTTATGCACTTGGTAAAGATAAAAAAACGGTAACATTAGTAACAGACTTGAAACATGATAGAAAACTTCACGTTCCACAATAATTCAATCCCAGTAAAACAAGACTGGAAAGCGATTCCAGTATGTCTGAGCTAAAATCATCATACTATACGTGTTAATGCTTGATTCGTGTCGATTGTTGTTTTCTAACGTGGATTTTTTTATGGTATTGCAGGGCTCGGGCGGCGGGTGCGGCGCCAAGCGGCGCGCCGTCTCTCCGTGCGAAGGCGGCGGGAAAGTCGCGCGCTGGGAAGATTCGATAGCGAGGCTCGAGGCCGTGGCCGCCGGCGCTGGCGGCGGAGACTGCTGGAGAGAAGACGAGGAAAGGCGCGCGTGCCGCCGCCGCTGGTGCGGTGGTTGGTGCGGGGCGCACGAAACTATACGAGCCGAGAATGGCAAATCCTACCTCGAGTTGGGTGCCGCCGCAGCGCGCGCCTGCTGCGATGGTCGCGCCGCAGGACGTTGTGCATCGCGTCGCTGTTACCGCGAACGACGCCACAAGATGATGAACCTCTGCGCGCTAAAACTGGCTCGCTTCCGCCAGACGGCGGATCCGTCTTTGAGGCGGTCGGTCCTCGTCTGCAATACCCTGCGAGGCATCGAACGCGAAATGGAGAGGGAGAGCGCGGAAGAAGCGCCTTTCGAGCCCGCTTGCGTAGCGAACGGTGCTGCGCGGTGCGAACTCCTCAGTGCGAGGGACCCTGCTGCGGGGCGCGCCACCCCATTCCCGACGCCCCCGCCACCGGACCGCGATTCAGGTTACGGCGACGAGGAGCAGCGCACCATCGACTGGGGTTCAGTGCTGAGCTTGTCGTCGCGGTCTGCGCTGGACCCGCCCGAGGACGCGTGGCCCGACGACTGGGGCTGGAGCGAGGACAGCTTCGTGCGGCTGCTGGTGCCGACGAGTTAGTGCTCGCCGCGCGGGCCGGAGTCGCCCGCGCCGCCGCCCTGAGCGCCTGTGATACGCCGCGGTGAAGCGGGCAGCCGCTGCCGCGCGGCATCTAGTCGGTCCCGGACGCGGCGCCCCCGCGCCCACCGCGCGCGCATGCGGCGCCACGCTGTACGCAGTCAGTAGTTAGTATTATATAATTGCTAAAGGGAAGGTGCTAGCTTCGGACGTGACGCAGGACTATGACGCGAGCCGAGTTATTTTTGATAGTTTTATTTTCTTTAAGTGAATTCCAAACCGAAACTGAAGTGACTTAGCTAAATGACGTTTTATCGTTTAAATTAAAAACTCGGGTGTTTGAAATTTTTGTTGAAATTATTGTGTAATTAATTAGGTAAAATACTATATTTATTATTTCGTTGGAAGAACGTGATAGTTTGAAATTATTTCTGTCTTGATATTTTCAATGTAATGTAATCTGAACAACGAGATGACTATGATTGGGTTATGTTTCACTTACAGAAATCCCCTTTCGTAGAAGTGTGATCTTTACAAATTAATAGATTTAATGAACTAGGTACCTCTTCTTTTTAAGTCACTAATGTTACTTCCGTTGTCGATTTATTACAAAATGAAACATCAAAGAGCACACCTCTCACGAATCAGATTTCGTTCAGTACCTACGCCAGACGAATAGTGTGGACATGTGCCGCAATTGTTGAACGCACGACAATGTTTCCGCTAGATGATGTATTGACGGTGATGACCGTCCGAAGGTGCAGACTTAATGTAAGTTCATTGGAACAATGACGAACAAATGGCGTCAACGAGTACTTAAAATGTATGAACTTTCATTAGTTTTGCATCCACCAAAACCAGTGCGGCGACATTGTAACTGGATGTCAATTAGGTAGCCTTACCATGTGACTACGAAAGTGTCATGTTAGCAGCAGGAATATGCATGTGAATAATTGGAATTTGTAACAACTGACTGGCCGCCCTTAGGCCCTTCTTGAACTGCCCTCCTTAAATTGGAATTGCATAACTATACTCACTCGAACGCCTCCTAACAAATGTTTTTACTTATAGCTATTTAAGAAATCAACGTTTTAGGCTTACAGTAAACTCATCGAATAATTTATTTCGTAATTAACCGTGAATCACAGTTCCTAATAAGCAATTAAAATTACGGTAATTTATTTGCTGCATTGATTCTAGTTTTGTACGGATAATTTTGTTGGAAGGCGTCCGACCTTTACGTATCTTAAAAAGTTATCAATATATAGATATTTAATTAAAAAAAAACACATTGGAATTTGAAGTTATTGATTTACAACAAAAATTGTAATCATAGATACCATAACCCGTCGTTTCTAAATGAAGAGATCTAGTCAAAACTTACGACTGATCATCGGTGAGAAGTGAACTCATGGAACAGGCGAATGATATGTTCTCTCATTAGTAACATCGGGTTGTGCGCGACGCGCGTGAAATGAAATGTAAATGAATTTGGCGGCATTGGGATTTGTGGTTAGGACTTTTGTGACAAGTTCATTTTTTCCGATAAAAGTCTCACTACCCTTACGTATTAACTCGACACATGAAGGCATATTCTATTTCTCCGAAAACGAAACTTTATTTATTTTCGAAATGCTAATAAGACTCCAAAAGAAAGCATTTTTATGATGCATTGGACCTAACACCGACTCTGATGCCCAGAAAATCTTTGTATGGTTTTAACAAAATTATAAGACGTTCGAGGACAAATAGAACAAGCCTGCAAGGGTCGTGTTAATTCGTAAGGGTAATATGCATCTTGAAAGTGAAAGCTCTTTAGGTTAATTTTAATACTACTTTTACAACTAACCACTCTCCCTTTGAATCCTATTAGTAAGCGCTATACACGGAATTGGAAATACACGGACCAAACATAAGTAGCACGACTTTTGATAGAGCAAAGTACAAATTTCAATAAAGTAGGATGCATCAGTGCTCTGGCGCATGTTTGTCCACTGTTGTCAATTACTCAAATATTTGAATTGTGATTCGGTAGCTAATGAGAGAAAACTCTATGTTCTTAAATTTAGTGTACATATTATATACGGAGATGGGCATTATGGCGCGATCACCCGCGGCCGTTGTAAATACATTATTGTAAATTAATAATTTTATTGATATCTGTGTCGACTGTCGGTAGCAGCTCACGGCTCCGCTACACACCGTGTTGTATTATACAACCTCTAATTCTGTCCATATAAATTCGAGTACATAACAGTTTAACATGTTACATATTAATGCATTTTAATATAAGATGTCACAAAATCTATCGCCAGTACAGATTAATAAGATACACGAACAAGTTTAGTCTTAGTCGAGTTTTGAACTCGCGCACTTGATAACTGAATTCAGCTCAATCTATTTGTTTTATGGTTTATTTTTGCGTAGATATTTTTTTTGTTAAACATGTCCGTATGGTTGGTTGTGATGGTTTACTTAAGTAAGTTAGCGACTCTTCGGCAAACTACTCTGTTTGACGTGTCTACCTACATACATATTTAAATACACATTTGTACTAACGATTTTGAGTCGTTCTCCGTCTACCTCTACGACACAGACGTATATTCAACTACGGTTCTATTTAATTTGGAGGTACTTAATATATAATAAGTTATCTTTTTTACACAGCCAAATATATTTTCTTACTGAATTTTAATGGATAAACGTCTGTGCGATTGGAGATATTCCGACTGCTTGCAAATTATGTACAAACTATATTTGATCAGCTCCTTCATCCTGTCATTTTCATTATATAAAATTGTAGTTTGAAATGCTCAACATGATTGTTTGATTGACTTTTTTTCGGTGTTGATCTTTTGTATTAGGCTATATAAGTGGATGCATTATTCTAAAACAGATTATATCAAGTGTAAGGTTCATTTATTCTACAGACAACGAGCGCACCTGAAACTGGCACAGACACCGACAGACATTGTTCCACACAGTCCTGCATATAGCCAACTTATAGCACAGTCACAGTCCGTGTATGTCGGCGTCTGTGCGTGTCTGTCGGCGTTTGTGCATGTCTGTTGGCATCTTATTTGTCTGTGGCGCGCTTAATACCTGTAGATATAAACGAACCTTAGCGTTTGTGACGTGATTGCCATAGCAGTTGGGCGTGCGGCTCTCGCGGCTCAGATGTGATAACAGCAATAATTATGACAGTCTTGTTATTATATTCGTCTTCTTCTCGTGGGCTCTTCCAAGAAGGGACCACGTTTTCTTCATACGTAACTTTAAAAATTACATTATTATAAGTGTAATAATTGATATCTTAGTGTTTTCTTTTTCATTGCCATTGGTTACCAAAAATGACAGGATTTTTATTGAAACATTTGTGAATATATTTTAGAAGAAAATACTCTCATTAGAATGTAGTGAAACTAATTTTGAATAACTAATGTTTGCACATCGAATTGTTAATACGTTCCTCATGTTAAAGTTATTCGAAATTGTTTCTCTAATTGTCTAATGTAAGATATATAATTGTAATATATTATTGTTTAAGCTGTTGTGTCGAAAATAACAAGAACAGGAATAATTTTGTGAAACAATGGCACAAAGATGAACATAAATATTATATATATTATAGAAACAGAAATGTGGCTATAAGAGCAATTTTTATAATAAATATTTACTGTTGATGAAACTTGACTATTATTTGAACTTCCCTATCTAACCATTTGAAATATCAGCTGACCTATCCGATGAATAAGTTATATTTGTAAAACTCCATGAATATAATTTATTTCTAAGCTTTTATTAAACTATATATATAAAAACGACTGCAAACAAGATGTAAAGAAAATATCTTAGCTTTGAAATTCTTTTAATACCAAAATAAAATCTTATTTTGTGTAGTTTAAACATCAAATAACACTGAAAAAATGTGCGCAGATGTAACTATTCTTGGGGTAGGTAGAATTCTTTTTTTGGAATTAATATAATTTTTCTTAGTTTTTGATGCATAGATCATCTTTTTTCAATTTAAGATTATGTTATTTTCCTAATTACATTATAATAAAACTTAGTCCGTCTTATTATAAGAAAGGTATATCATGAGTAACTGGTTTATACTATTATCCGACCAAATTAAGTCAACACTTAGTAATTTTCAATGCCTTACTAATAAGTCAATCCTCAATGCTTTGCAAACCAATAAGAATCAAGTACCAACTTCACTCCACGTTTTATAATAAGATGGTATTTGTTTTAAAACATTTTGACGGAAAACTAAATGAGAAATTAAATTCATGACATTATTGAGTGCGAATTGAATTCGTATACAGCATACAACTTGGCTTTTTTTTTCTAAAGTTCGCAATTTGCAAATCGATACTAAACATTTCATGCGAGATACTAAATCGATTCACGCTCGATAATTATTGAACTAATACTATGAAATTAAAACGGCAGTGCTTGGAAGTTTTAAACTTTAATAAAATCTACATTAAAAATCAATACATAATACAAAATAAAATCTGAATCGAACCTCAATTATGGAATTTTCTGAAAAACTACTTAATACTTCTATGGCGTATCACAGAAAGTTCTTACAATATTTAGCTACACCCTTATTAAATAACACATATTTATAAAACTATATTAATATGACAATTCTTATAGTATCACAAAAACTTTTAACTTTGTAATAATTGACGCGTGTTACACCAATTTCCTTCTAATTATGAATTGATTTCTGAACTAAAAAGACAAAACACTATCTAGCGTTCATCTAGAGGAAATATTTTTCGGCAATCAGTGGCTGCAACACAGTGGCCAACCAGGTTGTGTAATATTGCAATCAGATCCCATAGATCCATAGAACCAAAAAACATTTCTGTGATGGCCTGACAATAAGTTGCCGATAGTGCAACCATTAATAGCCGAAAATATTCTCCGTTTAAAAGAACCGTCGAATGTATTGTAGTATATTTTACTTATTATATAACTTTACTTCAAATGGAATCATAATGTTATTAAAGGAATTATACTGAAGCCTATTTGGATTTTTTTGCAAATAACAACTGATTTGTTTAAGTATTCATTCACCATCAGCAGAATTATTTTGCACACCGTGTAGAGTTCTCTTGTGTTTCCACATATCACCAGAGCGTCTAAAATGGAAGTATTATAGATTAGTCATCATCACAGGCCTTACCAATAAGCAGCGGATAAGCTTTGTATAATAATACAGTGTATTATCTTTTTCATTTGTGCTAAAAATCATATTGGAATGTCGTGGACAGAACTATATGTAACTAAACAACGATTATAAGTTTCTTATTAGTAAGTGTTTATATTGACGGTAATTCAGAGGAAAACGGCTATTTCTATTCTATTTCATACGTAAAATAGACCTAGTATGTCAATGATTGTGCAATGCCGCCTATACAACCGAAAGTCGACTATACTATTTATATTATACTAGCTCTCCGCTAGAGGCTTTCCCCGCGTGGTCCTGCATTATACCTTGCATATAAATCTTCATCTTGTATCTCCGTACATTATGAACATCCCACTAAAATCCGTTAGGTATTTAAAAAGATCTCAGCGTATAGAAACCGGGAAGTGAATTTAATTCATATTATTGGAAAAAAACAGCTAATGTGGCTCACCGAACTGAACGTTATACATCTGAAAAATTTGGTTCCATTCTTACCTAAAGGCGGTGCCACATACGTCGCATTCGTGCGGTTTCTCCCCGGTATGGATGAGTGTGTGCACGGTGCGTGCATACGGCCTCCGGAACGCTGCCCCGCAGATGTCACAACGATAGGGCCTACGACAACGTATTAGACAACATCACATATGTACAGTCAACAGCGCGTCAGATTAAAAAAAAACGGTCAAATTTCTCCATTTCATTTTGAACCTTAATGATATGAGGTTAGAGTTTAAAATGAACTGATGAAATTTTAAATATTATATTAACTTGACGTGTAGCCGTGTGTATACTACTTAGATTCCAACATGACTAGCTAAAAGCCTTCGCCTTATGGAGTATTTAAGATAACAAAAGTACCATAACACCCAGACCCGAAACAATATAGACGACCGGGAATCCAACCCGAGACCTGAGAGATAACGACACCTTGTAACCGACGTGCAAATCAATCGACTACGGAGATCCTCTGAATACTATCTAATTGCGCCCGGCAATACGATAGACAGAGACAGAGGATGGTGGGTTGCGCGGCAGAATCGGTGGTTTGGTGGCAGAATTTGTGATTTTGTATGTACGCGCCCTCTTAAGCTTCCACTAAAATAGCCATTAACTAAAATAGCCAAAAACAAGAAAGCGATTTTCCATAAAACGACACCGGGAATTTTGTATGAACTTGGTTTACATGGCATTTACATTCAACAAAAAAATGTGTAAAATTGCAATCGTAAACGAAATAAATTTAAAATGTGTATACATTTTTCAGATAAGTATAAGCTTGACAAATAATATCCAATATGTATATACCCATACCGTTTACAAAATTAAAGAAAAAAATACACTAGTGATTGCAAATGTAAAGCTTAAATATAATCTAGCTTGTCGTAGTATAGCAAAGCTTAAAAATAATCTAGCTTGTCGTATTAAGCTTTCCACGAAAAAAGTATGTAACAAAGAACACTCTACTAATGAATGAAGTCGTCAGGTAAAATAAAGAGTTAAAATTAGACGATATATTTATAAATTATTAGACCACGTGCGGGAAAAATCTAAATATAGACGGGATATGTAAGAATACGTCATCACCACATTGCAGACATATATGACCGACGGCTAGGTAAGTGTACGTACCGTCATACTTGACGGTCTCTCGATTATAGTTTATGACGTCATCACGACATTTCGTACTGCTTAATGAAAGCTTTTGCATGTAGTTTTGGGGCAAGGCAATTTCAGTCATTGCTGAAGGGCGCGAACAATCACTAAATCGCTACTTGTATACTATTTTTTGTATAAAGAAATGTTTAATGTCATTTCTTTATACAAAAAATATCAGTATAATAAAAAACAAGCTATAATAAAAGTAAAAAAAACGATATTGTATTGTATCTGTTATAGCGATCTTTTTTATTGTCCCTATAGAAAAAAAGTAGTATATAAAACTTTTTTTACAAAAAAAAACAATAAACATGGAATTCACTTTATTGTCATGGGAATTATGCAGCACTTTTACAGTAATCGTTATGGTTTGCGAGTAATTATTCAATGTAATTTAATTAATTAATTTAATAATTTTTGGTGCTGTATGCTACAGATTTACCGTATTCAAAATATTTACATTTGCATAAATAAAATCTAATATACAAAAACTTAATTAGAGGTAGATACATATAAATATAAAAAGCTTATTATAAATTAAAATATTATTTAGCACTGTGAATATAATCAAATAATTTAAAAAACTTAGTATTTCAGTAGGTTAAATATAATTCACTTTCAGTGAAAAAGGTGGAAAATTTCCTTGAAAAAAAAAATATCTGCATCAATTATCATTTCAGCGCCATCTTTTAACAAACAATACGAATTAAACAGCGCTTTTCACCTAAAATTAAATACATACCGTTAACTCAACTCAGAGCTAAGTTGTTAATTTTAATGTGGCCAGAAAATCACACGGCTTTCAGTTTATAGACGGTTTATGGGGTATGAAAACCGTTCATGCGACATAAAGTTTGAGAACCGGCTACGTAGGTAACCAGGAAAGTCAGATTGCCCATTCTAAATTTGCATTTAATAATTCCATGGTGATATCGGTAGATAGTTCAGCTACATCCGTTTAAGTTGGATTTTTATAGCGATCAGGTTTTTTTTTATATATATTTACTTTACCGTGAATAGTATTTATGATATATTGTAATATTAAAAACGTTGTGGCTAATTTTCGTAGCTCGGTGGCACGAAAATTAGCCACAACGTTTTTGGCTAATTAGTAGTAGATTTTGTATTTGGCTGATTAGTAGTAGTAGAAAAGCACCGCGGCCCACCATCGTTATTATTAAACAATTTACTCAAAGGTTGGTTACGGGATGGGTGACCAAAAATATTGTCTTCTCCGTGCTTCGGAAAGCCGTTGGTCCCGGCCGCATTTGAATCCGCATTGAGCCAGGGCGGGGGTCATGGCCCATCCTCTTTTACCAATCCATAAGGAAGGCCTGAGCCCCTGCAGTGGGGACGTAAAAGGGCTGATGATGATGACGATTATTGGTGCCGTATTTCATATCAGCTACTAGTCGTTTCATCAGTAACTTCGCTTGCGCAAATAATAGCATAATCACCTACGTATTATTTCCTTCTCTAACACCATATTACAATATCAGATATAATATTTGCTGCTACATTTACTTACTTTATCTATGCTTACATAATAAATTAATTATTAATCCATTTCGCTAAGCGGAATCCTGGCCAGTACCCAAGTCTTCAGTTTTTCTTAAATACCACAGAGTATTATTTATCCTGTCACTATCGTAACAAAAATATTAAAACGAAGAAGATTCCACAACGTAAAACAGGTCTTCTTGGCTGTTTTTAAAACTACGACAAGCTAGATTATGCGTCACTGCTGGGAGCAGATGCCTCGAGGGACTGGTTTCATACGACAATTTTATTCCACCTACTTATAAAAAAAGTTGTTTGTCTAGAAAAACCGTGCTAATTTAAAATAACACGATAACGTTTCAAAATTGAAGGACTAATACCTATCGATGAAAATGTATGAAATTATATTTAAGTTAATGAATACTATATTAATATCTACTTATATTCCGGGGATAACCACTCTAGACATGGAATACAACATCTTAGCCATATTATGGCAATATTTCATTCATTTTACTACTTTAATAAGTCTATTGGTGGTTTAATCTGGTGGACTTAACACTGTTGTCGATGGATAATTCATTCTTTAATAAAGTACAAATCCTAACCATAAAATATACCTATTATTTATAAATTTCATATACCGATAATGTATTCAGGATTCCTGAATACTTGATTTATTAAACTAATTTTCATAAAGTTTGAAAAGCTAACCCCAAACTTTAAATCCTCTTTACAACATTTTGTAAATATTTACTGTAATTACCGATTTAAGGTCCGAATTGAACTCCAAATATTTTTTATACTCATATATAGTAAAAATATGTTAAAATGTACTTTCATTCAAAACTACGTTCATTTATTATAATGTTATTTATATGAGTTCAAAGCGGACCTTAGGTAAATCTGTAATTAGTCATTACAAACATTATGTTCTAAAGAGGATTTAAAGTTGACTTTCGAAATAAATCAATTTAACAAAAATCCTGAATAAATTATAGGTATTTGAAATAGGTACATATTTATTTTATCATCTCGATAACATAAGCTATAATTTTAAAGGTAAATAGCTAATATTAAAGTATAAAAAAGAAGGAATTTCCTTTGTAAGGTCTGTTACTTCTTTATATTTTAAGTTACATATAACACTTGACTTTAAAAAAGAATAAAAAATATGTAGAGATTGTAATTATGATTTAAAATAATAAAAAGTTTACCTGACTCAGTATAAAAGACAACATATATTTATATATAACAGGTATATAAAATTACATCACAATAGTGTTTGAAAGTCTGTTTATTCAGAAAAATTTAATACTTATACTACACATTTTATGCGATGACAAAGTTCTAACCACAATTTACTAACTTAAAAACTGAACACATAACGCCATCTACATATCACTAGAGTAATATTTAGCATCCTGTTTCGATGACTTGCCCGTGGAAGCGCTAGTTTCTATGCGGTATCTGTTTGCATATTAACATCTATATGTATATAATCAATAAGTGCCTAATTGTTAAATAATTTATTTTACAGACAATATCTGCAATGTCATTGAGGATGTACAGCATTTGTTGATGGAATGTGGCAAAATCAAAAATAAAAGAGAGTTACTGCTGGCGGAATTTGGACTTAATACTGTCGATGTTGACTTACTGCAAGATATACTAGCGAATCCCAAGCGTATGCCATAAAAGATGTAGCTAAGAAATTGTGTAGATTTGCTATAAGTTATAACCAATAATCACAACTATGAGACGATTTTTCAATATTGTGTCCATAATATACAATTTTGGTATTTATTTTAAGGCCCTACATTATTGTCATATAAACCTCTATTTCTATGTTATTATGGAGTTTTGTGAAACTAATGTAAAAGGTACGATGGGGTTGACATATCCATATGGATTAGAACCCGAAACAAAATTCAAGATTTAAAAAATATATTTTTACAGAAAGGTCAATGGAACATCCAGTCCTTTATTGGACTTGATTATTTTTTCAATATTAGTAATGCCAATTTTAGGTAAGGAATAAGGTCAGAGATCTAATTTAATATAAGATTATATGTAAGTACCAATAAAATCTGCCACTATATAAAAGAAGTAAAATTTTGAAAACTTTGTAAAATTTTGTTACGCTGATATGATATCTCAGGAATGACCACTCATCTACTACTTATTATATTTCAAAATTATTTCTAATTGATGTAAATGATAAACCCTCGTGCTATGACAGCATTCGAGTTGCTCTGCTAGATCGATCAAGTAGAGTGAATCTGGGAATATCTTCAATTAATTGTTTTAAAATTATGGAATCTGACGGTCTTTGTGGGTGAGGCTCATCTTTTAAGGTAAAGGCTTCCTTCTATAAATTACGGAAACAATCATTTTGTCGTATTCGAAATAAGTAAAATTCTGCCAAATATTAATAAAATATCCTTATATTCGAAATACAAATATTATGCATAGCTTCTGTTACTTGACACTCTAAACGAAACTCATGAAGAAGATTCTTATTTTGAAATCCATTACGAAAAATAAGTTACGCGTATCAAGTCAAAATCAATACTGCTGTGATGGTACAAGCTCGCTCTTTATACACATATGACAGAGAAGTTTCTTCAAATTTCTGTTACTAGCGAATTCCAAGGAAAATTATGGATTCATATTTGTGCAATCTAATATTTTAATGGAATAAAGTTGCGCTTTCTTTTATCAAATAAATCAATATTGTATTATATCATCAGATTGTATTAATAGACTCCTTAACAATTTTACTAAATTCTAAAGTGTCAAAAAAGTCCAGAACAACTGACCCTAACCATCAAAACAATTACGCCTCCGGGAATCGTGACTTCAAAGAAGATACCACCACAAAACCAGCGATTGAAGGTTTGAATCAACTGGACTACTTAAGATCGTCAAATATAAGCAAGTTTTCTAGTGATAAATATTTATGATGATTTCCTCTACTCGTGATGCTTAAATCTAGAATTTGTCTGCTTCCTAAGAACATTGGGTCGGGCTTTCGTATACTGTCCGGATCAGTAGTCTCTTCGAGCGCTATTTTCTAATCTTTTGATACCAATAATCCAAGTGCAATGGATTTCTATGCTGAGCTACATTACACATTTTACAAATAGCAATTCTACCTCTCAATATTAGGGATGTCTATTCCTTGTCTCAATTAGCAAGCTTCGATGTCCTGCCAGAAATCTTACGGAAACTTTCTTACGGATTGTTTAAAGCAACAAAAGTGTTAACCTTTGATCGGTATGGATGCGTGCATGTTCACGCAAGCGTGCGGCAGCGGTGAACGTCTTCGGGCAGACGGAGCACGCGAAGGGCCGCTCCCCCGTGTGTGTACGCCTATGGTCGTCGCGCTCCACCTACCACCACCATTCACACACCATTACCATAAGGAAAAAACGATGGGAACTATCTGGCGGTACAGACGACGAAACCGTCTCCGTTTTATTGCAAAATAATGACCTTTGCGTTATAAAACTAGAAGTTTAGACGTAAATCGATGGCGCAATGTTTACGAGTGTTCAACGATTATGGAAGACTGGGTGGAACGGAAAACCAAAAGACTGTGTCTGTTTATCTCATTGCTTCCGGCTATGTGATAGATAAGAAAAGAGGATGGCGAATTATCCTCTGAATGGTATTTAATAAATTACTTGCAAATTATAAAGATTAATATATTTCCAATAAAAATGGTTTAATTACAACAAAAAATTGAAAAATTTAGCGAGCAAACTTCGTGATTTTTATAATTTGACGTTTTAGCTATGACTTTGCAGAAGAGAGAAACAGGAAAATGATGTAATATTGTCCTTTTTAATGACAGCTTATTTAATTGTACAATACCATAGCACTACGCCAGGTTACCACAATATGTCAGATTTCCACAGTTACTTCTGAATATTATTATTTTTATATCAATAAAGTTTCATATCAGTTTTGTATGTGCTGTTAACTGTACTTAATGCGCTTCATAAACTGCGCATGCGCTTGCTTTAGCTCAGTTTTTGTTATTGAATATAATATTGCAAAGTACTTATAGTTAGTTAAGTTTATTTATAAATCAGAGATCTCCCTAATTTTTAGGAGCTTTTATTTAACTTGTCGTGTTAGTTAGTTAGTGTGGGTCAAATCTTGCAAGCTACATTTGATCCACTTCTCACTTCCTATTTATGACTCTAATTCTTGCAAGTTAAATTTGATCCTGTGCCAGCTTTTCGGTTGAATTGAAATTCTGCAGGTATTACTTATTAAGATGACTCACATTATAATACGAGTTCGATTCGCATTCGACAATTATCGTGGTGAGGATAGCGAACTTCTATCCCGTTCTGTTAAAAAAGCCATTTATACGAGGTTATTTTTTCTTTATTATCGTTTCAAGTAGTGTTACTGACAGCAACAATGGTGGACTATAGTAATTAATAATATCAAATAAAAGGGATAAATTAGTTACTGAAAAACATATATATTAGAGAACGGTCAAAAACACAAGGTATTACAGACAACAGTAATAAACAATAAGTGACAAAAGTCATATTGAAATCAAATAAAAAATAGCTGTCGCAACAATTAGGTTTAATTTTATGAAACGCTACTTTCGTCGTCAAGTTCGAGACTATTTTATAAAAGAATAGCACTGCTAGGTTTCTAAAACCTTATTGAAGTGAAAAGACCATCATCACTACATATTATAAAACAAAGTTCCTCGCTACGTCTGTCTGCTTGTCTGTTCACGAAAAACTCGAAAATTACTGAACAAATTCTCATCCAGTTTTCAATAACAGGAACCTGAGGAAGGTTTTAGTGTTTAGTAAGTTTAGATTTTGTCCAAGCTCACAATATTACGACGATATTAGTTCAAACATGCCAGGAAAAATTAAGCCGATTGGGAGCTTCATGACAAAATACAATTCCACCATACATTGGTGGAATTGTATCTATTTGAAAGATCTACAAAAAAGTCCGCTATGGTATCTGTCTTTCTTCCAAGGATAACCTGCAATAATCATTCCGTAAATCCCTTTTAATATTGTGTGTTGGTAGATATATTGCATAGATTAATTGTTTTAAGGACAAAAGTTGAGAGATGCTTCTTTACATTTTTACATAGGTAGTTTCGTTTGAATTGCTGAAATGTATGTACTCGCATGCAATTGGAAGATATTTTATTTATTTGTTCCTTACTGTCTTATTTAAGAAAATTCATAAAAATATAATCCTCAGTCGCTGGAGAAATAAAATAAGGCGGCATGAAATTCGCCGCGTCAGCTAATAAAGTATAAATAGGCATCAAAGCACTAACCTTGACTTTGAACGCCTTAGGGCATAGATCACAAGGATAAGGACGTTCGCCGGTATGCATGCGCATATGAATTGCTAAATGGCCTGATTGGTTGAAGCGGCGGCCGCAAATGCGACATGGATATCCCTAGAAATTTATTTATCCTTTTGTTAATTATGAATGATCACATGTTTTGTACAATATTGGCCTTATTGTTACTGTTCTATACCTATAAATTTCGTTTTCAGGGATACTGAAATACAATTTATGCTGATTTTGGTGACAGTTTGGTTATACAAATAAAGTTAAGACTGACAAATTTTCGCTGGCGCGGAGAGTGAGATTTATAATTTCTAAAAGGTTCTGTTGCAAACTCTGAATCAATTACGTCTTAATACTATCACCGCCAAGATGTAGGTGTAGGTAAATAGCTGAAGTTCACTTACAGGCTTTTTTACTTTATGCATTTTTTTATGTGTATGCAAAGCACACATACTTCCTAGAACCTTATCACATTCTTCGCAGACGTAAGTTGGCATAGGAGAACCAGGAGGACGGTCCTCTCCTCGCTTGTGTTTATACAGCTCTCTAAATAGATTTAAACTGAGTGTAAAGCGAGAACTACTAAAGTTAGTAAGTATACTTTTTATTTGCATTACTACAGGGTGTAAATATCACTGTAACGATTTTTTTTTTGCGGAATCATCTATCATCTATACAATATACTTACTAAATATTTCAAAATTTAAAAATTGATTTTGGTTCTATAATCACCTAACATTACTTATGTTTGAGATTTGAAATACGATAGAGTGACAGATAAATTGTTGTTATAGAAGATAAAAACTACGATCTAAGGTAAGGGACATAGTCTCTTAAATATCCTTTAAAATCAAAGTTGTACCTTGCAGTTACAAAAAGCTGATTACATGAGCCACAATTCCACATTTTATTGTTATTAATATTGTTCCGATAACTGCGCCGGCTGGTCCTATTAGGCACTCGTCGTTGGCAAACCAGAGCATGGTATTTCAATTGTTCTGCAGACGGAAACTGTATACCACAAGTCTCACAAGAAAAGCATACTTCTGGGCATTCAGCGGTTGCAGTATTTAAATTACAACTGGCCTAAGATGAAATAATAAGTTTAGGAAAATAATTATTGTGAATTTCACTCAAAGTTTTTGCACATTTTATCGAATCAACAATGCTACCATGAACTCACAATAAAACATTGAAATGTGAGTTTCTAATCGTTATCCTGTCCATAAAGAGTATTTTCTGCATGTGGATGAAAAGTAGTTTACTCGTTACTAACCTATGGATATCTCTAAACTACTTGGTCATTAGTATTATAGGTATTGGGTCTGAAAAACTAAGCCAATAATAGAAAAGACCTGTAGCCTTAAAGATTTTCAGAAATTAATAGACTATAATGACAGTATAAAACATTTTTAACCCGCAGGAGAATAAGCAATGCCTCTTTGACTTACCATATCGTTTATTAAACAGTCTTGTGGTTTATTTGGAAAGCATTGAAGACGATGCCTGTCTAATGCATCACCTTCAGCAAACAAACCATTACAAGTATCACAGACGAACATCGTAAGCAACTTGCGGGAGGCAACTCTTCCTTTGCCGTAGCTGTCCTTGCAACATAATTGTTCTGCAAGTTTAATAGGAATACTTTAACTTTAGTTTACCTTTATTTTTAAATACGAGTATAATTAAATATGTACATTGTGAAATCGGGCTAGTTGTTTAGATCCCAAATTAAATGCTAGCTATGATATGAAATTTTATAACAACAAGTAAGGTAACAACACAAGGACAATAAAAATAACAGTAAATAATACGAATTTGTTACCAATTGGTTCTACTTCTAACGCGGTAGAAAGGACACGTTCACATAAACTGCACACAAGCCAATCTAATTCAAAGTCGATCTTATTGTTATTTACTTCTGTAACAAAATAAGACACTATGTAGATCATATAACAATATTATTTGATGAAACATTAAAAGGTATTGATATACCTTCGCTGTGACTGTTCGTGATGTTCTCCTTAGTTAATACTGGTCCATTATTTTGATCATCTGTACCATTTTGATCATGTATGTCCATAGACGCATGCATTGATATAGTGTGATCTAAAAGATCTGCATCCGAAGTAAAAATCTCGTGACACATCACACAAGAGTGTAAAGCTAAAATGTCTGGTCCTTTAGTCTCTATATTCTGTAAGAACACATCCAATTCACATATTATATTTTTCAGGAAATTAAAATCAAAAACATTCTATTATATTGCTGAAACATATCAAAATGCTTTTAAGTTTTTTACCTGTGTATATAGTCGAAAGCATGTTATGTTACTACAAAAGTCCAAATTGTTCCAATTGATTTTATACTTTAATTGTATAAATTTCAGGTCAAAATGGAATGCTGCAATGATGTGCTGATGTGTATACAATCTACTACACTAATAAGGCCAAATTTTCTCAAACGATTTTGAACCTTTAAGTAAACATATGAACCATAAAATTCAAGCTTGATGTGTAGATGTTTGGCAGTTTGTAGTAGCATGTGCTTGTGCTACTAGTTATTACATGATTGTGTACATATAAAATCTCTATATAGATTTTGTGTCTTTTCTAGTCAGCGAGGAAAATATCTAGCTTTCCTAATGAATATAAAAATGAATTATGTAAACATCTAACAATTTCATACCTTGTCTTTATCTGATGAATTTTGTAGTGGTAAGAGAAATTGATTAACAGTATTTTCATCTAGAAGAGTGGGTTCATAATTAAATATACTATCAGGTTGAACAAAATAGAGGTGAGAGTTGTTAGTTTCAACGTTCTGCTGGTTTCCGTCTAGGTACTGCAAATTCTCGATATTGAAGTATCTACCAGAGTCGTTAGAATGATAAGATAGGTCATTTTCCACGTTAGATATTATTTGTTCTGTTACTGTGATTAGTTCATTGTTAATTATAGATAAATTATCTACTCTTTCAGTATCATCAGAGACGTTATTAAAGAGTAAATCATCAGTATCATAGTTTTCTTTGAGGTGGTCAGTTAGTTCTTTATAGGGATAATCGGGTGGATCAAACATCATGGTAGTTTTTTTTACTGCCTGCAATTAAATGAAAAATTGGAAATCTAATTTACTTGACATAAATTAATAACAAGGAATTAACTTTTATTACTGCCGTAAGATTCATAAGCACAGTAAATGAGTAAGTGAGAAAAAGTTAGATGTTAAGACCACTTGATATCCTAAGCAATTCACGCAAGTGCAACATCCTCCCCCATATGCACAAATAAACTAGTATTGATGTTATATAAAATATTATATGTTTATACGAGATAAGTCATTGCGTACCAAAAGATATAGAAGAGATATATGAGAAATAAAGGAATTCTTTTTTCTTGACTTGCCTTGCATAAAATTATTATTTACGTTTAAGGCGCACAAATAAAAGCTTTTTTTATTTATTTATTTGGGGTTTCATACCCAAAGGGTAAAACGGAAACCCTATTACTAAGACTTCGCTGTCTGTCTGTCGGTCACCAGGCTGTATCTCATGAACCGTGGAATTGAGACAGTTATAATTTTCATTGTAATAATGATGTATTTCTGTTGCTGTTTCAACAATAAATACTAAAAACCAAAATAAAATAAATATTTTATGGGGGCTTCTATAGAACAAACATGATTTTTTTCCGTCACCAGGCTGTATATATCTGTAAAAGTTAGACAGTTGAAATTTTCATAGACGGTGTATTTCTGTTACAGCTTACACGCGAAAATACAAAAAAATAAATAAATAAATATTTAAGGACAACAAACGTGAGTTTTTTTTGTTCGTATCCGGTACAGAACCCTACCTATGCGAGTCCAACTCGTACAAAACCCTTCATCCACGAGTCCGTCTTTTTAGTTTTCTTTTTAATATTTACTAGTGAACTTGTCTTGATTTCGTCATGAACTTGTAATTTTAATAATCGGTAATATTATTCCTAAACGAATAATATGTTGCCATGTAAAAAATATGCAGAATGATTTATTTGGCATTGACAACTGAACCACAAACTGACAAACTGACATTGACAATTTGACATCAATCGTCTGTGTTGTGTTTATGCCGCTATTATTTCTTTTTAAATTAAAGGAACTTACTTTTCATACGTTATGAAGACGAAAATAGAATCTACACAATCTGCTGAAAAGCCTAAAATACCTTTGCCAACACTTTCTCAAATAAATGCTGATAGAATTACTCAAGTAAGTAAATTTAGAGGTTAAGTTATGTTTTACCTCTTTATGCAAGTTTTACAGGAACCTTTAGCCTTTTTCAGAAGAATATGAAAAATGTAATCAATTTCCTACAATATAAATGTTTAGGTTTTTGTTAAAAATTATTTGAATTAGTTAAAAACAATTCGGTTTATTTTAAGAAAAATCTGATTCTTGTATCAAGGTCTAGCCAAAATATTATCATTAAGTTAGTTTTATCGCTATATTCGCCAAATATATGTTAAAAACCATTGTAAGTTTAAAATTTAGTAACAATTATTTTAAAATTTCATAGGGTTTGATAGGCTAGACCCAATAAAAAACAACTCTGCGTTTTACACAAAAAACATATACATAATTTACATTTCTTTAAAAAATATAATATTTAGCAGTAGATTTATGAGCGTCACTGAAACTGAAATTTTACTGTTTGTTTTGTTGATAGAAAATCAATAGTTAAGTGAGTTGTTACAAATTATGTTTATAATATAGATTCATAAACGAAATAACTTAAAATATCATAAATGACTTATCACTGTCAAAATAATGTTTTTAAATTCACACAATTTGTATACATTATATTTATATGTAATAGTTTTCAAAATAATGCACAAACAAGACCTGCTTACATATAAATACACTGTCAAAATCTTACTAATGAAAACATTTAAAAACTTTAAATTCAACCTATAAGTGCCTCAGAGAGAAATGTTATATATATTTGTCATTGTGTAGATTTGCACAGTGGACATTTTGCGAATAGTGGTAGCTAAAATATCCTTCATTAAATATGATGATTGCAACAAAATTGGGTATGATATTTGTTTTTGGTGCATTATGAACTAACAAAATAAAAAAAAATAAAAATTAAAAACTTCTTGATATAAAAGTAATGTATATAAGCTAAACTGTAACATAATATGTGTAAAAAATATAGTGAATAATATTTTTTATATACATACAAAGATATATATATATATACATATTTCTATGTATGTATATAACACAAATATGTACTACAGTAGTTGTAATTTATACATCTAATTCTATTTATAATACTTATAATTCAGTTTACACTGAGTACATTTTTTTGTTGAGATTTGTATTTAAATAGTAGTAATATTATCTATTTAATAAGATCCCTGCTAAGATTTAAAAAAATATTCATGCACCAATAAATTATGATTCCTGTTGAATGAAATGTATCTTAATGTATTAAATTCATGTTGGTTGCAATCATTATAAGTTCTCATAAAGTAGCCTACTGGTATTTATTGAAAGCCTAAAATCTATATAACATTCCTCATTGAATTGTGAATTAAACCATCATGACCTAACTGTTCACAGCTTGCAACACAATATTGGTCACCCCAAACTAAGGATAATCACTTACCTTATGATGCTGCAATTGTGGAGTCAATATACCAGGCAGAAATCCTTGGATCAAGGTGAGAAATATCCTATAATAATTAAATATGCACTCACTTCAAACAAAGTCTGAGCCTAACTGATCATAACAAATGAATAGTGAAGGTCAATAGCCTCATAGATTGAGGGCATTGACCTATTTATTACTTTTTATTTTGAAAATTAGCCAGTGATAGTTTTTGTTAAGTGCATTGTTCAAATTTATTAAAGTTTTAGGTTAAATGTATAATATTAGACTACACATTGAAATTAAATAATTTAAGCTTTATGTTATAAATTAATCTATTAATTCAATTATGTTAGCTACACAAACTTAATTTAGTAATATTATATCAAAAAGTTTAAGTTAACTCTGCTAATATTAAAACCTCTAATTAATAAAAAATGGATGAAACATGGCTAGTAATATCGACTGTTTGAAGTTAAAGTAGATCAGATCTAATTTCGATATGCACATAATTAAACTCACTTAAGTAAGTCATATTCCTCTCTGATTTATTTCTTATTCGAAAGTACTTGTCAATACTATGTATATGGGCCTAGTGTGGAATGGTGGGTGCTAATGACTGCTGAAGCAGCTGGGACCAATGACTTAACATGCCCTTTAAAGCAATGAAGAGATTGAGATGCTGACTTTTGATCACCTATCCCTTGTGAAAGTTGCTTAAACTGCGCATTGCAGACCGAATGCATCAATCACTGCACCATCAAGTTTAAAAATGATATAGCAATGAAAAAATCATTAAAAAATTTAGTAAAATTTCAAGGAATGACGCTCATAATTACAAACGTATAGTATATCTAAAAGTTTTAGTAAGGAAATATAACAGTCCAGTTTGTAAAAGGAATTTAATTCTTATCAGGATATTTGCACAATTTTTACTTACTATGTATATGTTTTTTATTATAGTTTTTCAGTACGAAGGATCATGATGCTGGAGTTCTCACAGTACTTGGAATGCTACTTGTGGCCATATTATGAGGCAGGAAAAGCATCACACGCTCACATGATGTCCATAGTGGTCATGATTAACGAGAAATTCAGAGAACGTGTACCAGCGTGGCAGGTAAATATACCATGATCAACATACCATATTGAGCTTACAAAAAAAATTTATGAGTAACATAATGTTGTAATGTTGCCATGTTTCTGATTCTATTATTTTGAGTGTTTGTCCATATATTTCTTAAGTGTATTTTGTTTCTTGTGTCATCCATCACAACAGAATGTCACGGCATAATGCTGAGCAGAGGTTAATTTAGCATAACTTGTATAATTTTTGTTCTATTTTTAGTGTAGTATATAGAAAATAAACCTATCATTCATTCAAATTAGGTATGTAGAAAATAATTGTGAGAATGTTTAATATATAACTATAAGAACAGCTCAGATGTATAAGATTAAAAATAACTATGTACTTTAATTTATGCCGAGTTGATAAAGTGTATAATTACAGAATTTAACTTTGTTTCTTTAAAATATTTTAAATAATATGTTTAATAGTTATTTAAGATACGAGTGCGGAAAGTAAGGTTTTACGAATAAGGGCCAAATTGAAAACACAAACGTAGCGAGGGTTTCATTGGCACGAATTTTCTTACAACATTTTTCAATGCTTTTTGCGAGGAAATAAAACAAACATATAGGTTAATAAAACTAAGTATGTATTAAAGGTAAAAATTATTTGTTAAAATTAAATGTGATATTTGAACATGTTTTCGTGTCATGCTCGAAAAACCTTTTAGGCTCAAGTTTCTTACAACATTTTTCGATGCTTTTTGCGAGGAAATAAAACAAATATATAGGTTAATAAAACTAAGTATGTATCAAAAGTAAAAATTATTTGTTAATATTAAACATGATATTTGAACATATTTTCGTGTCATACGTTTTTATTTGAAAATATTCGTTCTAGGCTCCTTGAAATACTTTTGCCTCTAAAGTTTGACATAGTTTCATCAATTTTTTTTTTAATTTCTTTGGTGCACTTCCAAAAAAAATTAAAAAAATACTTTTAAGCACGTGTGCAGTAAAGGATTTCAGTACATTTTTATTTAACACGTGTTTAAAGACTCACTTTCGGTGTTTACAGTGGATTAAAAAAAATAGCGCTTTATGAGCAAGTGCATTGAAAAATACTTTATTAAATTGTGAGGTCTATTAACAAATGAACTATAGTGGTTTCCACCAAATGAAGTTTGTTTCATGAAAGAAATCCCTCAGATTACAATGTTTTTGATTTTGTTACAAAAGCAATAAGATATATGCCAAGGGGACGCTTTAGTGAAATGGCTCATTTATACCTATACTCCATTCATTATAGCATTAGACAGAAGTGAAATAAGGTTCTTTTTATGGTATACTTTGTGACAAAATATCAATAATCATGTTACTTTAAAGACTGACGGCTAATTTGCTACATATTCACTTAAATATCAGCTACTATACTTAACTGTTGTCATTTAAGCTAACTATTAAACAAATTTATGAGTATATGGCTAACTTAAATGATTTAATAAGTATTACAATAAAAAGTGTCCATCGTAAAGAACCTCAAGAAGCAGGGTTGGATAATTTCGGCACGATTCTCATGTCACGATAACACTACTAAATTTAAAACGTTGCCTAACTCCTTCAAGCGTTTTGGTAGTACAGCTTTTTAATTTTGTCAGACTATTATTTATTAATAATTGTTAAAATCATTATCTGGGATTGTCATCCATTGTGAATGCTACTGCTTTTCTTGTTGTTTTCCGTGATGTTATTGTTTTATTTTTGTTGTTCAGTTTTGGTAAATATGGACGATGTCGGTACAGGCCCGAGTGGCCTACAAAAATTACTCTCTAGGCCCCCATACCTACCCTCAAACTTTGACATTTCAGGGAGTTTTCTCAATGTCTTCATCAATAGTCTAACTTATTACACTTACAATTAGAATTTATCAAAACACACAGATAGTTTCAGTTTTAGTTCCATGTTGGCATGGGACTAAAAGATGAATTTATAAAATGCTGGCCTCATCTCAACCCCGAGGTATCATAAAAAATGGAAAATTGCCCAGCTCTTTCAGACTACCTAACGTTCAAAGTCTCAACAAAACTAATATAGATTTTTTAATTTTATCTTGAAAATAAAATGTTCTGCACTGCTGCTTCTATGACCCTCTTTTTTCTAATGTTATAGTGAATGGAGTATAATATTCAAGATATGTTGCAATTTTTTAATGATTTTTTTTTGTTTGCTTCCAGGCCTTCCTCAAGAAGCCAGACCATTTTCCCGCTTTCTTTGAACAAGTCCTAAGAGCTACCGTGGCTGATGATCATACAAGTCGAAACATGCGCGAACAGACTGCCCTATTATTGTTCCTGAACCATTGCTTCGGCAGCATGGAGGTGCAGCTCTGCAGGGACCAGGTGAAGAGGCTGGTCTCACTCAGCATGTGGATTAGTTTACAAGAAGGTTGGTCATCTGATACCTTTAGAAATTTTAAATAAAAAATAGTGCATCTAAAATAAATAAAAAAATAAAAAATAATTTCAATTATTTATATACATATATGTACAACACGTCATATTAACACAACATGTCAGATTTTCACACTTGATTTTAAACTCCACTTTCAATGCATTAAGATTAAAAATTGAATCAAATTATTTGTTAGTTTTGAAATAACCTGACATGCTTTTAATTGTACAAAAAATAACATTGAGCAGTAAGCTGTAATCGGAAATGAAAAAAGAGGAAACGAAACGCGATTTTATAAATATTGCTCTACAGAAAAAAAAAGTAACCTTCTTTTGAAATTCATTCTTTGATTTTAGAGAATATTGATAAATTAGGTATGCGAGACACTTTCTGCCAGTGGCAACTGTACTGTACAAAAACTTAAACTATAAAAACTTAATCTTCAAAAGGTAGGAGAAATCAAGAGTTCAAAGCGGTTCCCAAATGGCGCAAATACTGGCGGGCGATACAGAAAAAAGACAAGCCAGAACTTTTGGAAAAGTTAAATTGGGAACGACGCTACCTTCAACGACTCATGGTGAAGTTCATGAAGGTGCTAGAAGCGATTCCAGAAACTGGGGATGTCGATTCTAACACTGTGAGGTAGGTATATTATTATTATTATAGTTAGCGTTGTAAGTATTTATAGCAAAAAAGTATAACTTATTATTTATAAGATAATACCAATGACGAAGGGATGGGACCCCTTAAATATTAATTTTATTCCCTTTTAGTATTTGTTTTTATATTGTATAGACTCCCGTTTTCACCTTTTTAGTGTTCCATATGTATAATATACGATATGTTGAGATCAAGAGTGAGCCCATTGTAAATAAATAAAAAATAAGTAACCCTTAAAAGAAGATCTACTCCGAATAGAGCTTAAGTAGTTGAAACTTGAGGGTTGTAGAGAAAAGCTTAAACCAGTACAAATAAATTACCACCTCAATGACATAACATCATCATCATCATCGTGAGCCCTTTTACGTCCCCACTGCAGGGGCTCAGGCCTTCCTTATGGATGGTTAACAGGATGGGCCATGACCCTCCACGCTGGCCCAATGCGGATTGGAGGGTAATAACGACTGCAAATGCAGCCGAGACCAACAGCTTAACGTGCCTTCCGAAGCACGGAGTAGCTCGATATAATAATTTTTTGGTCACCCATCTTGTGCCTGACCCTTGCGAAAGTTGCTTAACGACAACGATAGCGGGCCGCCGCGCATATCCATTACGCCACCGAGCTACTCATAATGACATAACAACAGATAATTAATTGTTGCAACTTTCATGATTTCAAATCAATTTATAATTATTGTCATGATTTGTAAAAATGATAACACTGGTCAACAAAATTGTAACTTTCTCGTGCCATACGGACTTTTTTGATATTTTTTACTTTAACTTTCAATTTGCTATGTATGTAATTTCATACTTTTTAGCAAGGCCGCCTTTTACATTCGTTTTCCGTGTTCGATTCTCTGCCCTGCGATTCTGAAACATCCGAACCCGAATTCGAGTTCACCCGGTGGCCGAATTCATTTCGAAAGTGATATCCGCTTAAGTTTAAATTGGTATTAACATTTCGTAGCATAAGTGAAGCGAGTTAAAAAATGACAAAGGGGTAGAATATCTGAGACACGTTTAAATCAATCAATATTGTTTTGCATTTTATACGAAAAATGAAATGAATAGAATTTCTACACTAAATGACGTGAATTCAGACACATAAGTGAATTCAAATTCGCGTTCGGATTTTTAGGTAATCGCTCTGCTGATCGAGATTCAGAGCGCCTTCCAGTGTTCCAGTAAGATTGGATCCATAAATCCCTTATCAATCTGTTACGAAATAGGCACAATTAGACAACATACATAGTTTCGGAGATAAACAAGTCTTTGTAGCGCTGCTGGGCTGACGTCATTCGAAACCTAGAATCTTAATACTTGTGAATTCAAGAATTCAAGTCAAATACGTAATGCCTACCTAATTGTGGTTTGGTATGAGTGTGTTTGCTATGATTTTACCGTCATGAAAGTTTGTTATCTGCAGTTAGATTTCGCACAATTCCTCTCATATTTGTGGCGATGTTAGTCCGATGTATAAGATGACGCTACGTATCAGTCGCCACAGTAAATGTAGGAACCGGAAGGTTGAAGGTGTGGTTCCTACTTGATGATGGAGACAACTGGTAAGGAAGACTAAAGGATAATTGTCTCCCTCCGAGCTAGGTGTCGTTAGCTCGGGGACCGCGGTCCAACCGATGTAGGTTGGACGTTCTATTTATGCTCATTGGTAATGAAACTTATTGTGGGTTTCTTTGTTCTTAATGCCTTGAAGTATCTTAATTTATAATGTTTGAATAGGTAGAGCGCCATCTCGTTATTGAATGTTGAAACTTATTGAAGTTCGTCTTGCTATCGATTGCTGTGACGATGCTAGTCTTCCCGCTATTGATTGTTGAGCAATGTTAGTCCGATGAATAAGATGGCGCTATGTATCAGTCGCCACATATTCAAATCAGGTCTTTTCCCGAATTAAAAACGAAACGAATGTTTGATTATCGTTATATATTTGTATAATCGCGCACTCGTGGTTCCGAATCGGTACTCCGAAAAAAATATCCTAAATCTTAATTTAAAAAAAGTAGGTTTTTTAGAATGACGTCTATAAAGTTCAAGACAATTGGACTTTGTGTCGGTTGCCGACTTAAATACAAGTCTTTTATATCTTATAAGTCAAGTTATATATCTTTTGAAATGTGTATTGAGCTCATTTTTTTTAATGCAGATATTGCGAGAGATTCCTGGAGCTGATGATAGACTTAGAAGCGTTATTGCCGACGCGTCGTTTCTTCAACACTGTGATGGATGATTGTCATCTGGTGGTACGGTGCTCCCTCGCTCCTCTCACGTCCAGACCTGAAGGCCAGCTGTTCTCACAGGTTAGTGGCACATTAATAACTATGAAAGGAAAAACGTAACCCTTATAGAATATATACTCTTGATATACAGTACTATAATCAAATTATTATCATCATCATCATCTCAAGACTTCCTCAACCAGTTTGGTGTAGGCCTCCTAAAATCCTCTCCACTTTTTTCTATTTTAGGCTGTTTGAATCCAATTTTGACCGGCCGCCTTTAATATATCATCCTTCCATCGCATCTCTGGTCTGCCTACCGTTCGTTTATGTTCCCAAGGTCTTCCAGTAGATTTTTACACCATCAACTGGACTTACGGGTTAGACGGCCCGCCCGTTGCGATTCTGTTTCGTTATTTACTTCACTATGTCCGCTACTTTACTTTGTTTTCTCAATCATTAACTGTCCACGATGGTTTTCTACTATATATTGGACCATTTTGTTCTTCTATGTCTCAATGTCTCTCTCTACATGCTGTCGAGTAGTTTAACAAAGCGCCTTGAACTCAAACTCATAATCATATTAACAATCTGTTATTACCGGCTATTTTGGCCAAGGTTTTCTTCGAATTGCATTTACAAGCTCAATACTATGAAATGAATTCTTACCTGAAAAAGTAAATAAGCACAATTTGCCCACATACATAGTGAGTTATTGCGTCAGCTCAGCTGACGTCAGTAACTTTCACAATGCCTGATATAAAAATCACAGCAAACATTACCCATGTTAACAATTACAGAATTCTACAGACGCCCCAATTTTTATACCGATTCTATTTTTTCACTGTTTTAATCAGTTGAGTTTGTCGGGTTAGTTAGAAACTACATAAAAAAGTTTTCATATTATAAGCTTTAGAAATAAAAGTGACAGAAATATAACTCATATTATTACTTTCATTTGAGGTTAGTCAGCTGTATTGTTGCGGTTAACTTGTATAGTATTTGGATTGACTCTATTGACTATTGGCCTAACTGATAAACTCGAAAATACGATTAACGCGATTTACCTTATGTTCTCTACAGTTTTGGGGGACATTCTTTTTGTATTTATAATTGTGATGTGATTATTATGATAATACATACTATTTTGATATGTAAATGTCATTACTTATGATAAAGAGCTGGTAAGTTTCTTTCGCTTGTTCTTGTCAGCTACAAGACGTCCTGAAAAAGTGGTAGGTAAAAAAAATATTTTTAACGATTCAAAAGTGCTTGAAATAAACTTACTTAAATAAAGATATTTTCATTTCATTGATCTCGGAAATACTATTAACGGGATTTACCTTCTGTTCTCTACAGTTTTGGGGGACATTTTTATTAGGATTCCCTAACTAAAAAGGAAAAAAATAACAGTATCATAAAGGATCGCTTTGTTGCCAGTCTCTCTGCCAAGACCCTTTATTTCGAAAACGCGTGGAGATATCGAGCCGAAATATTAAACCATATATTAGACGTACTCAAGGGCCTGACTGTCTACTTTTAAAATCTATCGGAACCCCTTTCAATTTGACATTTGAAAGATATTCACGAACTTGACGCTACGACTATTTGACATGTGATATCGATAGTGATCGCGACTTTTTATAATATAGATAATAAATTAACTATATTTGTTGATTGGAATTGTATTAGACACGTGTTAGTCGCAAATATCCTTTTGAAAACTATTCAGAAACGTCAAACGAAAGACTTTTTTTTAAATAAAATATTAACTGCAATCTTTTGCCGGGTTTAGTAGTTTTTATTATGTCTCTTGATCTTTCGAATCGTCATTCGTTCCGAAAACGATAACGCTATAATACGATACATATTTCCATAAATAGCATAGCATAGCATATTTAAAATTAATATATAGCTTAACTTTAGCTTTACATATATTGGGTCAAAATTAAAAATTCAAAGTGATGTGTCATATGAAAGGGCTCGATGTGCATATTCAAAAGTTATTATATTAATTTTTTCGATGAATATATAATTTTTTATTTATAATAAAAATAACTATTTTGGTATTTCCAAAAATTGTAAACTGATAGCAATCTTACCCTGTATTTAATAAAAATATCCTGTTTTATATTGATATTCATAGAAAATTGTGTACTTACTAACTGTGGCCTTTCCTGTCTAGGGATTTATTTAGATTCATGTTTAAAGGAAATACGAAATTAAAAACAACTACTTTTGGTTTACACTTTATTTAATAGTAAATCTGATAAAAAAATATTAAAAATTAAATGCGAGAGTCACAAAATAGAATTCCGTGAACTATTTCTATTTGGAAAAACAGATAGTTCAGATAATACAAAGAAAGCAAGTATTTTACTACATGAAGTATATAATCACTAACCACAGTAAGCTGCTCAGTAAATATAGAAAAGGACGGATATATAGGCTTATTAGGAATACACCAGCAACTTCGCAGAATTGGGACGACGACTAATTTTTGTATGTTTGTACGTCGGTAGATTCTTGAAAAAGAATTAAACACGTATTCTTTTATTTTTTTCGTAATCATTACATTATGGCGATGCATTGAGTTAAAATGTCACACGACGTCACGCTTTTGTACATTTTCTACAAAACTGTGACGTAGTGAGCCCCCTCAACTTTAAAGCTATTTCTTGCTAAATTGAAGTAAAAAAAAATACGTATATAATATTTTTCTATAATCTGACTGACGGACTAAATGGAATTTCTTTTTTTTACCCAGTCGTCAATTCTAATAGATAGCTAACGTCATAAACATTGTTCTACTTATCAATATCTTTAGGGCGTATCTCTTGCGGGACAGAGAGTATCGTTAGCCTCCTCCGCTTTTATTACTCTTTTCATTGTTATTTATATTTCATACAATAATAAGATTTATTATAACGCCAATATGGTAAATAATGTATAGGCACCGTGCACAAGTAAACTGTTGTCCCGATAATGCAAATAAAATTTATTAAAATTATTTTCGTTCAAAGGTTTATAGTAAATACTAAAAACTCGTAGTCAAATATTGTTGAATAGACCATCAAATGCCATGTTGAATCAACATACGTACGAGTAGTAGCTATCTAGTTTTGCGAGGTTGCAAATAACCATATAGAGATTAATATGTCAGATTATTATACTTAGAAATAATGGCGAATAATTATTTTCCTTAGTTATTAATAACGCATTCATTTCGTGTAATATAACATTTGTTGTACTATTCTAACAGTTAACATCTTTTATTTTCACATAAATACTGTTTATATGTCCATTCCAATTATACATTCAAACATACAAAATCATGAAGAAATTATTTGTATAACTAACACAGTAAAATGATTTTAAAAAGAAATCCATATCAAATTATAAAAAAATAAAAATAAGGGTCAAAACAACCTTGACAATTAAAAAATAAACTTGTAAAGCTTTTTTTTATACTCTAAAGTAAATTGAACAATATTCAGAAAAAATTATGTGAGCACTCAAATTGGGGCACTTTTGAAGTTCCTTTGTTTATAATTATAGTTAATTCAAACCTATTTCGCTTCTCACACAAAAGTGTACACTTACTAATACATTCATAAGACACTTATTTAAGACACTTGATGTTACAACTACTAAAGCTTCTACAAGCATCACAGCATTATCTTAGTAAATTACAAAGTGCTACATGTTTTTGTGATTATTATCTACTTAAAAAACAATTTGTCCTTAAGCATTAATTACTTAAAAATAACTTAGTGCCTGTTAAAAGTCATGGAATTCATAAGATTCAGTCTGCAGTTTTTTTTTTACTTTCTCAGTATCATAAATAATATCAAAATATATACCCCTCCAATTACACTACTGCTAGCAATCAAAATTATTGCAATTTAGTACAGATTTATTGGTTTTAAAATTCAAAAGTACTACTTCGAATATCTAATAAAATTTACATTTAAATATTAAATTTCAATTCAACTCCTAGTTAAGTAGGTATAAAACTGAATAAATGTATATAAAATTTGTTTTGATTAAGTAAATTAATTGTAATTTCATGTGTACTTAGAACCAGACTGTAGATTTTTATAGTGCTTATAGCTTGCAGCAATATCATGTTTGTATTTATAGTGAGGCTGTATACTGAATTTTAATATCGGACGGGTAACCCTTATGGACCATTTACATGAGGCCAGTAGCCAAGACAGTCTAGTAACGCAGGCCAGTATTGTCCTTGTAAATATAAAATAAAAAAGAATGATCCAAATTCTATCCTTTGTAAATGGTCCATTAACACAAGTAACATTCAATATACCTAGTAATTGCCACCATTCATATGAGTCATCTCGTCTCCCCACTCACCTGTCGGCACCGGCTGTGCATAGCAACAACTTTTACGCAGTAGAAACGTCACATGGGATTGTCTTACTATACATACATAAAATACTAATATGGCTTGTAAGAGATTCACGACAATATGCGCATATATAAGTCCATCAATATTCAACCAAGACATCAGGAGGAATAGCCAAGCTGTAGTCATTATAAGAAATAGTTGAATGAATAAATCAAAACTGAAACAAAAAAGACTTACGTAAAGACCTTGTCTTTTTTGCCCGCCCAACCTCGCAACAGATTTAAATAGGTATAGAATTAGTATTTGCCAAATAAATTTTGACGTCTATATCAAGATGATTGTTTAAAATAGATATTATTTAATAAATGAACAGCACCTCCTATCTCGGGAAGAAATGGAACATCTCTAGCTAAATTTTAAATTCTAAAGTTGACTTTATTTACTAAATCACTGTTTTACTTACCATCCTTTGAGTTTATGATGAATTCTGCCATAAATGTTTATCCTCTTAATGACTTTTAAAGTTGTTACATAAAAAAATATGTTGAAAACAATGGTGAATGCCACTGGTGTAAAGAATATTGCAATTCCTAGCCAACCTGAAATAGAATAAGATTAAATTAGATAAGACATAGAAATTATTTTTGTATCATTTGGGGTACATGAGGATGTACTTATGTTTGTTACTCTTTGATGCAAAAACTACTGAATGGATTTTTACGAAGTTTGGTATATGGATAATTCTAAACCAGAATTAACATATAAGCTACAATATATCCCACTAAACGGGACCACGCTGGCGAAGCCACTCGCTGATATCAACTGGTGGTTCTTTCTACATAAAAGTTGCGACTTTGATGTAGAAAGAATAATATTTTACTATCAAAACCCTTTAAATCTTGTAAATTATCCATATTTGAGTACTCATACTACAATATAATTGTGCTACACTGAGACTGAGATACAAAGTAATTTAGTTTTATTATAATTTTATAAAGCTTACCTATGGTTTCCTGTTCCATGTCATCAACAAGAATGGATGAGGAAAAATGAGAGTTCATTTGTCCATTACTGCCTGTGTCAAAAAGGAAATGGGCACAAATTGCTAATGCGGCCATCAGTATGACACTAGACCACACGGCACTTGAGTAATAACAATATTTACGTACATCGGTTACTCTTAAAAATACATTTCTCGATCTGCAAAAAAATGTAATTTATGTTTCTTTCAGCTTATTGGTATACCAAATACATTCATAAATAAAACATACTTAAATGTTTTCCAAATGTAGAACCCAAAACTATTTAGCCAAAAGAAAGCACCTAGGAGTGATATGTACAATATGATATCTGGAACAGAAATATTAGTATATCAATTGACTTATTTATGTATTTTGAAGAAAAGCATATATAGTAACTTAAATATATAAAACCAACTAACCTGTTACCATGAAGCTTAAGTGGTTGCTGTATTCAGTAAAAATTCTTATAAAATCAGCTGCTTGACTAACAATTAAGCAAACATTTATTGTTGTTATAATATTTCCTGCCAAGTCTCTCAAAGTTGGTAGGATAAAATATATTATTGCTACTGCAAGGAATAATATTATGGCAATACCATGAAATATTGGATTTAGAATTTTTGTCAAAAGAAAGTTTGTATCTTTCCAATCTATTTTCACTTCTGGTACACAAACTAAAGCATATTCCCCAGTGATATTTGTTTTTGTCATAAAAATCTGAAAAAATATTGTAATGTCATGAAATTAGTTTCAATAGAATAACAATTTTTTATTCTATGCCTGGCTAGTTTTAAAAGAGAAAAATACTTTAAATAAGTTATCTGAATGAAAATTCAGAATCACAATTAGCATTAAACAAAAGTTCTAAAGTATTTTCTAAGATTCGAATTATAAAAAGTATGTTTCTTTTCCAAGCTATGTCTTGAAGACTACCTTGTCCATACAGTATTTTCTTTGATCGTGAATATAGGAAGTCGGTTCTTTCACCTCCGGAATTGTGATTGGGTCATGCAAACTAAAAGAATTACTCTGAGTTGGATCTTCTTTAATGCTATCTATGCTGTGTTCATGATGGATTATGTGACGCATACGTCCATCAGATAAAATATTCAATCTGAAAGAAGAAATGTTATGTATTATAGCTAGTTTACATAATCTTATAGAATTCTTTTCACAAAAGACTTCTTCATGATGTAAATATATGGATCATTAGTTAATCTATTAAGGGCACATCTAAAATGTTTTTGTTTTTGTAAGTGACAAAACCGAATTTTCATATTGAAAATTTTATAAAATACCAATTGCTATGTGACTCTACTTTTGTTGTGATAAAAATTACATACTCATCTTCTGTATTCTTCAAGTAATAGATAGGCCTCATCTGTGTATTCTCACAATCAGGTAACCCTGTTTCATATTGGAAATGCTTCAATTTAACATCTTTTCCATCTTCAGACTTAAATTGTGGCTCCCATAATGCTGTCAAAAGATAAAGGTATATTTAAATATGGTTATTGATAATTAAGGATTGATGATAATTGATAACTAACATGCCACATAAACAAAAATAATATTAATTTCTTTTTGAGGTTTTGTTATTATTATAATATATTTCAAAATGTTTTAAATCGCTGTTTAAAGTAATTAACATTAAATAAGGGCAAACACACGCTTTACGGTTCTCATCGTGATCTATTAGTTATACTCACTCTGATTAAACAATTCAGCCAATCTACAAGAGGAGTCTATCATTAATTGGTTCGCTTCACAACATTTGTTTATTTTGACTGCGTAAACTTTTTCGGCTACATCGTTTAGGTTATTATCTATCTGATCGGTTTGTTTTGCTTGGGATTTAGTTATTATTAATAATATAAATAAGAAAGGCTTCATAAACATCGTGATTCATAAACACTTCTCATCGAAAATATTTAAGTCACAGTCACAGTGAAATCTAATAAATAAAGCACTTAACTGTTGTAATTTCTCATAGAATTATTTTAATATATACAAATCTTATTTAGGTTTTAGTGATTTAAAACGTAAATTATGCATAAATAATCACCACCCAAACTTGCATTCGGTTTGTTTGACATTGACATTTTAGTTGTCGGTAACTTTTTTAATATAAAGCAAAAGAATCTAGTTAAACGGCCTGATGTAAAGTAATAACGTTCTTTGTTTTTAACCTTCGACGTCGACGTAACGTAACAAAATAAGTTATATAACACAAACGCTTCTGTAAGTATAAGCATAGGTAGATAGTCAATAGGCATACAGGGTGTAAATGGGGATGAACATGCACAAATATACCCGTGTATAATAATTAGGGTTCGCTGATAAATATCAACGGATATATATCATGATATGTATCTTAATATATATACATATGTTGATATATATTAATCTATATTTATAATATTTATTTTTGGTTGCAGTATTCAGTATCAGCTAGAAAATTAACCAAGCGGATGTGACGCTGGCAACATTGGTCCGAAGTAGCAATCTTACTTACAAAAAAATTCAGATTTTTCCCTTTAAGTTACTAGAGATCTTCGCACGCATACTAATTTTGACTATTTTATAATAAATAAATAAATTAGAGTTATATTTGATCTATTTCGCATTCATAATGCTGCACTGAAAAATATTCTTAAAGAAAAATAAATAACTCAAATTAAATCCTTATTTTACACTCTTCATATAAAAGATCAAATTATTAAATAAAGCTATTAGCAGCTCAAAAAATCGCAGCTTCTCATATGCATGACATATATGGAATAAATATCAAATATCGGATATTTTGACATTTATTATAAATATCGGATTCTAATGGACCCCGGCAATAATATTTACTAGATAAGTGATTTCGAAGTTAGGATTAATAATCGAATAACATCAAGGGTGTGTTCCGATATACACTGCGAGCACTGCGCAGTGGTCTTACTGCTGAAAAATCCGTTCCGTTATGGACTGCCAGTACACTGCTACAGTACCCTAGGGAAATTTATGACGTCATAAACTGCCGCCATATTTGTACTGTGAGCACTGGAGATTTCGAGGTAAGGTGCTCGCAGTGCTTTTGATCACGTGATCAGTTGAAACAGAATCAGAAAATGATAAGTTTCTAAATAAACAAAAAAAAAATACTTACGTTTATTTATAAGATGGATTTAATTGATAAATATTTTTTTTATACAATTTTCCAATTTTCTTTTGAAAAGAGGGAATCTTTATATTTATGTTCACCTTGCATTAACGAATTTGAAAATAGCGCCAAAAAATAGGATTAACAGTATACTGGACTGCGTTCCGTTTTAAAAAGTCACCAGTATAACTAGCTATAAAGGAACGGGCTTCCAATATACCAAATTGACGTCATACTGTTCAGTGGTCGCAGTGTATATTGGAACATACCCCAAATATACTCGTAGGGTATCAAATCAAAGGCCACGTGTATGTACAATTGACTACTTGACAGCTATAACAATAAATTATGTGAAGCATGTTGGAAATGGTAACATATTTAAAAAATAAATATGTGGGTAGTATTTTTTGTTTGAAAATAAATTTTAAGTACATTTTATTTTTGCAAAATTAACTTTTAAAATAACAAAATTCAAATCACGGATGGTTATGAAGAAGCATCGTGTGATGTCAAATTTCAAAATACTAAACGTCAGTGTCTTTCTTGAGAGTGCAACGAGTACTCATATTTATTAAAATGAGACGTCACAACACGTAACTGCTAGTTTTCGTAGGACAATTCGTCGTAGTAGTAGCGAAAAGTAACAAGTGCTTGAAAGATTCGTCAGTCCTGTTAGGTCCTGGGTAGCTCAGCGGTTAGAGCAGTCGCCCGGATTGCGAATGGTCGTGGGTTCGAATCCCATCTCAAGGTGCCAAGGACCAAGTGGATTTTTTAAGCATTTTGTATTAAGAATTAAGATATACTTTTTGGAGAAAAATAAATCCGTTATTGGGCTAATATGATCATATGAAAGTTTTAATACACTTTTAGTAGCCAGTTAGATGTAGGTATCTAACTGCGTATCTAGCTTTATTAAAATTCATTTACTAGTATGGTAGAACGGTGGATGAATAATAAGTTCTTCGGAAAGCACTGCAAATGCAGCCGACACCGACTGTTGCAGTAACCTAGTTAACGTAATGTGTTATGGTTCGTTCTTCCGTATGTGACTATTCACAGGGCTACCTATACCCTAAAAGGGACGACAAAGATACATCGATTGTGATTATGAATATGATGATGATAAAGTAACTTTTTAAGGGTTTTGTACCCTAACAGCTAAAAGGGACCCTATTAATTGTCCGTCTGTCCGTCTATCTGTATGTCACCATGCTGTATGTTAATGAACTCAGGAGACTTTTTGAAGTATTTGAGAATCAAATCAAATCAAATCAAAATATTTATTGCGTGTCACATTACAAACAATGAGATATAACTAAGTTTTAGGTATACATGTGACGCCCTACAAGAGCATTGCAATATGTAGAGGAGAATATAACATTAACAATAATTTAAAATTAAAAACATCTCATAATTTAGTTGTTCATTGCCTTAAAATTCGAATAAAATTCCATTAGATAGAAAATTATGTCAAAATAAATATTCCTAATGAAAGGCGACTAAAGATTATATAAAACAATAAGTAAAAAATAAATTAAATTAATATTTGCTCGTCACATTTGTCTTCAAAAAATTCTTTTATATTATAGTAACATTTATTAATAAGATATGATTTTAGTTTTGTATTAAATTGTGTAGGATTTCCTAAATTTTTTATGCGATTTGGTATATGGTTATATATTTTAATTAACATTAAATGGGGGCTGGATGTAACTAAATGCATTTTAGAGAAGGGTACTTTTAGCTTATTTAAATTTCTATTGTTCCGTTTATTGTTTATTTTGGGGGAATAGAATTCCGGATGCTTTCTGACAAATTTACACGCTTCAAGAATGTAGATAGATATTAGAGTTAGTATGTGATGTTTAACAAAGTATGGTCTACACGAGTCCATTTGTTCTATATTGGTAATAATTCTTATGCATTTCTTTTGCAGTACAAAAGAAAATTATTTACAATTACTTCACCAAAATCAGTTTGGCTTTAGCACAGGTAAATGTACCACAGACGCTGAAATTGCACTATTGAGGCATATCTATGATGCTTGGGAGAATAAACAAGATGCTACTGGCATTTTTTGCAATCTGTCAAAAGCATTCGACTGCGTTAGTCATGAAACATTGTTGGGGAAATTAGAGCATTATGGTGTGACGAAAAATTCACTTAATCTAATAAAATCATATCTTTCTGCTAGAATTCAAAAAGTAGTAATTAATGAAGCGAAATCTGCAGGGCACCAGTTACTATGGGCGTACCTCAGGGATCGGTATTAGGACCATTGCTTTTTCGAATTTATATTAATGATCTTCCTCACTTCACGAAGAATTTGTGCGAGACAGTATTTATGCAGATGACACCTCTTTACTGTTTAAAGTTGAGAGGGGTAATGATTGTTTTGACGATGTAAATAATGCTCTCAACAATGTTCTACAGTGGTTTGATAATAATAATTTAAAGCTCAACTAAAATAAAACGAAATGCATAAAGTTTGCATTACCTAATGTGAGGCATGTCAGTACACTTAAAAATGTAAATAGTGAAAAAGTTGAGTTAGTAGAACCGACAAAGTTCCTTGGTATTACACTAGATTCCCGACTTCAATGGGATCCTCATATTGATAGCTTGTCAAGTAGACTGAGTTCTGCAGCTTTTGTTGTTAAGAAAATTAGACTCATGACAAATGTTAAAACAGCACGATTGGTATATTTCAGTTATTTTCATAGTGTAATGACGTATGGTATATTGTTGTGGGGTTCTGCGGTTAGCATTCAGGATATTTGAATTCTACAAAAGAGAGCTGTCCGTGCCATATAAAATTTACGGTCTAGGGAATCTCTCAGAGAAATATTTAAAGAAATAAATATTCTGACTGTTGCCTCTCAATACATCTATGAGAATATTATGTACACAAGAAAACATTACAATTCCTTCACAAAAAAAAGTAGTGTTCATAATCTTAACACAAGAAATAAAAATAAACTTGCCGTTCCAAGCTTCAGACTTCAAAAAACCAGAGGATAATTTCTGGGTATATATATTGCTATGTTCAATAAAGTTCCACAAAATGTAATCGACCTACCCATAAATAAATTTCAAATTCATGTAAAGAATATACTTATGATTAAAGGCTATTATAAAGTTGATGATTATTTTAAGGACCGCAATGCATGGGATTAATAGCCTTCGCTCTGTTCTGTAATGATTAATTATAGGTATGTACCAACCTATGTCCTACAGACTTTGAAACTTGTATTTATTATTGTTCAATATATGTATTATTTTGGTAATGACACGTTTTATGTAAATGTCATTACTTATGATAAAAGCTGGTAAGTTTCTTTCGCTTATTCTTCCTGTCAGCTAAAAGACGTCCTGAACAAGTGGTAGGGGAAAAAATATTTTTCGACGATTCAAAAGTGCTTGTAACAAGCTTACTTGAATAAAAACATTTTCATTTCATTTCAGACATGAGAATCGTGATACTTAGGCTTTTGGAATTTTCACAGATCATGTAAGCATTTCTGTTGCCGTTATAACAATAATAGGGGAGCCGAAGCGGGGATTTTGGGATTTACTAAAGCGCGGCAGATTAATATACAGGGGGATACCTTGTACCCAGTTAAGTACCTGGACCAAGTATGAGCCCTATAAAAATGGCCGCCTGGCAAGGACGAAGGATCAGATTAGTAAAAAAAAATTGATCATCTGAAAATCTCAAGCGCGTCAGATTAAGGTAAGGTGAGCTAGTTACATGCTAAAAGGTGTACATACCTCTAATCTGACAATTTGAGAGTGACGTTAAGAAGGGGGAAGGCTACAAAGTTGTAAAAAAAAAGTCACACTGGCATTCTCGAGCGTGGCTATTTTTATTTTGAAGGGAATCATTCAAGGATTACGAAAAATATATAATGTAACGATTTTCACAAGCCGAAGTAATAAAAATTCAACGATTAGATTTAATGCGTGCAGCTACCTGATATCTATATTTCCTTCTCCGCATCACTATTTCTCTCTCACTCTTTTTCTATCTATTACTCTCTCACTCCGTCCCCACTCTGGTTTCGGTTGCCATGACGCCATAACAGCTGATGATACAGACTCGTTCGTGGCGTGATATTGTTTACATCATATTTCCAACGTTTTTGCTTATTTTGTTATTTTAATGTAAATTTTGTGAATTAAACTTTTTACATATTTACTAAGAGAAGAAGAGAAAGATGATTCTAGCGATGAAGATGATAATTAATAAAAAATACTGTAAAAAATAAATTTTCATATAATCATTTTCTTATAAATATAAGTATTCTACATAAAAAAAAACATACACTTTTTTATTTGCATGCTAACTCCGGTGCTTTTCTATTTAATAAAGTTCAATGATTTGAAAAAATAAAAAATAAATTGTCAGATTAAGTAAATCCCTTCAGATAATCGTCAGATTATGAGATATCACGTCTGGGGCATAAAGATGAACCATATAAATCTTAATCTGACGCGCTTGAGTATTTCAAATCTCGAGTATGTCCATACAACAGTTTTTTTTTTACATTTTTGAAATCTATAGCCGCTTCCCCCACCGATGAAAAGGTATATATTATATGACATTTTTTTTTGTTATCATCTAAGCTTCGCAACCCAATAGGTCTCTATGAAGCTCGAGTAAATCCCGATTTAGCATCGTGGGCTCCCCTACTACAACAAATACTAGAACAACATAATTAAATAAGTATTTCAGGAGGCTTTTATATACAACAACCGTGATTTTTGCGTTTTTTTTGCTTGGCTTTTCTTTATATAATTAGAGATTTGTTAAATAAGAAATACATATATTTCCACAAAATTTATTTCATTACATTAGCATGCATTTTGTAAAACATTATTTCAGTTTCTAGTTTAATGAATAGGAACACAAGACTTATATAAAAATATTTATTAATCTATTATTTACATTACGTAAATGCTTACATTCAATTACTTAACTGACAAAATTAACTAGACTTACTTAATTTACTCTTATTTTATCATCGAAATGTTAGTTTGAACTTTATTACTATGATTGAAATTTACGTATTCTTAAAAATAAATAAATGTATGAATATCGTTATTTACGTTTGGAATTCCTCAAAAACTATACAATATTCAATTATATTTACATTATAAGTCTTTCTTTCTTGTTCACAAATAATGTCTAATATGAGTAAAATTTTAAGATGTATGCTTTAAAATCTAGATCTTCTAAAAATAAGAGATGCATTTAGAATTGAAAACACTACCCCTTGTATGTGCAAAGAATCTCCATAATTTCGGTATTTACTTAAATAATATGTATCTACAATGTTCTGTTATATTTTGAAAACCAAAACATTTGTTTTTAATATAATATTGTAGGACTACAAAAATATATTTTATGCTGGTCCTTATTAAATGGTGGTTATTTTACACAATTATTACTAATATAATATGGCACAAGTTTGATTTACAATGAAATATTATGTTTTATATTATAAAACCAGTATAATATACATGCACTCATAACATTCCCAAATACAAATACAAATAAAAATAAAACAAAACTTGAGTTGATTTAATTTACCTTAAGATGGTAAATTTATCTAACAAGATAAAAATAAATTTTAATTGACGATTGCCCTGAAATAAAGAAAAAGATAAATATGCAATGATTTCTTAATATGCTATATGCTATTTGTATCTAGCAATGTTTAAATTTTAATTATATATACAATTTCATTGAGAAACTATTCGGGTATTCCAAAGTAAAGTTTTCTATAATTAAACATATTTATCCAATTAAAATAAATGCATTAAAATTTACCTATCTTTTTGAGATTCTTATTATATAATTTTGTTTCTAAGTACAAAATAAATATAGTATCAAATCGAGTGAAATTACGTTTTTCACATTTTCTCCCGTTTTCTTACAACTTTATCTCTTTCACCCGCATATAAATAATTGCTAGAGCGAGAAAGTTTTAGCCAATGAAAAAAGTTTGAAAATCAATTTTATGTTAATATCAGAACACGAATTTTACTTACATAATTAAATTCGGCACTATTGTAGACTATATTATAACTATCAACTTCATCACAAAAATTTCAATGCAAAGTAATCAACTGTTTAAATTGAATACTGGGCATATTGAATACTGAATACTAAGATATTGAGCATAACACTGTCTCGCTTTAACAATCAAGACATGATCGTAATTATTGAAGTAACTATTTAGAGTATTCACAAGATTAATGGATGGATTCAGTTGAGTTTAACTTCTATCGTCTCGTCGGCCAATATCTCTTGATCGTCGGTGTCATCGTGTGGACTCAATTTCTCTGCTAGCGGCCGTGTGATGGGCAAGCAGCAGTGTTCGCTGGCTAGACCGCGCATTGCGCGCCTTCTGAACACAACTAACAGCAAAAATATAATGACACCTTGTAGACAATTGAATGTGTCCATGATTTTCCTGAAAAAAAAAAGAAATTTGCCATCAATGCTCCTAAAAACTTACAAACAGCGCTAAACATTTAACATCATCACTAGTCTATTAATGACCCCATAGCTGGACCAGAGGCTTTCATTATGGAAGATTAAATTGGGAGAATTAACATCTGCTGATGCAGCCGGGATCATCGACTTAACGTGCCATTCGAAGTAAGGAGAACTGGTAAAGTTTTGATCAATCATCCGATGATCAACTCTTCCGAATATTGCTTAATCTCCACAATAGCAAATTGGACGCACTGATTCATTTATTTAATAACTATGCCATTCAGCTTCTTCTTTGCCAGTATTGCACAGTTTCCATTTTTCTAATTATTGATTGTGGAAATATACTTAAATATGTTACATATTTACCAAATAATGTGTTGTTCGCCATGTGCAAAACTTGCAATTTCGAAGATCCAAGATATCCCCATTACCAAAAACAGTTTAAGCGATAAACGGAATCTGAAATATGACATATTCAAATTATTGCAGTATTTTCATGGTTACTTTTTTAAGTAATGCCATATTTCTTAGTCGTTACTGTCATACCTGTGCTTTAAGTTATTCAATGTGTTCACTTCATACTTGTTTGTTTGCTGCCAAAGAAGATATGACGAGAGCACAAACAGTATTATGTTCGAGGTGACTAAAATTGCTATGGGCCCATAGAAGAACAACCATGTTTCTGTCCGGCCAACGAACCAGCAGTTTCCGTCTCCAAAACCAGGCTTGTAATGGTTTCCTTCGGCGAAATTTGTGATGAGAGCTATTATAAGAAATGCTGCAGGGCAACCCCATCCGTAAGTACTATAAATCAAGTACTGCTTCCTCTCGGTCTTCTGTAAATAAGCGGCGTCCCTGAAATAGAAAAAAATATTTAACACACGACTAAGAAATTCTCAATTCTAATAATTCTCAATTCTTATTCTTAAAACCTGAGATGTGGTTTATATTGAGAGCTACATCTTAGTAGGAAAATATTACGGTTCGCCGCCATTCAAATATGTCAAATAAATATTACGGTTTGACGTTGACTCCAGTTTGGCATCACCATCAGCTCGAAAACTGCCAACGCGTCTAAGAAAATGTCTGCATACCAATTTCGTTTATCATCCGGCTTGTGGGTTAATTTTAGCTGACGGATTTCGTGGGTAACCACGGAAAAATACTTTATTATGCCATACAATCTAAAATTTTTGAATACTTATCGCTAGTTTAAAATGAAGAGAAACTACTTATCGCTAGTTTAAAATGAAGAGAAACGCTCATAACTTACAAAACAGTTCGGAACGTGTTAATGCTTATTATGTTCATCCAGAAAAATGTAGCCATCATCCATGCGTAAACCAGAAAGCCTGAAAATGAAAAGCACAAAAACATATAACTAACCAAAATCAGACTTCTTTGAGTAAATTTTATCTTGAGTATTGAATTATGGTATTCTTACCTGCGACTGTACAAAGTTCAGTACTAAAACCAGGATTTAATTGCAGAATTCCCAGCCAAAGAAATCCTAATGACATGCTGATGCAAGTGCCAAGGTAACACAATCCTTGTAGGTCTCTGCAATAATTACATTTATATTTGTTAAAACACTTGCATGGCGATTTGTCGATTGCACAAAAGCTTTCAAAGAATATTCTTTTTGATTTGTTGTAATGATTCGTATATAGCTGACCTCATTTGTGGTAGATAAGTGTAAACTGCGATTGTAGCCAACAAGAATACGACAGAGATAAGAGTCAGTGTGCCACTGGTTTCGAAATCACTAGATTCTTGGTATCGGTCTTTTTCGAAGCAAACAAGCGCAACGTCCATCAACCCCATCTCCTTATTGCTGATGTTTCTATACATTTGGCTAATACAATATCTGTGAAAGGGAAAAAACTTAAATAAGAAGATGTTTCTCTTAAATTATAATGATATATGTCAATTCATTGATGATCAATAAGATGATTCCATAAATGAAGATGCCTATACTGCATAAACTTAGGGACAGTCTATTTTAAACCTAACCACTTACTGATTAGGATCCTCGACGAATATGTATCCTGGTGTATCAACTGTGGAGACTTTATTGCCCTTAAGGATGATATCCGTGAGCAGCATACGTCCCTCTGGGCAGAATAGTTGAGGTGCGCTGACATTGCCGCAGCTTCGTCGCTCCAGTAGTTCTCCGTTGGGGCAGCATGTATTAATCGATAAAGCTGCTCCACAGGTAATTAACAACAGGAATAATTCCTGAAAAGACACAATTATATGTATGTAAAGATAATCATGGATTTTACAAGCAGCTGAGTTAGTGAATCAAAATTGACAAAGAACAATGGTCAAAATGGACTACGAAAAAAAAGTTCTTGTACCAAGATGGAACTATCACCAAAATGTAGTATAAGTTGAATGTAATTATTATATACCAACAATTTATTTTTAACAATTTTTAAAAGCTGGGAAAAGAAAGATAATCCTCTCTAAAATATGTCTTTATTTTTTAGAACGCAGTTTAAATTATGTTATTTTTGAACGCATCTTATTAATAATGTCATTCCTAGAGAAGTCCCTCTCTTTTCAAAGAACAAGATCTATTTTATTTCTGACTAATAGAATTTGATACAAATCTTATATTATTTACTAACCATATAAATCCGTGAAAATTATAAAACTTAGATTAGATTACGAATATAATTAGATGTTACTTAGAGGAAAATAGTTTATTAATAATGAAATTAAAAACAAATAATTATTTATAAGAATCGATATTACAGTATTCAATCGATTGCGACCTCCCTTTTTAGACAAGTATGTGTAGACGTGTTTCTACGCAGACCGTTTTGTAACTTTGGCGGTAATTTTGTTTTATCTTCTGTATTAAGGGTTCCATGGGCAGTATACAATTGAGGTCTGGAGAGAAATACCGGATTCTCTGGATTTATTAGAATTAGACTTAAATATAAAGTCCTAATTATAAGGGGTAGGAAACAATATTATGTGTACATTTTAATAAATAATGACACATCCGGGTTAGATGGCATAAGAGTACACTGCTGTAATTGTCTTATTGGTCGATGTACACTGGGATGCTGTGCTCATATAATGACCATAGTTTGGTATCTTGGATGGGCCAAACACGAGCAGAATGTAGCTACTCCTGCAGCATTCCGTGATTTGTTGTAATAAAGAAAAGAAAAATCAACATGTTGTTTTGCTATATCCATTTGAAATTATTATTTTCACTACTACTTTATATAAGTTATAGTGTAAGATATAAAAGTAGAGTTATTGAGAGCAATCTTAAAAATTATATATAAATATATATATATATATTTTTTGATGTTATACCTCTGTAATACCTCTAACTCAAAATGCTACAGTTTAAATAATACGACATAACCTCAAAAACATATTACACAATTACACGATACTCCCAGCTTTTAAAAATATATTTAATGTCTTTCTTTGTTCTAGTTGCATAGGCAAACAAAATAACACATGTTTCATCAAGTTACGTTTTATTCGATTTTATTAGTCCAAGCATATTAGGCAGATGGCCATTGTTCTTTCTGGACCTTGTCAAAACTTTTTGCCTTGTACTAACTATTTACCTGCTGTACTAACATATCTAATAGTAACTTGGCATGCTGGAGTTAGTTAATGTTTTATTTTTCATTTGATGTAAGTTGATTAAAGGTTGGAGTGTTGTTGTTCTGATATAACATGATTTAAATTAGATGTAATATGTAGATATATAGCACTTATATATTGCACTTGTATATAGATATCGCATAAACAGGCATCAGCACTTTAGCTAGTATATCAATAGATTATTAAATTACACACTAAAACAAAAATACAATTGAAGAGCAGTATCAATATATTTATCTATAAGGTCAACATAGTCATCGTTTAATTTGTTTGCTCTATTAGATTTCCTCTCAACTCCCCTATCCCCTAAGTTTCTAAGAAGTCTCTGATGTAAAAACCTTTTACGTATTCACGGTTATATAGAAATAATATTTACCCAATTATCGTATAAATAATAAATCGCAAATTGTCTTATTTAAACAAATGAGAACATAGATGCCATGCGATTGTTTTGTTTTACCTTTTTGCAATTAAAATATTAAACTATATAAATGTGTAGGTGTAGGTATCTTAATCAAAGGGTATTATAATGATTCATGGTCAATTATTCGGAAATAGGTCAGTCAACAATCAGTGCCTGTTAATGATATGTAAAGAGGGTAATATTGTTAAGCTCTGTGCCTAGGTCAAAGTCACATCTCTGGGTCAAATGATTTTGCCACAAGATTCTATCATAATTGATCAAGTAGACAGCCATTACATATATCATTAATAAACTAATAAATGTTTCCTTGTCGCTTCAAGTTTATTATTCCTAAAAAATAAGTCATTTTTATGTACCATATATCAAGTGAACAATAATAAAAGAAGTTACACTACACCTAGAGTTTTACAAATGTTTTTACAAATGTCGAACATTAACATCCAGATATTCATCTCATGAAATACTAATATTATTTGTAAACTGAATCTGTTTATGCATTTTATTTAGTTCATCGTACAGGACATTTACATTTCTGCAATTTATTTTTGTCGTCGGTCATTAAGTACACGTAAATAAACAGTATTCGCTATATTTAGCAAGCTATTTCGCGTGCACACATGGTATTGGAAGATTCTTTGCACAGTTACTTGGAGAATCATTATGGAGAAATTATGAAGAATATTACGATATTCTCCGTTTATTATATGAAAGACAGCTGTTTTCTGCGACTTTGTCCGAGTAAATTATTGTCAGTAACCCATGTATAATCTAGCTTAGCTTGCTTCACGTAGGTGAAATAATTTTCATAATCGAATAAGTATTTTCGAAGATTACCTCCGACATATAAACAAAGTTAAAAATACTTATCTTTCATCTCTAAATTCCTTAGAAAATGAACTTTTCTATATTGTCTCGGGTCTGCATGTTATGATACCTTGGTTGTCTCAGATACTAGTATTACGGATTATCGGTTTAGCTACTCATCTTGGTATCTGATGTTGACGAATATGATGTTAGTATAGTGAGTTGTAAATTCAATCTCACGATGTATTTTCTAATATGCATCAAGATTTTCTTCTTTGAACCCTTCGTGAATAAGGGAATCGCTGAATGGGTACATTGAGAATATTAGAATTTGTCTCTTTTAGCTGATAAAATGTATCTAAACGTATGTGCAATTATTTTATCTATTACTTGCGGAATACTGTTTTATTATTGTACCCATGTCGCGATAGTTTTATCGTATTAATGTCAATTGTTACAGAATAATATTGAGCCGACCACCCACCCACATGCAAATATTTCTAGTTTTCAGTGATAAAAAAAAATCTATTATATACTCAATCCAAAATATTTATATTTTTCAGTATAGCACTGAGAATGCGAAATTTATCAGTAATATATTATGTAGTTATGATTCGATCTGTTTTTTTTTTTATTTGAATAATATAGTACTGTGCCCTAAGCAGGGCTATTAATTGGCTGATAATAATGGTGAAAAAATTTAGGTCCGCCTTTGCATTAATTTATCCACATGTGAGTTTATTTTAGTCCGAATATTTTAGCCAATTTTCAAAAACCCTTTAATGAAGGGCCACGAAGCGTACGTTTAGGATGCATTAAGAAAAATATTTATAGGTTGAGTTAGGAATACTAGTTTGGAATGAGTAAAGAAATGGGATGAGACGACATAGGATAAATACGGAACAACCCAATAATAAATATTACACTACATCGCATGCACCAGATCTCAAATGAAGTAGCTAAAGTACTCATATTAAGGAAATCCGAAACAACGACGGTAACACAACACCACAAACTCGAGACAATATAGAAAAGTTCATTTCTTTTACTGACCCAATCCCGTCCCTTAGAAATAGCTCCTTGACTCCGCATGAGCCACTCAATCAAGGAGGTCGTCAATGTATTTATTTAAAACTGATCATTCTCACGTATTTCAATGGCGCAGTAGTTAGTGCGTTCTACGATATCCTTGTTAAGCAACTTTCCCAAGGTCGGTTATTGGATGGGTGACCAAATATTATTTTTTCGAAATCCTCCGTGCTTCAAAAGGCACGTTAAGCCATCGATGCAGGCTGCATGTGCAGTCCACACTGGACCCGCTTCCTTTCATAGGGAAATTTAACGCCTTATTCGAGATAGCATAATTGACACGAGTCAAAAGTCATATATTACAACTTTACAACGATGTAGATTTTATTGTAGATTTTATTATCTAATTATTTATTCAAATCATAATGTTAGTCATAATGTTATCGACGCGTATGAATAACAAACAGCCATGTGTAAGAATTCACAGAATCGTTTTGTGCAAAACAAGAATTGAATGGACGACCAATTGGTTACAAACAGACAATATTTTAAAACGCTCTAGTACTACTCTAACGTTAAATGCCAATAATTTCATTGATTGGTTTATTTTGTTAAAAATATACCTATTAATATATGTTTTTATTAAGTTTTTTTTCGTGCTTTATTATAAGTACTATACTAGCTTTCCGCAAACAGCTTTGCCCGCGTAAACACTAGAGAACTGTTTAGCTGCATAAATATTAGCAAGATTTTTTACTCCTGTGTAAGCATCTTAAATAATTTTATAATTGATCGTATCGTGACACGGATATAATAACAATGACAAATTTTATAGTAAACAATGGTTACTATGGTAACGTTTTAATTCTTCCACTTCCGTTTTCATCTCTTTATTTGCAAATTTTCGGGATAAAATATAGTCTATTTGTCTATTATATATATAGCTAAACAATGGTTACTATGGTAACGTTTTAATTCTTCCACTTCCGTTTTCATCTCTTTATTTGCAAATTTTCGGGATAAAATATAGTCTATTTGTCTATTATATATATAGCTAAATAATGGTTACTATGGTAACGTTTTAATTCTTCCACTTCCGTTTTCATCTCTTTGTTTGCAAATTTTCGGGATAAAATATAGCCTATTAGCCTATTTTATATAGTCTACTGTTGTGTCTATATATAAAAGCTGCCTATATGTTAATCCATGCTCAGAAGTATCCGCATACCAATTTTAATCAAAATCCGTCCAGTAGTTTATTCGTGAAAGAGTAACAAACATACATACATCCATCCTCGCAAACTTTGGCATTTATATTATTAGTAGGACTTAAAGAAGAAAATGACATATTTTTTACCTATAGAAAATTTTAATGTTCTGTTTATCGAATAGTTCACAATTAATCGATATATTTATATATATTTATTCATATTGAAATAAGCCAACTCTTAAAATGCTCGCCGTCAATACAAATATTATTCTTGTTGATAAGTTATCAGTGGAGTGTTACGAGAGGATGTCACTATCTCAACTGCCCATTAACTTGATCTTTAACAAACTAATGTACAATATTGCTAATTGCTCATTACGATATGTATTTTTTTTTGTCATTGCAAACAATGTTTTTAACATACGATGTCAGTTGAACTTGTCCATCTATATTTATTATTAGTTGAAAAAAACATTACTCCATATTGTTTGTTAATGATAAAAATGTATAAATATATATTACAATGTTATGCAATTGTTATTGACAGTTTTCTTTACTTGAGAACGTGGTATCTTCTTATATAGGTACTTGATTATTTTGCACGAGGGTATTTCGGATATGTTTTCTAAGTTAAGTAATTCAATTTCTAAATATCGTTAGTAAATTTGTATTAAATTAAGGTTGATCCTAAACGGCGTATATCTTTATCTATTATGTTATAAATACATTCGATCTCCATTTCATTTTGAAGAAGTTTTTTTTTATTTGAACTTCTAATGCTGCGACAGCGCTGTGTTCGTTTTTAACAGAATAGCGTGACTAGACTGGAACGTATTTGAAATATTTTGTTGATTCGCAAAAAAATCTGTGGAGATTAATCAATCATAAGCAATACGCATTGCTGGAAAAAAGATAATTTACCGTCATTAGAAGTTATCAATCATATTCAAATGTTTCATTTCATTATTAAATACAGTGTTGAACCATCGAAATTATTTTTATTATAAAATGAAAGACTTAAAAATTATTACGATGTTTTGAATTGCATCAAGTTCGTCTCTATTTATGACGTCGATATTTGTGATATAATACTCGAAATAATAACTTTTCTAGACACTATCTCTCTACCCTCGAAGAGACCAATACTGATAACAATATAAAAAAAAAACGACAATACATTCGAATGCACGTACGGTCACCTAGATAACAAATATTCGAACCGAACTTTGTTTCTATACACGTAAGAGTTACAAATTTGGCAGAGTTTGTTGGCATTCGTACTGATAGCAGTGAAATGTTATTTTGTTTATCATTTCTTCTCAACGTACACACATACATAATGCTTCATAATGGGAAAACACTGATAGCCAATTCCAATGTTATAATTTAGAGCAAAATATTTCTATTTATCCTGGTAGAAATCGTTTTGAGCGATAAGGCCGCCAATTATTACATTATTTTGTTGAACTGTTTTAAATTTGTAAATAAAACTTGTGTAATGTTAACAATAAAGAGTTTTCTATTCTATTCTAAGGTAGAAAAAGTCGGAAAAATAAGACTAGCACTATAAATCTATCCATATACTAATATTCTCTGTAATTTTTATGTTTGTTTGTAGGGGGTAACCTTCGGAAATACGAATCAGATGATGAAAATTCTTTCATCTACTAGAAGGTACATTACACGTTAATGATATAGGCTACAATTTAACGGATGGAGTCGCGGGGAAACTTCTAGTAAAATATTTGTGTACATATATACAAAAACAGAACACGAATAAAGTTCCAAAACGTTAATCAACCAGTGAATGTAAATTAAACGATAAACACAATGTTTATAAATATATATAAAAAAACAAACTGATTCGTTCTAAATTTAAGCATTTGGAATAATGAACTGTGTTGTTTTTCGGTACTGAATTTAGGGTAAAAACGCACTCGAACGGTCATTGAATTGTATCGATGATCGCTCTTGTGTAATTCAAATCGTTTTCTATTGGAAGGTAGATGGATTTATAGAAACGACTTTCCATTATAGATTTCATTGCGACTCTAAAACTATTAAATCCTTTTTAATTCGGGCTGACATTTTACGCGTTAACATACAAATAAATCAAAAAGCATCCACTATCCACTTGCATTTATTAAAAAATAATCTTAATGCAATAACATCGCGAAAGCATCACAAACTTGAAATAACTAGCCGATTCAGAAAACCGGTTTATTTTGTTTATCAGATACTTATATCTTACAAGCGCAAGGAAAATATCACACATCTCTCAAAAAAGTTAATAGCTATATAAGAAGAAGATGTAAAAAAAAATCCATTAGAAAAAATGAAAAAAGAAGCGTTTTAATAACCATAAAATATTTTGATCACTGTATTTTCAACTTACCTTCATTTTTTCTCCAAAAATTAGCAGTGCTTAAATAATTATCACTTTTTAAATATCAAATACTAAAATATTTTCTTTTATAACACTGGTTATTTGAATGTGTATGGATATAACGATAGTACAGTTGACGTCTGTCAGAGTAGCGCTTACGACTGGCGGTGTACACAAAATACTCTTGATATTTGTCCAAAGCGGGGCTTGTGTAGGTTATTAGAGCGGGAGTTCGCTGTACTAAACTACACAGAACCATACTCTTCTATTTATTACTGAACGGGGTAAATGTTATGACGTTTACGCTTAATTAGGAGGATGCAACCGTAAGTTATAAAAACATGAACAGGTTTTTAATTAATGCATATTAACATATAACAATTATTTTATTTTGCTTTTGAATCGACTGACATCTTTTTATCTATCTATACTAATATTATAAAGCTGAAGTTTCTTTGAACGCGCTAATCTCAGGAAGTACTTGTTCGAATTGAAAAATTATTTTTGTGTTGAATAGACTATTTATCGAGGAAGGCTTTAGGCTATATAACATCACGCTGCAACTATTAGGAGCGAAGAAATAATGGAAAACGCGGACGAAGTCGGATAGTGGAAAACGGGTGGTTCAGGAATTTTGGCTTATATGAACAATGAGCAAAAGAAACTGTCCAGCTCTGACAGAAGCAACAACGTTTACAAAACCTATATCATTATCAAAAGAAATTCAAAATTTCAATGAGATTCCAGTCATTTTCATTGTGAAGCGTACGTCTCTGTGCTGCCTGTGCATAAAGTCCTATTCATTTTCTATAAAGTAATATCATCTGTTCCTTTATTCGGCTGATGGCTCTGGTGAGATCTCTCGCCATTTACGACCGATGACAATATCGTATTTTAAATTAAAAATAAAAACTTTCATGTAGTTGAAAATAATCTTAACTATTCAAATGTTTAGTCACTGTCATATGTGACCCTACCATATTTTCAACAAAATTTATAATAATACATATTTATCAAACTTAATAATCGGTTTATAAAAAAGAACACTTCTTTTTATTTTTTATTTTAAAGTCATGAATGATGCACGACTACTATCTACATATATCTAAAGATTGTTAGCGTAGTGCAATAAATACACTCAGTATATTATTTATTATTATTGTGCATGAAGTTAGTAATAGTAATAAAATCGTTAGCAAAAACTTAGATCTAAACTTAGAAATGAACCTTCCATAAGTGCTTCATTAATATCCTCTTCTAACTCCCGTTCTATTACGCATTATAAATTCTCATGCGTGCGATGTGATATGTACGTACCCGCTAGTTGTTACAAATATAGTGCGTGATGTGAATAAACAATGTTTATCTGTCCTGCACATAGATAATTCCTATAATCTGGGAATCTATCGCAAATAGTTGTGATTTTAAGAAATAGTTGCGATAGATTCACGTTAAATAATTACTCATTACCCGACTACGGCGAAGCGAAGACGAGACTTATGATTTTGGCCGATATGTGTGTATGTATGTAAGAATGTTCATCTGTTCCTTTATAACTTCCAAAGTACTCATCCTAACTGGACAAATGAGGTATCATTAGAAGGTCAGTGTAGTCGTATGCCACAGATCATAACAAAACAAACTGTTGTGCTATTATAATATAGATATCGCCCTAAAATAATTTTCTTGTATTAAATAAAACATATTTTGAATTTGAAAAAGAGCGTGATTTAATTGTATTCTGGTGTTAGTTTTTGAACTTATTTTTTTTTTATATTAGTAATCCTATTATCCTATCAATATTATAAATGTGAAAGTTTCTTTGTTTGGATGTTTGTCGGTCAATCACGCCGAAACTACTGAACTTTGATGAAATTTGGTATACAGATAGGGTATTAGCTGACTTAGATAATAGGATACTTTTTATCCCACTTAACATTTTCCTAGGGTCCACGCGGGCGAAGCCGCTGGCGAAAGCTAGTATTTAATATATGTCACTCCATTATACTGTGTACTGATAAAATATATTTTTATATAGTAAATATTAGTTTTCCCATTGAATTGGTCGGTATAGTTTCATTGTTATGAGAATTTTGCAATGCATTGCTGTGACAATATCATAAATAAAATTGTCAAGATGAGAGCTAGATTTGCTCAAAGGGCTCATTACTTAAATAAACGTAACTTGTAAGAACAAAAGGAGGAGAATTGTTTGAAATTTTTCAAGCATCTTTATTAATAATTCTTTCGTAAAATTTCGTGATTCAGATTATTTCATGTTGTTTTTATTTTTTTGAACTACTTTTTTATTACGCACTTAGATAAGAACTTGGAAGAAAATAAAAAATACGCTTATGTAAGATAATATATACATTAATGTAATATTTGAATACACTTCAGGAATCATACATAAAGTAGAAAAAATTTGATTTTCTTAATATGGATAAGGTGGGATAATTTGTACCAATTTAAGAGATATCGTTCATACTTTAAGGAACCCTAAAACCAAACCGTGTGAATAACCACTACCACGACGGTATAGATAGGTATGTTTTATTTAATACATCACTCAAAATATTTATGTTTTGTCTTATTTTGCTTATAGGTAGATATTAGAGATGCGGCGAATAGTGGTTTTTACCGAATAACCGAATACCGAATAGTATTCGGTTTAACTTTTACCGAACCCGCTATTCGTCCTAATTTTTCGGTTTACTATTTCATTATTTTTATTTAGACCGAGTGTTTCTAGGTGCTTCTTGTAATTTAACGAACAATTATTTCGGAAGCAGTAAACATATATGAAGTAAAACTTAACAGATTGTTGCTGGAGAGATCCAAGAGGTTGGTGTTTCTACACCATAATTTACCAAACCAATTTATTATTAATATCAAAATATATATATTTATTTATGATTTCTATTATATTTTATAATGACTAAATCACTACATAATATAAAACAAAGTCACTTTCTCTGTCCATATATCCCTATATATGCTTAAATCTTTAAAACTACGCAACGGATTTTAATGCGGTTCTTTGTCATAGATAGGGTGATTCAAAAGGAAGGGTTTTATGTATAATACAAGACTATATTATTCATTTTATAAAATATTCGTTTTATATATTTTCATTTTATAATATAATAAACTATTTATAATATGAATATTTGTGATATTTGGTAAATTTTGCATTCACAATTTAAAATATTTGTAAAAATATTTCTTTCGGCTGTTTGGGTGGATTCCATATCGTGTAGCCAGGAAAAAAGAAATACTTGAATCATATACGGCACCAAAACCGAATAATTCGGCTGAACACGAATAGTGATAAAGATACCGAATACCAAATGAACATTCAGCGCATCTCTAATAGATATTTAAGTATCGAAACACTGTCTGAAGAGGATGCCTAAACTAAAAATCGTCTACTTAAAATTTATTTTCAACAAAGTGATGTTGATTGTGTAAATATATTTCGTATATCAAATAAATATTGGCCATAATGTAGGCGACTTTTTTTTAAACGGTTTTCTTCATTCCAACAAAGTAATGGATATCAAAATACATGATTAGGCATTCAAAATAAGGTGGTTACCAAAATATAAAATTAAGTTTTATTTTGAAGCATAACATGCTTTGAATATGAATGTTATCATAATCTAACGATTCATCATTTACATGTTATAAAATCATCAGTTACTTGTTATAAATATGTAAAATCCCCAAGAAAAACCAGTTTCGATAAGCAGAAGGTCAGACAAATAAAAATACATTGTAGAATATGTTCTTCTAAACTACCTGCTATAAACTGCCTTCCGAGATTAATACCATCCAATCCGCATTGGGCCAGCGTGGAGGGTCATGGCCCATCCTCCTTAACCATCCATAAGGAAGGCCTGAGCCCCTGCAGTGGGGACGTAAAAGGGCTGATGAATGAATAATCGAGAAGTCAAGAGTGGGGTGTCTACGTATTTTTCCATTTGACTACTATCCAAGTATTGTCTTGGTCTAGTTGTATCTCTGAATGGAAATAAATTATTCTTTAATTTTTTCAATAATAAAAAATAGTTTATTCACTTAAGCAGTACATTGCTAAAAAAAATTTTTATTCCGCTAAGCTGCTCAACAGTTTATTATCAGACAGAGCTCCTTTTACAGAATATATTTTACTTCTCAGATGCACTATCTGTCACATTTTTCTTATATATTTCATATTTTTATAATTAACATCTATTGGTTCCTACATAACATAATACAATATAACGTCTAAATTTTAACATTACTTTAATTAAACACTAATTTAATGACCTAGGGAAGGGGATATAATTTAATAAGAATGTAATCTACACACGTCTCCTTTATACTTATATTATACTAACTTTTACTCGCGAATTCGCCCGCGTGGTATAGTTACTTTGGACAACATATATTTTCCAAAAACGCTGTTGTTTTTCGAGCTGATGATGAAATTACCTTGATGTTTGAATTCGAAGATACTACAACAAAAAAAAACAAATATCCAAGATGTTTTAATGTTTTTCTAGTTTCAAGTTTGGCAGAATTTTTGTTGTACAATTATCAAATAAATTCTGAGCCAATTCATTATAAATTCTAAGAACAATATATTTATTATTTCTTTTACCGAAATAGTTGTTATATTTTGGAACTATAAAATGTTTCCTTTTTCTATAATTTATCACAGGTTTCTTAAACTTATCGTTAGCTATCAACAATGATATTCTCTCACGGACCAGTAGTTATAATAATAATATTTATTAGACCACAACTAAACAAAATACATATTTTTCTAACATCTAAGCTTATCCATATACCTACTGTACCTATTTAGTTAGCCTCTGCTGCTGAACTGAGTTAATATCCGTATTTCAGCATTCAGCGCATCAAAACCTCAGGTTCTTAGAGTTACTACGTATATTTTAAGCAGATAAGTAACACTGGAATTTGTTTCTTATATTTAGTACAAACTTTACTTAACCTATAGCGTTATCCTCTAAGTAAGTAGAAAGATAATGATTGAGTGCGTGTGAGAGGGTGAGTAACTTTTGTGTTCAATTAACTATTCTTTTTAAGAAACTAATTTGTAATAATTTGATTTTATTTAAGATTTTATTTAAGTAAAAAAAGTACTTCAATATGTCTCGAATCCATGAGAGTATCGATTCAACTAGAGCATAATAAATCATATACATAGTTGCTTTGTCTAATATAACGCTAAGATGATGGCATCTCACAAGTACTGACCTCATCTTGTCACTTAGGTGTGTTGTATGGGTTTTCCATGAGAAATTACAGTTTATAGTCAAGCCCAAATACCTGTAATCCTCCAGCACCTTGATATCAGCACAAATACAATTTAATATGCCAGTATGCAAACAATTATAGGTCTGTCCAACGATGAGCGATTGATATTTTTTACGTAAGTAGATCTAATGTGCATACATTTTGTTTTATCAATAATATTTGCTTTCGTAAACAATATAACATGTAACGTCTAAAGTTCCAATAAAGAATATTATTATTTTTTATTTATTACTATCCCATTATCGTGAGCCTACTTTATTATACTTATTATCTCGTTTTGAATTTAATTTTCATATATATATCTATGTATTATACTCTTCTTCATTTAGATTACTTTTACAGTTCCTAAACATTTTATCTTGAACGTGAATCATACATAACATAAGTCTTAATTTATTTGTTACCCAGGGTTTACTTAATCTTATATTATTATTCACAACATCAATATTTGCACTATCATAAACATTACAAAAAATCAAATACAATGTATCATATAATCAATGTTTATGTCACCCACTATTATCAGCTCACAACCCATTGGAATGGTTGTTAATATACGCTGCACTTCTAGGAATCTTTATTTAGTTGCTTTCGGTGGCCTATATTAAAATTGCTATCCGGTTTTTCCAAATCTTCTTGCCACAACTTTAAGTCTGTGTATTTTCTATATTTTATACTACTTTTCATAGATTCTGAAAAATCGTTGAATTTTATTCATTTGAAAATCCATGTATAATACGTATTAGGCAGTGATGGAAAAATACAAGGTCAATCATATGATATTTATGTACATATTTATATCACTAAGTGTGCGTATTACTCTTCTTATCAACAACCTTCCATCTTAGATCCAAATGTATTTATAATCTGGCCTCAGCTCAATTTAATTTTCATAACAAGTTATGCATATACTTTGATAAGTCTTCATTCACAACAATTCGTTGTTTCTCTCCGTTTCCCGTATATATCTGGATTAGTGAGCTGATATGATTTTCTTGTTGTTAGCTATTGACCACGGGCGGCACGCGTGGTCATGCTAACAGACACCGGTCTCGGCTTTTTATCACGACGACCATCGCTGGAGTTTATCGTAAATACGAGTACATTATCGTGATCTAAAGGAGCAGTTCGGCCTACCGTTCTTTTGTTTATTTGTTTACCATTTCTGGGTTGATTTTTAATTTAGTGGCATTTTTTTTTTAATTATATACCCTGCATCCTATTATATCTATATTCTTTGTTTTATCACGATTCTCTAAAAACACTATTCTTTCTTCTAGCGCTTTTATATTGACCTGCAAGTGACTGCTTTTGTTATCCAATGATTTTATTTTTTTATATGTTTTCTCCTTTTCCTCAAATAATTCTTGGTATTTCTCAGAATAAAAACTTTTTTTTTTCAGACAATGTCTCTAAAGTTTTTTTCATGTTAAATACTATGGCCAATTTCTCATTTTATTCGGCTACTAGTTTTTCAGGTGTAGACTTCGAGAGATCTATGTCAATAGAAGGTCTTTCAAACGGTGATAATTGACATTCGTCGCATATCCCAGTTTTACTAAATGTTTTAATTTTTGTTGCACATTTTTTGTGAAACATTGTTTGTTTTATACGACAGTGAAAGTTTTCACATCTTACATTGAACCATGTTTATAGGATTTCAATGTTCGTACTCTTAACACAATCACTTAAGCAACTATAAATATTATAATATTAATATGTGACTGTATATAGTAATTAATATCCATATCGTTAAAACTCCTATCATAATCAACATAGCAACCTTCCAAGACATAAATATTGGGCGCATATAAATTAAATCAGCTACATAAAATAAGTTATAGAGAATAATATATTTTTTATGTATACATAGCTGTTCCAGTGACTTCATATTCGTAAATTATAGCCTATGTCATTAGTGTATGATGTAGCTTCCCGTAGGTGAAAAAAAATTCACGTTTGGATCAGTATTTCATACAAAGTAAGAAACTTTAACCTATTTATAATATTAGTAAGACTTCATCTACAAACTCTCAAAGTTCATTATTACCATAGTAAAACAATATTTGTAGCTACTCTGTTATCTTGTTACTAAACATATCAGTCCTTTTTAAATTCAGCATATCACGTTATCGTAGATATTGACGTTCACGATTTAACGTTGACGTCAACGTTTTCATAATTCGCTCCGAGGATGTGATTGGACGGGAAAGGGAGGTAATAATAAACTATTTAATAATTTATTTTAAAATATATTTCTTTTTACCTATTTCTAATAATTTATTCTAAATATCGCCAGACAAAAATATTTCGTAGCTTTGCCTTTGACACATAAATATCGCAATTGTTTAAGAAGGAAGCTCGTCGCCAGTGCCGGATTAGCCACGTAGCAAAAGTAGCAAATCCTAAGGGCAAACCCCGCGCAATTGGTGGCGCCGTGCTATTGAGGCCCTGCGTAATTGGGAGCCTCGCTGTGGCCTGTCCAATCAATGAATTTTTCCGTCAGTGTTAAAAAATCCAAGAAATAAAATAAGCCACGCTTCTGCTTAAACTTATTTTTTAAGCATAAACATAAACTGACAAAACTTAAGTCAAAGAACGACTTTTCTGTTTCAGATTTACTGAGTTAAAAAAATTGCTACAGGCCTCGCTCTGACTTATTTATTTTATTATTTTTGTAAGGGGCTATGAATATTGAAGATCTATTTTGACTCGCCGACAGAGCTATAGTAATTCCTTTAGCCAGGTAGACTTCAAAAATTCTTTAATATTCTTGGTTTTTAGAGATTTTATATCTTCTGGGCTGATTATATGTCGTCCCAGATGTATGCTTCGTTTGTGGATCAGTGGTCCACAATCACACAGATGTTATGGTGTTTCACGTTTATATTTGCAATATCTGCAAATGTAAGTGTCACTTAGTTTCATGTTAAATAGGTGTCTGTTTAATTTGCAGTGTCCAGATAAGGTTCGTACAATTGTACTTATATTTGCTCTGTTTAGCTTCAAGAGCTCTTTAGCTAGTTTTTGTGAGTGACATTCAATTAGGAATTTAGCGTGATTTAATTCCGGCTGTTTTTGCCAGTATTTTTTTTTTATCTTTTTGCAGGTCTGGCTTAATCCGGCACTGTTCGTTGTTCATTAATCCTACTTTAATAATATTATATAAATTTATATAACACTCAATAATGTGGTGTTAGTAAATTATATACTGTGATTCTATACGAGAAGCGAAACCTGGTTTCAAGAAATTCTTACTAATAGAAGCTCATGGAAGTTTTCTTCAACCGTCATGTCAAAAATCCTTTAAGAGTATAACTAATAGTTTCACATATTAAATATGAAAATTTTAATTTTTAAATAACTTACATTTCAATTAAAGAATATATTCATTATATCAGAGAATACTATTGACTGACTAAATTGTTTTACAATTCACCCTCATCTTATGTATAAAAAAATATATATTGTGTTGGCAAAAACCTGAGTCTAGAATTGAAAAAAAAACGCAGGTTTGGATTCTGTTTGTGGCAATTTTTCCCAACACTGTACAAAATATTCATTATTTAATTATATTTTATGAAAAAAAATTTAGTTTAAAATATATTTTACAAAATACATTAAATTTTATAGTATTTTTTATATTTTACAGGTATATTAAATATAAAAATTAATTACAATATTATTATTTAGTATTAAATAATAACACAATATTAGCCGTCTGTGATTAATACTTCACTTTGAATCAGCATGTATTTATACAGCCAATGCTATTCTATAATAAAACAGCCTTTAAACTCGACGACGAACACAGAGGTTCACTCAAATAAAACCTACTTGAAAACGTAATAAAAGCTTTATTCCATTGGAGAATAGCGTGGCTGTTCCAAATTAGTCAAGTATCATAATTTAAAGTTGTTAGTCATATTTATAATACAACATTAAATAAAATAGTTATATTAATTATGAAATAGTTATCATTTTTATATTTCATTAAAATAATTTTAATTATAATTTACCTATAAAAAAGTTGTTCAATAAACTCCTTTTATTCATAACGCTGCTTGTTTTAATTCTACATACAATGCAATAAAATATTTAAAAATAAGTGGAGATGGACAATTTGTAATGTAAACTGATCTAAAATTGACTATACTGTCGCATACATCAGTATACTTATACAGCATCTACTCATTTATTCCAAAGAGATTCATCAGAGTTAGCATTTAGCTAACAGCTATATTCAGAGCGTATTTAATGTTGAAATTGATTTCAATCAGTCTTCATTTTCCGTTTCTATCTTCCATGGGCACATCTGTATTCTGTGCCATTACATCTTGTTCGTCGTCTTCGCCGACAGCTAAATGTTTTTCCACGGCATTAGTGCAGCAGTCCAACCAGCCTTGCTTGTACATGGCTTTAACTGCTCGCCTTCTAAACGGCACGAGCATCAAAAATATCATTAGACCCTGCAGCGTGTTGTAAATGTCTATGATAACCCTGAAATGAAATAATCATTATTTCATTTTTTTTAAAGTCCCTTTTGTTAAGCTTAATGTTTACTAAAAGCTATAACGTCTTAATTGAACAGTGATGCAATTTTTGATGACACAACACTTCCTTTTTTATGGTTATAAAATAGAGTAGGTATATTAAAAGAGTTTCATCAACTATTAAAGTGTTGTCCTCTTAATAAAACGTTTTTCAAAAAATTATAAAATCGAATAGTTACTAAAAATTGCTCAGCAAGCATACCAAAAATTATTATTTTACAGACTGTGTCAAATTTTCTCAATTAATTTGATCTCTACCTACATTGCATTAATATTTAAAATCAAGTGGGAAATTTTGACAGTTTAGTAGCCTAACGTACTTAAAAATGTTGCCTAAATAAAGTGGAATGAAAAATTATATACTTAATATAATCTGAGACTTATAATTTACAATATTTTTACTTAAATTCAAATAGGATATTAATTTACTTTGGCCCATTAACATATCTTTTCTATATTGAGATCTATTAAAACTAAACACACAAACACAGATAAATTGGAATCTATTTATCACAATGATAGCAACTAATATCGTATCTCAAGTGAACTCTGTTTAGTGGGTTAGGCGTGACTGACAGCACAGCGTAACTAACATATATTTGGGATACTTTGGCATGTATAATATTAATATGGAATAATTGCTGTTTAAATGGAAATCAAAAGTTTAAACTGTTAATATATAATGGATTTGTCGTAGTGAACTGATACCAATTTTTATCGACATAGATCCAAAAATAAAAAAGGTTCATACAAAGGATTTCACCCTTTTGAGCCTCTTTCGAGTGGAATTTTCAAAAATCAGTTGCATTAAGACGTAGCATGAAAATAAAACTAAATTATAAACTCAAATACTAAATAGCTTGAAAGATGTTTGTTTTCTGTTCCAGATCCTATATTTGGTCTAAATTAGTTACTCCTATTGTAATTTACATACTTTAAGGCGTATGAATAAGTACTGCTCGCAGGATAAGGCACAATAAATTGCTTTGTCATTTGAGGCGCACAAAAAAGAACTGTAAGTGGGCAAGTCAAGTTTTTTGAGATCTTTTTAGACGAGCAACCATTTTTTATTGCGAGTAGCCTTTGAATTGCTTTTAGGTTATAAATAAATATTTTCGAGACTAATTCCAATTTAATAAATAGTTTCGAGACTAGCACTTAGGACCTTAGGATTCTATATTTAAATATACCGAACTCAGATCTGACGTATATTTTGAATATTAGTTTAGGGAAAAAGTCTTTTCGCATATAGTATGCATAAACTTGTAGTAAAATGTTTCTGGCTATACCATTTGTATCCAGCTGGGTTTTAAAGATTACTCCTAATTCAAATTAGGAAAACGTGAGGCTTAAATTTGTTTTTCTTACTGTTAAAATGAGTGAATTTTATTTAAAAATTTCGATATATTTTAAATTTTTATTACAAAAATGTTAAAAATGTAACCCAAGCAACAAAAAATTGCGACGTTTAAGGACCTAGTGCAGATTCTATGAGAGTAGCATAAATTTGGTTTTAATGGTTTTAAGCTGTAAGTAGCATAAATTTTGATGTCAAAGATACACGTAACTTCCGTCGCCCTTGTTATGGCTAAAATGGATGCGATTTTTAAAAAAGTGGAGTAAGATCGGCATATAAGTAATTATGACGTAGCTGAAGAACTGAAACCACAAAACAGTTTTGACGCATTTAAAAGAAGGTTGGATATTCCCCACGAGCTCACTGAAAGAAACCTAATGAACCGTGTACACATTTGTGATTCTTTATTACGGTGTAATGAAACCGAACCATTTTAGAAGAAACTGATAACTGGTGATGAAAAATGGGTCTTGTACGACAAGAATGTGCGGAAAAGGTCGTGGTCAAAGGTCGGTCAGGCTGTACGTGGGCTGTACAGACTGTGGCGAAACCCGGGTCAACTCGCAACAAGGTAATTCTGTAAATATGGTGGGATTGGAAGGGCAATAGTCATTATGAGCTGTTACACCAGGCAGGACCATCTATTCTGAACTCTACTGCGAACAATTGATGAAATTAAAGCAAGAAGTTGACAGAAAGGGGCCAGAATAAATCAATAAAAGGGGTGTGGTTATTCCTCATAATGACGCGAGACTTCACACATATTTTGCCACTCAGTAAGAATTAAGAGAGTTTGGCTGGGAGGTGTTTATGCATCCGCTTGTATAATCCTGACCTTGCACCTTCAGATTTCCACCCGTTTTGTTTTCTTCGGAATTCTTTAGGCAGTGTCAGGTTAACATCGCGCGAGGACTGCCAAAACCAATTGTTGCGGTTTTTTGATCAGAAAAAAATTATATAGTAGTGGAATCATATTTCTACCTACAGATAGCCAAAAGTTATCGAACAAAATTGTACCTACAAACTTTAATTAAATGTAAATAAACTATTAAAAACTATTCCGAATGTTCATATAGTATGCGAAGAAACTTTTTCCTACATCTATTATTAATCAATTATCAATTTAAAAAATACGTAATACTTTGATACATCTAGTATAGTTTTTGAAACACGGAAATGAAACCCACGACCTTAGGTTGGTTGGTTTTAGAGCACCTGCGGCTCTACGTCATAACCAAATTCCAAATTAAATGTCAAAAGGAAGCTCTGAATTATCTTACATTACACATCAGCCACCCAATCAGGATTGGGTGCCTAATACTAATTATAATTAAAGACTCATGTTACTTTTTTATATCTAAAATTATGCACCCTATTAATGAAAGTTATTTCATTTAAATGAAATAATAGGTAGGATCTAAAAATTAAATAATCACTTCTATAAATTAAATTATAATTTTGGATTTCATATAAATTAGAATTGCTGAAGAGAATACTATACGGGAGATTGTGTCGTTTTTACTGTTATAAATATTTAATACAAACCAAAAATGCGATTCCTCCATAAAAGAGCTGAACATCTCAAATATCCAAGTCACGCCCATCAATACAAAGAGTCGAAGCGTCATCATAAACCTGTAAAACACATAATACTAGCTAAACATTGTGTGCGATGTTAATTGTTTTACTCTTATTTCAGTTCCATCTACATCACATTCGTATTGTACCTAAAAATTATGTGGTAATGCCCATCAGCATTTTGGATATGTAATTTAGCTGTGCTTTTTTTAAATTAAAGATAATACTTGTAATTTATCCTATTTAATTTAATATTACTGATCAAACGATAACCAACATATTTATTTGTGTCTGTTATATTTCCTAATCGCATGTTGTAACAGAAATGTCCTGTTGCTTATCTACCAACTATGTTATTGAACAGAAATAAAAACTACGCCCCCTGATTATTCATTATTAGCTGTGGGTCACGTCATAAAACTGTCCAGATTATATATATATAAAAAAAAATTGCACACCCTTTTTTTGGGATTCCAATGAATACCGAGTCGTTCTTAAATTTAGCTCTTAGCAACACATTTAGTGATTCACTTCAGTTAAAAAATATTTACTTTTCCTGCAGTCGCCCGGATTGCAAAAGGATGAGGGATCGAATCCCATCTCAACGTACCTGGGGCTGGTACCTATCTTTAAACATTTTTGATTAAAATGCTAAAAAATACATACTTATATTTAAGTGCCTTCAAATGACTGGTGGCAAAAGTGTTTCTCCAAAGGCAGACTGAAGTGTAAATGAATATGCAAATGTTAGCTATTATTAATATTGACATTACGCTGTACATATAATACCACTGGTTTTCTTTATCTGTAAAAAAAAATTCAAACTTGTTTAAAAAAAAACAGGCGACATCATTAATTAATGAAATTATTATCATCCCAATCCTAATGGATGATAGAAATCTATTTTTGAGATTCTAAGTTTGAGCCTGGGATATTTTTTCATCGTTCGTCGTCTCAAATATTTGCGTTCATCACTTGTCAATGTTCTTCAATAAATTATTTTTCTCTGTTTCTGATTTCCATGATAACTCAAGTGTTATTATACTTAAAAAAGCTTTCACGATAACACATAATGATAAATTACTAATTTCATTAGTATTATTGTAAAACTTTACTGATAAAATAATCAATGCAATCAACTTCGAAATTGACTTATTGGCAAAAGAATGAACTTTATTTTTAAAGTTGACGATAAAAATAAATATATAACGACTTTTACATCTATATTTACATAATGAAATCAGATCAGAGCATTACAAAAATGTTATTATTCTAATAGTTTCTATTTTTACGCTTCATCTCTTTTTGGTATGATAGAAAAAGATTTTTCCCGTAGACTTACCATAAAACCAGCAATGCATCAGTCCGATACCAGGTCTCGAATGGTTTCCCGGGACAAAATTTATGATTGCTAATATCATAGTCAACAATGCAGGACATCCCCATGCATACAAGGCGTACCAAAAGAAGTCCTTCCATTTGTAATTTATTGTAGAGGGACGCCTGTAATTGAGAAATTTTAAATGATAAATCAAAACCATATTATGTCCATTCAGTTTAGACTGTTGACAAGCACTTTTGAGTCCAAAAACTTCATCATCAATTTGGAAATGAATGGCTAGAACTCTTCTACTGAGAAGAAACAACATTTTTTTGTTTTTCTCCCTCATTTTTTTCATACAGAATCATCAAAAATCATGAAAGAATGGAGTCTCATTTTAATTAAATTTGACGATTCCAACGCTATTTCTTTTTAGTGATGTCTTCGTGCAGAATTTAAGAATATGGAGCAATAAAAATACTTTATAAAGATGATAAAACTGCTAGAACCAATATTATGTTAAATTTTACTTTATTTATATAATTGTTCGTTACAAATCTTAACGATACAAATTACAGTTATTCCCCCAAACATTCCAAAAAGTTTATCGGAGAAAACAGTTGCCAAACACAAAACCGGTAGTGAAATTATTTTTGTTTTATCATAAACGATAATAACCTTAGACCTAAGTATTACGCCTGAATGTCTTATGCATTGAAATCCATCTATGCTAGAACAATAAGTATTCAATTCTAACTGACCTTATACACAATAGAATTTGTATTGAAATAGCATTAGTCCAAAAGAAGCTGGCGAGGAAGAAGAAGTACGTCAAAAATCCTATAAACAAAAAATAATACTTAATCTCAGCCTCTTATAGTATTAGTACTTGACGGTAATTCTAACGGGGTTACCTCTCACAGCACACAGTTTCATATCGCTATATGTCATCAATTTCATGATTACTAATATCATCATACCCAATCCAAGGCTTATGCAAAAACATACAAAACTCTTTCCTTGAAGGTCTCTGTAAAAAAAAGACAGATTAGCTGGTGTCGTTTGTCGTCGTGATAATTTAAATATAACAGTGAATAGTTTATAGTTTTCTAATAGATATTGACGTCATAACGTCACAATTTGTTATTTATTAATACTAGCTGATCCGTGATTCGTTCCGTCATATTTATTTTTATTTATATGACCAAATAAAAAAAAATCAAAGTCAATATTATTTAAGGCGTGTTTTAAACGAAATTAAACCAAATATCAAAAACCGCTGAATGCAAAACGATAATAAAATCTATATTTGCCATCACGAGCCTTTAAAGGTTGTGATAAAATAAGTTTTCCTAATAAGTATAGGCAAAGAGCACAGGGGTAACGTAACAGTAATGTAAATGAATAGAAACCACTTTTCTAGAACCATTACATTTGTTGATACAAGTGTAAATGTGTCTCAAAGTTGAAAAAGTATTAATTTTAGATTATCAGTACATTGGCACGTAAAAATTCTTGCTCTAGTCTATGTATTTATAGAAATCAACATCGATTTTGCTGAACTGAAGTGTGTATTTTCATTTTTCAACCAAATATCTTCTATAACTATATATCGTTTTTGGTAACAATAGAGAAACAATTAACACAAAAAGCTAAATTGGGTATGTAGGCAACAGACATAAAATCAACTGGAGTTCGCCTTTTGTAGTAACTTGTCGATGACGACAACGAGGCGTGCTATCGACTATACAGTTTATACATACAGTTTAACTATATCTTTAGTATGTTATACAAAATTGTCAAAGTTTTCAAAACGATTATAGCTTTTAGTGTGTACAGGTAGAGATTAGAATCTTTTGCTACCGTTACTAGTAGTAATCGTTGTACGGCTTTGTGTAACTATTCTTTGACCGAATGTTATCGGTTATGCTCTGATTAGCGAACTGATACTCTATTAAGGCAATAATTATTTAGAAATCTATAAACCAATAAATAAAATAATAATAATGTGCCACACATTCTAAAAAAATCTTCATGAAATGCGTCCAAAATTTATATGATACTTTTTGCCGAATATTAGCCTCGTCTTATTAATGCAAACTCGCACCAGTCTTATCTCTTTATCTTATCTCGTATTACAACGTGTGTTTACAGTGAAAACAGGCACACTTCCAACGTTTCCTTACTTGAATTTCTTTAATTTTTCATAAAACGCTAACAGAATGCATAAGTCAAACCACTAATAAATAAGTATTATATATATATTTATTCTTCTTGCTGATTACTTGACTTTGTGTAGAACCGCTAAAATTAACGGATTTTGTTTATAAATTATTTAACTTTACCATAGACAAATTTGCAGAGGAAACGTATATAATATTTCAAATTTAAATAAATGTGAGACTTTTTTGCATCATAGGAATTCTGTCTTTGTCTCTCTAGTTACCTGGCCTCGCGAATTCCTTTCCGTTTTCGAAATCGAAACCGACCTTGCCGGGGTCAGAGTTACTTTTTGATATCAAGAACTATGAACTAATATTATTTCATCTTCATTTGCATAAGCTGATATTGTTGAAAATACCAGTATTCGTCTATAGCGTCCTACAGTCAAATTCATTTATTCAGTCTAGGATGTTACAAGAATTTTTGAAAGCCAACCTTGTACGGAAAAGAACCGGCAAGAAACTCGACAAGGGCTGTATTATTCTCTATGTTTTTTCAAACAGCGAAGTCCAATTAAAAATGACTTCATAAGACTGTGACTGTGACTGACATTTTCCATTACAATAAAAGATAATTAAAGAGATAATTCTTCCGTTATTCGATTAATATGCCATATCATACAAATTCATTGATAGTAAAATTGATATACAATTTGCATAATAATAGAAAAAAAAGATCAAAATGAAGTAACCAATAGTAGACCCAACCGCGGTGGCAGCACTCGTTAACGAACATTTTCCGCCGCACAATTTTCTTAAAAAACATCCAATTTTTTTTCTTTAACGTTTTAATCATTGTAATGATGATATTCTAATGCAAATATTTTAAAAAGAAAGATTAAATTGTTCACATCGATAGGCTCCAAAAATAAAGACTTTTTTCACCTACGTTAAGCTTTATCACACGCAGGTGACAGAAGTTATAATATACGCGGGCAAAGTCGCAGGAAAACAGCTATTACTAAATGCTATCTCACCTGAGTTCCGATAGTGCTGCATATACGATAGCTGTTAGGAACAGAAACACTACCGACACTATCAGGCAGTATCCGGATACCTTATCATCAATGATCTTCTCTTTTTTATCGGAACACACGAGCGCCGTTTCGGTCGCATTTTTCAATTCCAAATCTTTTATTGTAGTTGCATTTCCAAGACAATAACTGAAAAATATTATGATTTTTAAATGACTTAAAGATGAAAAAACATTATGAACTTCCTTAGCTCTCCTTATTTTAATTGCGATGAAACGGATAACCGTCAACTGCCCGGTATCCGACTTTAAATAAAATCCGGATACCGGATATTATATAAAATGGGGTTCCAATTTTTAGAATCACACAATAATCGGTTATGACAAAAATTTCATATTATAAAATTAATTAATACTCAAAATGTACTCATGCTGATGACACATTATGGTGAAAACTTATTAGAATAAAAATAATTTTTTTTAGAAAATATTCGAAAAACCATATCCGCTTTTATCAGACAATCACTTAATGATCATAACTATTATTCGTATACCGTAATGCTTTTATTCAGTCATTTTTTACAGAAATTAGACGGGTAACGAATTCCTTAAATTGTTTTAAGAATATACTACTCGTCTGAAACTGTTAAGGAAACTTTATAAAGTAAATATGAGATTTCGGGTTGAAACATGGGGTTTCCCTGCTTTATTGAATTAAGATTTTAGTGGATTGAAAATAAATGACGCCCGCTTAAAAACGTTAAAAAAATATACGGTATTTTTTTAAAAATATATTACGAAAATCAAAGGAAAGCAAAATATGCTATATTTCATTTTCTTCGACGATATAAATATGTCATCGAAGTTTTGTTATTTGGCAGAAAGCTTCCAATTATATTGTCTATACTAAAATGAAACATAACTTTTTTGGTTTATAGTCGTTTTCAGACAGATCGATGAATCTTAAAACTCGCGGACGTGATCATAAGTTTTCTACAATATTTTATAACTCGCGATTGCTTTTAAAACTCTTTTCCTTATTTTCTCCATTATTATTTATAATTACTTAAATAGTTACCTTTTGACGTCAACCGTAAAATTTTTACTACTTAATGGCAGCAATAAAGTCCCATCACTATTTATTTCGTAACGAAGTAAACGCAATTTGAATTGGCATTCTAATGTTTTTATATCATTAGTTACATTAGATACTGGGTTCCAACATACGTTTCTTCTTTTCAATATTGCGGAACCCGGTTCGCAACAAAACTTCGGGGTAACCGCTACACTCACCCCTAAATATAGTGACAGTATCAATAATTTCCACATGTTTTCACTTTATAATAAATAACTTTGACCTTATTAATTTTTCAAGCATTGTGCACTTTTTAATATATTTTTATCAAACATCCGACTATCGTTCACGATAATATTTAATACATTATTTACGAGATTTCGTGATAAATATAATAACTCAAACGACCAACACGTCCCACTCACAGTTACAAGATCTTAATACTGAGTGAATGAATGAAGAACCAGCCGAACAACGGTAATGTAGTGTATGTGTATGTAGTATAACATCTACTATTGTATCTCGGGTTTGTCCTTGAAATTATACTCAGCTACGTGTACGTTAACATGTGATAGAACTGCCCGCCTTAGATTATACAGGGTGGATTTTTTGTGCATTCACAGATTTTGGGAAAATATACAGTCAGCAAAAAATATGCTGACATTATCAAATACTTTTCTCATACGTTTTGTACGAAAAGAACGATCGTATACCGAACTTGAGAAGCGTAGTTATGACCCCCTTTTCGACTTTTTATATTAAGATGAAATTATTTAAGATATAACCCGCGCCAGATACGTACGCGTATAAATGAACACTTCTTTATTCACAAAAAATATATGCGCAAAAAATATACATGTGTCAAAATATAAAATACCCGAGCTACACGGTGTAAACACATCTAATTAGATCAGTGTATACGTTTGTTACTTGCTTACGCTTTAAAATAAAGATTACAAAATTGATTTAGATTATGTTGTACTTATATGAAATATAGTATTTTATATTTTATTCAACAAAATCGGTATGTATAGTACATAGGCTCGACATATAGTCTAATACTATATAGTATTGCACTATATTAGAAACCTTCGCAATCTTAATGAGTATTTTTTTTCACCGCAATGCGCGAATCTCTGACTGCGTTTTTCCTACCGAGCGCTAGAAAAACGCAACGTAACGTAAACGTTACCACGCTCACCGCAGTGTATGCCTAATTTTTCAATCGTTAACAATAGGCTGGCAATTTTTTTGACACGATTTAATTATAATATGTAATTCTTTACTACTTTGTCTTATTCTATAATTTTATATGATTCAAACTATTAAGTAGGTAATATGTTAGTAGATAATAAACATGCATTTTATATGTCGTAAATATTAACACGTTGTGGCGTACTAAGTAAACTATGTTTCATTGTCGATTTCATGTAACTTCATATATTAATATTTTATGTAGCAAACAACTTTTGTATGCGCATCAATACACCTTAAAAATAATATAATAAAGTTGCCCAGGGCAATTATAGTTACTAGAATAAATATTAAATTTTACAAGTGAATTCAAATCTGGTGAATTCTTTTGGTTAAGCATATCTTAATAATCATATCTATGCGTTTCGACAAATAGAAAGTTAATTAAATGGTCGATAAAATAATATGAAATTGAACACATTCCATTTGAAAGGCGGTAATAAATAGTCCGGCTGTCCGCGAATGGGGTAAATAAGCTAACTATCTCTATGACTTTGTTTTTACGCGCATTAATTTTTTTTCATACTCTGTTTACCTAAAGTACCACCAGCATAATGCCAGTAGAGAATAGATATCTGTATCTGTCATATTTTTATGATTAGGTAATTAATGTTATACGGTAATGGAAACGAAATTCATTTATTAGAGGTGCTAATCATTAATATTTAAGTCAATGTTAGAAAGAAAGATAATTCGTTTATTCGATTGCAACATACAACTATATTACACAAAAACAAAAGGAAAAATGATCAAGTAACAGATATAAAGGTACTAAGTTCAGTGGACTAAAATTGCTGGTGTCGGGTAAAGTATTATTTTTCAGCACTTATCTTAGCTAAAATATATATATATGTATATAACCTAAAATATATTATAATGACTGATGATAAAAACAATTTGCTCTACCAAGTAACAGATGTCACTTATCCTAAACAGTAACAAGTTATTTGAAAATATTTTTAGTATATATAGCCATATTTGTCCCCTGGCCAGCTTCATTGTCCAAGGCGACCTTCTTCCAATAAAGTGTGGTTTATTTTTATTTCTATCATCATATGCGCTTTTAGCGCGCGATCTCGCCTACAAAATGAACCATAGGGAACCTAGTGAATTATATAGTTTTCAATTTAATTAAAGCGTCGTCGATATATATTTATATATTAACGAACTTTTGTTTTAAATAAACATGTCAGTTCCATAATGCCTATTATTAGTATATTTACAAAATTAACTTAATTACTCATTTATATTTGGAGGCTTTATTATAGAGCGCGATAGCGGAATCCGAAAATCCACGATATTTTATTTTATTGTAATAATTATATTATTATTTTAAAGTGTCCGGCTACATTAATATAACCTTGAATAAAACGGTCGGTTAACAAGTGAGTAACTAGGAAGCACCTGCTTAAATTAATGAGGCACAAAAGTAAAATAACATATGCACAAATGCTACTTTTATAATAATCACAAATGTCGATGTGGTTGGTTATCTTTTATTGTTAGTAGCTACCCGCCAGCGGCTTTGCCCGCGTGGTCCATAGGGAACTGTTTATTTCGATATCAATTCATATCATGATTCATGACAGAGCTATAATTACACGGATGTAATTATAAGTTACGTTTTAATTCCCTATACAAACTTCCACTCCCGTTTTCATCCCCTTTTGTTGTTTTTCGGGATAAAATATAGACTGTGTTTACCGCATATGATGTATCTTCCCGTAGGTGAATGAATTTTTAAAATCGATCCATTAGTTTCGAAGCCTATTCGTTGCAAACAAACAAATATTCAAAATTTTCATCTTTATAATTGGTTTCGTATGGGCATAGCACGCGGTGTAGAACTCGAATCGTATCTAACTCGCACATAACTGATTTTGAAGTAAAAATTCAACAATAGGTAACTCATATAATATAATACCACGATGTATATATATTTATGATTGTTTTTCATTGTTACAGCTTCTACAAATGCTTAAGTTTTATGCGCGTTTCGAAATAAGCGACGAATCTGGAGATCCGATGACGGATCGTGATATGACCCTATTGCATTACTCCAGGATTACTTCATTACAGGTAAAATGATACGAAGTTATTATCAAAAGAAAACAATGAAAACTTTGAAAACATTATATGATGTTCGCAAAATAAATTTATATATGTGAAATGTGAAAACAGTATCCTAAATAAGTTCGTAGATTGAACCACAGCAATATCAGTGGTATCCGCCCGATTTTTTTTACTACAACACTCGTTCCTTAATTAATGAATCGTTCAGTAAATTAAATTAATATTAACTGTTCCTTTCAGAAAGCTGCATTCGCAAAGTTTCCCGACTTACGATTATTTGCTCTGGCCAACGTTGCAAGTGTGGATACCAGGGATAATCTTCAAAAACATTTTGGAAATCTCAGGTTTGTCTGATTATGTTAAAAGTTTATTCAGAATAAGAAATACAAACAAATTAATGAATTGTAACCAAAAAATATCCTTTCATTAAAATGTATTATTTATGTTGTAAATAGTGAAAAAGCTCTTCGTGCAATCGCAACCTACCTGAACCTGGTACCCTTAGAAGGTAAAGAAGAGGAAGCTCCGTGGCATCGTGTTGACAAATATTTCCTCAAAGAATTATTGGTGAGGTTTATAAGCACTATATAAAGATAATTTATACATGAATTATTTCGTCATGGCTTGCCTGGAAGAGATTTCTACATAGCATACAAGGCCGCCTTTTGTATTCTCGCTTTTCTAGCTTCTGGGAGATTGATATATTTATTCTACATCTTGAAGCCAGGTCCCATGCATAAAAGATAAAAAGAATACTTAAGATTTTTTTTGTTGATGTTATTTTCATAATATAGATATCGCGGCACGAGCGACGGATTTCACAACTAGAAGAATTAAATTTGATGCCATTATATCCCACTGAAGAGATAATATGGGACGAAAACGTGGTGCCCACCGAAATATACAGCGGGGAGAATTGCCTCGCATTGCCTAAACTGAATTTACAATTTCTCACTCTGCATGATTACCTACTCCGGAACTTCAATCTATTTCGTTTGGAAAGCACATGTAAGTAAATATTGCCTAGCACTATCTATACTAATCTATACTAATATTATAAACCTGAAGAGTTTGTTTCTTTGAACGCGCTAATCTCAGGATCTACTGGTTCGAATTGAAAAATTCTTTTTGTGTTGAATAGACCATTTATCGAGGAAGGCTTTAGGCTATATAAAATCACGCTGCAACTATAAGGAGCGAAGAGATAATGGAAAACGCGGACGAAATCGCTGGCGGCCACTAGTAATTGATAAAAAGAAATCTCCGTAGCCGAGTGGTTCGCACGCCGGTTTCAAGGTGTCGCCATCTCTGAGGTCCCGAGTTCTATTCCCGGTCGGGTCAATGTAGAAAATGAACTTTTCTATATTGACTCGGGTCTGGGTCTTGTGGTACCTTCGTTGTCTCAGATACTCCATAATACGGGGGCTTTAGCTACTCATCTTGGAATCTGAGCAATGTATGTGATGTTGTTAAATATTTATATTTTTTTATTTATCTGTTACGAAGACAGACTGTAAACTTTCCTTTTTTTTTTTTTATTTATTAAGAAACTCAACAGCTTTTTTTTTTACAATCATTTTGTTTTCACTTATATATCTAATCTAGCCAATAACAGAGTTTCATAACTTGAAAAATTCTCTACGAAGCAAAGTAGGCAATACACATAAATTATTATTATTATACAGTGTGATAACAAAAACAGGTTCCACTTTGTGTACATAACTATTTCTATAATTTTTTTTTTATTTTTTGGTAGGGAGAAGCTATTATTGATGACAATTCTATACACATACAAAGATGAACAATACATATAGTCCCACATACATATGTATATTATACATACATAAACACATAATACACACACAATTGATATTTAGTCTCAGCAGTCCAAGTACTTCCCTTTTCGTTATCAAATAATAATACCATTCAAAGTTATTTTGTCAAAATTTGAGTTAATTTGCAAAAAAAAAAAATCTAAATTAATTAATTGGTTAAAAAACTAAAAATATTTTAATTACATAACAATTTCCGAGGTTTAGCATAACAGTTTTGAGATCAATTGTTTTTTAAACTGTGTTTTGGATAAATGGAAAATATCTACGTCGTGAAATTTTTTATTGTATGTTCTGGAGATACGAGTCATGACAGCATTTTTACCGTAGTTAGTTCGGTGTTTGGGTATACTAAGCAGAGGAGTTTTTCGTGTACGATATTTCGGAGTGCAGAAAGCAATACCGGTAAGAAGATTAGGACTATTTAAGTTACCGCGCAATATGCCATATACAACAGGCACATATCAAGCAATTCGCGGCGAGATTCCAAAGACAAGAGATCAAATTCCCGACAATCATCATCATAAGGACTGTGAAAATGTCTACCAGTCTTATAATTTAAATGCTTTATAAATTTCTTCTGTATTCTTTCTATCTCATTTATGTATTTAGAGTACTGTGGTGACCATACGGAACTACAATATTTTCACAAATAAAAATTACGACCACTAAAAAGCCCATTACTGAGGAAAACCGTTTCTATTCGTGATAACAATATCAGCATTACTAGATACTTAGGAATGTGTAAAAATAACATTTCACTACGCAATGTAGCTCTGCATCGTGTAACTAGATGACTAAATATTTACAAGATAAGTTTCCTAGTAAAAAAATTCAAACATAGTTTATCTTAAAATCAAGAATCCTACTTTTGACATCTACGTATGTCATGCAAATAAGGAGTTTCTATATGTTTTATAAACTTCGTTTTGACTTACGTCATCGTCATTTAACCAATAAAGACTTTTATTATTCTATTCTTATAATTAACATTGTATAAGCATACATATCTAAAAGTTGATCTCATAGTTTTTCCTTCTCAGAAGCATGAGTGTTAGCACATACACATGCCAATCTTAATATTTGTAATATCCTTGTCGCCTACTAAAATTCTGACACCAATATTTTTCCTACAGATGAAATACGGCAAGATATAGAAGATGCTGTGTATAGGTTAGCACCATGGTAAGTAAATTACACGTTAACTATTTAATTTTCTACAAAAATTGTATTTATCGACGAACTGGATCCGTAAAATATTTGTTAAAGAACTATGTGCAGTAATTTTCTTCTGAATTAACAGACAGAGCTAATAGACCTCGCGCAATAGTGTAGATAATATTCCAAGTAGTTGAACCTATCAGCCAACTTAAAATCCATATTCATTAGCGCACGTTATGAGTTTCATGTTTGGAACATTATTTCATTATACTGACTGATAATACACTATCACCACCATCATATTAAGTGAATTTTCATAATTAATTTGCTCCTAATGCTTTAAATTATTTCAATAACTTTAATTGTCGTATGTTTCTTAGTAAAACAATTACCCCCATCGCCTATCATCTATTTAATTTCCATCTAAAGGAAAAACATAAGAACATATTAAAAAGTTGTCATAATAAACATGTCATATATACTAATATTATAAAGCTGAAGAGTTTTTTTGTTTGTTTGTTTGAACGCTCTAATCTCAGGAACTACTTGTTCGAATTGAAAAATTCTTTTTGTGTTGAACAGACCATTTATCGAGGAAGGTTCTAGGCTATATAACGTCACGCTGCAAATAATGGAAAACGCGGACGAAGTCGCTGGCGGCCACTAGTCTAAACATATAGGTGATATCTAATGAAAAGCGTACTTCTTTTTGTTATTTAAAGGAAACTTATGATTCGATTTTGATAAAATTTAACCTCGGTCCATTAAGCTGTGTAATAAAAAAAAGAATTTTGGAATATCGACCAACAATAGGCGGAAATATCGGTGAACGAAGTATATAAAAAAACATACATCGCCTCGCCGTCGAACGTCGATATTTGAAGTTTGTTTAGTTAAGACACGTAAAATTGTATAAATGTTCAACAAAATCGTAACCAATTTCAAATGCAATAAGTAACTTAACCCTACCCCGACTTTTCGTTTAAGAAACTGAACCGTTTGTAGCTTACGCCAAATTAATCTTTGGTGCGTGCACGAAAAACCGGTAGATTGACGGCCAGCATAAATCGCCAATATAAAAAGTGGTCTGGACAACGTTTATTGAAAAATGTCACTATCAGTATAATTTTGTTGTACTCTCGTATCTTTATTATAACTTTACCATAACCAGGCGTGCCGAAGACGGAAGCGTATATTTCGGTGGTTGGGCTCGTATGGCACACCCTATAAAAAGCTTCGCTGTCGTAGAAGTCGCCAAACCCAACATTGGCGAAAAAGCTCCATCTCGAGTGAGGGCAGACGTGTGCGTTACCTTGAGCGTTCGCAACGAAATCAAGCATGAATGGGAGAGTTTGAGAAAACACGATGTATGCTTCTTAGTTACAGTACGCCCGACACAAGGAATAGGTGAGTCAAAACTAAAATCAAGGAGATCATCTTATAGTAGTGATATAAAAGACGTACATGACTCATCATCAACAAGATAGCATTTTGTCAGGCCCATAAGGAACCTGACGGTGATTGTAAGTAGCACCTTCGCTTCTTCTCGACATCTTGCTCTATCGCAGAGATAATACCTATCTCTGTGATAGATTCTAATTTATAATACCCGACAAAATATATCAATCAGTTAATATCCGAAATAGTCCTTTTCGTTCTCATATTCATATAAGTTTTTAAAACATAAAACAGTGGTCAGTATTATATCTTCAGAACTCCCTGACATACAAGCATTGTTTACATATTTGCTGTGTTCGGTATTTTAAATTTCTGGTCTTAAAATCTTAACGTGTTTACCAATATTTATCTAATTCGACAGGAACTAAATACGATTATAGAAAAAGTATGGTAGACCAAGCGGGAGTGGTTTATGTGCGCGGATGCGAAGTGGAGGGTATGCTCGATGCTTCCGGGAGAGTAATCGAGGAAGGTCCCGAGCCGAAACCAGAGCTAGACGGAGACTCTAGAACGTTCCGTCTCCTTTTAGACCCCAATCAGTACAGACTTGATTTGGACCGTGCAAGCAAAGGAAACGAGGTCAGTCAACTTTCTTTTCATTGGAAAAATGTTTTCATAAGTATTATTCACTCAAAGCGTTTCTTTGTCATTCTGTGACATTGACGCAGATTACTACTTAGACTGGATACATTATTTGAGGATCCACATTTGTCATGCTCTTATTTGTTTTTGTTATCTTAGTTTATTTTGCTCATTGTGTAGTATGTGTAACATTTTTTACCAGAAAGCGGACCATGGAAAATAGTTTTCTGCAATATTAGGTCTCTGCAATTAAGTTTTTGTGTTTTTTTTCTAACTACCTTTCGATAAAACTTTATAGAAGACTGAATAATTGTTTCGTCGTTAAAATATTCACATATAAAAACCTTGATAGTTTCATCAGATGTTGGCCTGTTTTACATTGAACCAATGTCAGATATCTATTTCAGGTATCCGAAGTCGGATTTTTTTATGATCGATCGGGTAATAAATATTTTATGATAAAACCCATTTCAACTGAAAAAAAATCTGCAGATGTCTACTTTAGATCAATAAATGATCGTCTTTATCTGATATGATACTCATTTTATATATTATATATTTTAGTTTTAATACTTACATTTTAATATTAAAATTAGTTTTCTCGAAACTTCCTCATGAGATTTCTATTAATTTTTGTTTTCAAGCCTAAAGAGCATAAATAATTGTTCATATTAATAAATATTATGTATATCAAAAAGAAATTCAGAAAATTGGCAAACATTTTAGTACAGTCTACAACGTGTCAGGTTATATTCCCCATTCAACTTTAAACCTTAAGGTTAGATGTCAAAATCCATTCCGGAAAATTGACATATTGTGAATAACCTAACGTGCACCCGTGTGTACATAAAATATACAAAGTTATCAGTGACAGACATAGCACCTGTGATGTCGTCATCGCACTTTAACTACTTGCAGAACTTTTGTACTCGTTTTATTACGATAGGGGCTAATGACGGTTTTGTGTAATAAAATTTGTCACAATGTTGCAGGCATGGCATTAATTTGCACTTCTAATGCAAATCAATAGCATGATGATTATCTCATTCGAGTCATCATCCACTTAAGTCATTGTTTGATTCATATTGCATTAATCTATATAAAAGACAAATGAGTCTGAGTAATAGAAGTCGAACTTCACTAAAAAGGATTTAATTTAATTCAACCCCTAAAGGCGGTCCGTTAATCATGTTTTCCACGCAGACCAAGTCGCTGGCGGAAAGCTAGTAAGATATGAAAACCGATGATGAAATTGCCAGTCTGATTTGAAGAAAATGTTTCCATGTGGTATAAACTATCAACATCCTATTACAAGTGGTTAAAAGGAAGGTTAAAAAATAACACATAATACAACCCAATACTTCACATGTGTTACACCGATTTGACTTTGTTGGCGATACTGATATAGATATTTTCGAGCAACACCGTTCATAAATGACGACATCAGCGATTCTACCGCGTAAATTCCTTGACATAAGCTTCAGATTGGTTTAACGTTCATATAAAAGACTTTTCTACTTTAGCCATACCGCGTTGTAATCCGCAGCTTATAATATAAATAAAAAATATTTTAAAAAGTCATCAATAATTTAACATATATATTTAGGTATTGATATATTTAGTTGAATCTGCTGTATGAGATCTGGAGCTTTTTATAAAATATTTATATTTTTAAGCTTTCACAAAGTATCGCATTTCGTGAGTCTTACCCGAGCTTATGAAATGATTTATTAAAATTATATATTAATAAATTAATCATAGAGTTACCTCTAAAATTCATTTTTTTTCCCATTTCTTATGGTAATTATACCCTTGTTATAGGGAAATGTGAGAATTACTTGCCGATGGCATTGGGCATCACTTTTACAGCAGTCGTTATAGTTTGCTAGTAATTTAAAAATGGGCAGTATTTTCACTTTACGCCCACTCTTTCACTTAGGTACTCTTACTGTTTCGCTTTACGCCTCATAAGAGGCAGAAGCCGAAGAGGCTTTTTTACGTCACATTTTATGAGAACCACGACCAGTTTACAGTTTTTATCGCTAAGTTATTTATTATACAATACATTAACTGGCTGAACAGCTACAAATGACGTCATGCGGGTCAAATGACGGTCTCAGATTCCCGATGATGGTAGTTGTTCAGAAATTATATAGACTGAGGTAATGGAGAGTGTGAGTTTTTTGCGCCCATAAGATGTCCTGGTGATTAATAAAAGAAAACTCTTTTAAAAAGTTTATTCGTATTAAAACTATTTTGACCTTAACTTGAAAAAAAATTGTGTCAGTCATAGTATGATATATTTCATCTACTCTACCATACACTTATAGTCCAAACCGTGGAATCAGTAATAATATGTAATTCTATTGTACGAGGGAGTGACGTAAATTGTAATTTTAAATTATACTCACCAGTAACCATTTACCATATCTTATCCATTGGTATCTCACTGGTATATTAATGAGTGACGCAATCATGCTAATTGGACGCAGAAATTTTACAATACCACAAAAATATTAAAGATCAGCGATCTCTCGATTTTTAATTTGACTGTAAACGAATTAATGTTTTATGTTGGTTAACTATGAAACCTTGAAAAGGGATAGGTGTGTCCCTACTTTATCCAATAAAAAAGCAAATATACATTAATAAGAATCCATGTCGGATGTAAATAGTTAATAATGATATAGTGCTTTTCACCCGTGCTCCCTATTCGATTTAATGGATGGGCCCTAGGGAAGACCTATTCAGCAGTGAAGACATATCTTTATGATGATGATAAAAGTATATCATGAACTCATAAGTGTCCTTATCTTACTGGACTTTGTTTATTTTGCAGATTCATCTTTACTGTTTAATATTGTTTTTTATTAACAGTAAATATGAAATTACAATACATTAACGTCTAGTCAAATAACCACAAAAAAGCATAACAATAGATAATCAGCTAGAAAATTGAGTACAAAGGACAATGTTCAGCCCCCATACATTTTTCGCCTAAGAACCTCTAAGCATGTACTATCACTTTTCGTGTTCTAAAGTATATGTATTTACGTCTAAATACATGTTTAAGTAACGGACACTTCTAAGAAATGTATAAATCAAAAAATATATTTTGGATTTGAGGTTATAATTTTAACAATTTTAGCGCGCGGATCTTTTTAATGTTTGTTTTACTTGCTTTTTGTAGGGAAATGTATGTCTACTTTGCTTTAAATATAGCTAGGTTCTGTAGGTACTTACTTAGCTTGATTTAAAAACAGTTTCGGAGCTTAGATTTCAGGTTTGTGGTTACCGAGATTTCATAACAGACATTTAGTAAACTTCACTATCTTATTGCTTACGAAATTAATCTACAAAAGTTTGCATGCCAGCAACATAGCTTTTTAGGGGGTGGATATTTTTTTAAAATCGGTTATAACCTAGTTTTAGTTTATGTACCTATCCATTACAAGCTGGCATAATATTGGTGTATTCTAGATATATGATAATTAATGACAGTTCCCTTTCTAGCGGAGTCTAGTGAAGTCGTAGTTTATTTCTAATCCTATAAACCTATCTATATTTTACAATCTTGGGTACCTAAAAACAATGGAATATTAATATTTTTTACACTACCTACTTACCTAGATATATATGTATGTATATAGATAAGTAGGCAGTGAAACTATGTAGTTCCACGCCCGTATCCGCGAAAGGATAGGCCGAGTTGCATTTATGCACGCACATTTCGCGAGTTTTGTTTTTGTTCTACGTAATAGATGGCGATTCTTGCTGTATCGGGAGCATGTCTATACTCCATGCTGCAAATGAGAATCTACTAACAGAAAACTGCAATAACACTGCTAGAACCGAGAATAGACTACCTCGTCGATTGTTTGTTGTTGTTGTCAAACAAAACTTCAAAAGTTCAAAACAGTCTAAGTCAAACGTATGTAAAAGAATAAATGAGCGCTTCCAGCCGCTTAAAAATCTACGAACATTTTGAGCCTCGTTTTAATGTTAAGCGCTTTAAGTGCTCATTGGTTGATTATACATCAAATTGTGCATAGATCCTGATTTGTCAACTTATTAAAATATGGTGGCAGCATTTATTGAAGCTTATCAAATGTATTGATATTACTTTTTAATGTAATTACAAAAATGGGCAGTGTCTGTTTGATTTTAAAAGCTGATATATTAATCATAAAATATGATAAGAATTATGATATACAAGATATTCTTAGAGGTTCATAGGCTAATTTGGACATTGTCCTTTAGCTTCTGAAGTCTCATGAAAGCTCTTGGCTACGTCGCAATGTCAAGGTCAAGTGTCTACGTGGGACAAAGTTGACATTAGACCTACTGAAAGCTGTTTCTTAACAAAAAATAAATATGGCCATTTTGTGTAGGTGGATAAAATATGATATGTGTTTCTTCAGGATGTCTACGAGACGTTCAATATTGTAATGCGTCGGAAACCCAAAGAAAATAATTTCAAAGCTGTTTTGGAGACTATCAGAGAACTAATGAACACTGAATGCGTTGTGCCCGACTGGTTGCACGACATAGTTCTTGGTTATGGTGATCCAGGTCAAGCGCACTACACCAGGTAACATTTGATTTTGTTTGTTTTCTTTCCTCAATCTTACATTCAGTTCAATCAATTGCCGAGCTTATATGTATAACTCAACCAATGGGCTCTATACGAATAACAGCGCCTCTGTGTCATTCTGCCCATCTTGAAGAAGCACAGGGGCCATCGCTGAGATAGGGTCCATGTTGACCACTCTGTTGTTTCTTCATGGAAATGTTTTTTTTTTCTTACACATTATTGTAAATGCACAGATATGGTCAATAAACTTCTTTCTTTCTTTATATATGTGACTTATATTATATTATATGACAATCGACCAAAGACTTGAGAACTTTTTGCGCATGACTGATTCAGGTTAACTCAACTAATAGATGTAAGTAGTATACTAAAATTAATAATACTACTCTGTACTTGAGCGTACCGACGGGAGAGCTACTACTATTGTCGACGCTAAAGCGGATCCGTTTTTCGTAGAATAAAGAAACTTACAATACAATCTTTTGGGCAGTCCTGAAAAATAATACCAAACCAAGAAAATTGTGAGTGAATGACTGTTTTCTTGACCACACAATTAATTCGGTCATGTTATGAGGCAAACTATGAAAGAATCCTTGTTTGATATTTTTTGAAAGACGCCTTTTAAAAATATGTACAGATAAAATAAAGTCCGAAAGAACCTTCCCTCTATCCCTCAACCTTTCACTCCAAGGCCGGCAGCACGCTTGTAGCCCCTCTGGTGTTGCAGGTGTCCATGGGCGGCGGTAATCACTTACCATCAGGTGATCCGTCTGCTTGTCTGCCCCCTATCCCATAAAAAATAAAAACAAAGTCTGTATTCATTATATTCTAAAATATTTCTTTAAAAAAAGTACCTTGTAGCGTTCAGTTCTCTTTGGGTACCTACAAGGGGTCTGGCGTCAAGATGTTTTGTTTTTAAATATCATACCTCTGTTACTTCAATATGTTTACTCAACTGCCTAAAAAAGTGAAAAATTCGTTTAAATAATATTAAATAAAATGCCTTGCATCATGTATGGTACAGGTTCTTCGATTACGTCTATCACTTGACTGATTTGTATATTATCAGGATGCCAAATGAGATTCCGACACTGGACTTCAACGACACTTTCTTGGACATGGAACACTTAAGGAACAGCTTCCCCGGATATGAGATCAAGGTGAACACCGACGATCCGCGGAAACTGGTGCGTCCCTTCAAGTAAGTTTCGTCATTATACTGACCGAGAATTACAATGTTTTTTTTTATCGTTACTGATAAGAAGAGAATTGTTCAAAATTGTATAGTGGTTCCCTTTTGATTTCGACTTACGCCTTTTGTTATTTACAATACCCAATTATTTTATTAGATAACATCCACTCATTATTAAATGGGATATTTATTAATAAGGAAACATGAGAAATGACGTTTGTGAATATATTATTACGTGTGTAATACAAAAATCATTACAAAAAAAATTATAACACAATTATTTTATTTGATAATATCCATTTATTTTCATATGGGATATTTATCAATAAGGAAACACGTGAACTGTCGTTTGTGAATATATTTTGTGGGTAATACAAAAATCATTTCAATTACGAAACATCTAGAATTTCCTAGTATAAATCATATGGTTTTAAGCAAAACGAAGTTACTTTTGAACAAACTCACTTCGCCTTATTAAAGTTTATATTGAAGAAAAAGTACAGAAAGATAATATTTTATTGTAAGAAAAATATAATAATACTTAGGTACAATAAAATAATGTTCAAAGGTCGTATTTTGAGTGCTGGGTGACCAGTTTACGTAAAACTTTATAATACATTGAACTCTTCCTTATTATTTGCATTGTCCTTAGCATTCTTGGTGTTATCTTCAGGCGGATTCGTACAGTACTAATAGTTTATTAGTCAGAGAAAAAAAGTTGTTTTCTTAACTGTGTCCAAAAAAATGCTTCCGCAATAGTAGAATCGAATCTTTGTCATTGGGCTTCAATGCTTATTTTTTGCCAATTACATTCCACTACAAATTTATCTATTTACTTAAGTAACAATGACAAAATTCGGGTAAACACTTTATTTTATTTTTTTTCCAATTCCTCCACCAGGTTGACTTTTGAAAATGTTCTGCGAAAACTTGAACTCGGTGACAACGCTATGGAAGAAGACGAAGAGCGGAAGGTTATCATCGTCGAACCGCATGTTCAACCGAAACGTGGCCCTTACCTTTACAACGAACCTAAAAAGTAAGGAAACTTCACGCAATATTCTAATACCTTAAGGCTTTCAGCGTTTTGTGGCTCGGCCAGGCCACAAGATGCGACCATTAATCTAAGCCACTAGCAGGGTTCGGAGTGATAATTATCTTGATAATATACCTTGATAATTATATTACACTACACAAACTCTTTTTGTATTTTAGGAATTAAAAGGGAATCATCTTTAATTCACTATAAAATATGGTCTTTCTGATAGAGAGAATTGTCTAGAATAGATGTACAAAAACCAAATATATGCACCCCTTTTAATTAAAAATAAATATTTATTTATATCTTCATTTAACTTTTTGTTAAATGTGATGTCACAGTATTTTTTTTGTTTATATATTTTTTTATTATTTATAACAAAAAAAATAAGTTTACTTATTTAGGTATTTAAAAAATTATTGCCAATAACTACCAATTAAAGAAAATGCCAATTAAAGAAAAAAATTATTATGATTACTTTAAACGTTTAGAAATTATTTATTTAAGTTTTAATGCGCACAAATAAAAGCTTGTTTCTAAAAAACTCTTGATTATGTATTTTTTAATGTTATTACTTGTTACATTTCGACACACGTAAGTTTCAATTAATGTGACGCATGGCGAATCTTTGTTTGTGTAGAACAAAGATTTTTTGATAACAAAGAGATAATAGGTACACCTTAAGCCATAAATTAGGGCTCTCCTGAGAAAGACTGTTGAAGCGTGGTTGATACCTGATAAAATCCGCTGTGGAATACCTTCGGTGGGAGGAAAGGATCCAGGATCAACAAGAAGGCCACCGAATACAACCCCACAAGAGCATAGCAGGCTTACTGTTTGATTATAATTTATGATAACATGAATGTGTGTGGGTTATACTCAATCTAAGTTCCGATACACTATTATTCAAATTCCATCAGAAATAAACAAGCCCTGTATTGAATACCAAATATTCGATTTCGTTTGAATTGGGTACCAATAAAGATCCATTGTTTTAATAGCTACATATATTAAATTAATTCAGAACTCCATTACGAATTTCAATCAATATCGATTACACAGACACTAAAAACATTTAAAATCTAATAAGACGTGCAGGGCATGATAACCAATCATGCATGAAAAACAAATACTTCAATTTAAATTCTTTATGTTGAATGTCTCTAGAATAGTAAATAATCCATTCCTGTAAGAATATGAACTTTCATTACATGTTGTGCTTACATCGAGTAGGTTTTAATGTAGTCTCAAAGATTAAAATGTTTTCTGTGTATCAATGTAATCATTGTAAACCATTTTTGTGAGACTAATAAAAAAAAATTACTAGTAAATCACGTAAATAATAATTTAAATTGTTTAAATATTTAAATATACAATAAGGCTAACAAAAATAATCATCACAAGCCCTTTTACGACCCTCCACGCTGGCCCAATGCGGATTGGAGGGTATTAACGACTGCAAATGCAGCCGGGACCAACGGCTTAACGTGCTTTCCGAAGCACGGAGTAGCTCGAGATAATAATTTTTTTGGTCACCCATCCCGTGACCGACCCTTGCGAAAGTTGCTTAACGACTACGATCGCGGGCCGAGGCGCTTATCCACTACGCCACCGAGCTACTTGTTTATTCAGGAGATCAACTAACAAAAATAATGATGATTTCAGACTCAGAGTAACCAAATGGTTAGCACTTTATAGAGACAGTCAATAATGTCAAAAAACTTTGAAGATTATTGAATTTGCTTAAGGTGAATTAACTGTCAGCAGACCGATCAATATTGATCTATACAAATGTAGATGAACCCTGATTGATGTGCTGACAGTTGATCTGTTATCCTGACAGATTATTCAGGAGATCAACTATTCATTTACGCGGTAGAGCTAGTACCTGTGACAGTTCTTTTTTCGTGTAATTTTAAGACTAATATATATTATTCGATTACATATATTTATAAATATATACGAGCACGTTGTAAATACACTAATACATATAATAATAAGTGACACTTTGAGTATCGTTGAACAGATACTCAAAGTGTCACTTTCGTTGTCCGGTAGATCATTCTAAAAGTGAATATATTCTATGCAATAAACCGTCAACCGCACTAAACTTAGTTAACGTCTTAAAGTATGATTTTGGATTATTCAATTATTTTCTATTATGATTGTTAATAGATATTGTACATATTTCTTGAAGCAGGAACAGGAAAAGTCAGGAAAGTCTCTTTTTTGAAAGGGCAAATCTTCATTTAAAGATCTTGATTGTTTATTTAACAAGTTTGCTAATGTTAAGTATGTGATCCTCTATATTAATCAATTTCCTGAGACTTGTCGTGCGAACCCATATAAGTCAACGATGCGACATCGCATCGCGGTTTTGTGATTCGACACTTACTTTCAATTAAGTATTCCCAATAAATAAATACGAATTAGTTATTATAGATATGAGTCCACCGTAAGTATATTTATGACGTAATAACATCTATATTTATAGATCTTGAAACAATACTCACAAAATTGTTTCATAACAATTTCGAAAACAGTTGCAATAACGTGACTTTTGCAGTAACAAACGTGTTTTGTTTCAGAAACAATATACTATTTACGCCGACTCAAGTAGAGGCGATCCGGTCAGGAATGCAGTCTGGACTCACCCTTGTCGTCGGACCTCCAGGAACAGGTTATTATTATTGACAGCCCTAGCAGCAATTGAGGATGCCAAAATGTTATAATAATAAGAAAGCAATTAAAAAAACTACTTCAAAAATGTCACTTAATGGCGGTACTATGTAGAATGATTTATTTAAGTAGTTTTTTTAATTTTAGCAAAATGGATAAAAACAAAACTTTCGTTCCATTATGCGTCAATTAAATGGAAATTTGCGTTACCATTAAATGAAAAAATTATCTATTAATTATTAAATGAAACACGGAAAGCTAAAAATAAGATGATAACTTATTAATAATTTTCCAAAATCAGTTTACCCCTAATACATAAATAAAAATCCGAACGCATTTCATAGAACATTAGGTTTGGCGCAAATTGTTCAATTTGCTAATTATCTTAAAACTTCTATTCACTTTATTAAATACTGCCTCATTTATTAAAGATTATTTAAAGAAAAAAATAATTGAACATATATTTATTCTTTTAAATGATAAATAAAAATTGCTCGTTTTACTCGTTGTACCAAAAGAAAAATATAAGAACGATCCGAAAGTTTCCGAATTTTCGTTCGAGGAAAAATAGAATAGGTGTCATGTTAATTCGTACGAGTTTATAATACTTACTACGCCGAGCACTACTTACAGCAGATATACTTGAAACGGCGATCTGTTTTATTTCACCCAATGCAACAAAACTAAAAATATAATACATTGACTTTCTTTTACTCCCGAAATGAAATAAGCAAAAATAAAATTCGCAACTAGTGGTAAAAATGGAATTATTATAATTTTTTATTTATTTTCTTAAGAAACTTTGATAATTCAGAAACAGTTGACTTATTTATACTTACATTTTATAGTTTAACGATGCGATTGTAAGTAAAGTTCCATAACTTATAAATAAATTTTAAAAACTCCTACTCACAATAGAGTACAAATTTACTCATTTAGTACTCCAACATCTTTGAAGTAATGTCAAGCATCGATAATATAGAATATGTTTGTGTATACACGGAGACATACAAACATATTAACTATATTGTTGAATTTTTTAAAATAAACTAAATGTTACATCATTCCCGTCACACTGATTGGAACACCAAAAAATTGCCATTAATATCTAAATTGTGACAACCCTTACCCTTTCTTTAACGTGACCGAATGTCAGCAACAACCCGTTTGCGCGACCTCAAAACTGAATAAAAACTTAACTGAAGCTAAAATGAGAACGCTCCGTTCAGTAATAAAAAACATGTGAGGCAATAAGGGAGAGCATACACAGTCATATAAATTAATCGTTCACTCTGTTCTTACTAAATTTAGATCACTATCGAAAAATTATGAGCGAGAACCGTTATTGCAACGCGAGTATGAACATCATCGTAAGACAAAGCGAGATAAAACAAGCAAAGTCAATGAGACAAATAGAGAAATGATGGTATATTGGACTAAATAGGTTATGATGGTTACCATCATCATTAACTTATTTAAATCGCCACTGGTATTCCTTGTGAATGGAATCGAACCGAATAGCGCGATGACCCATGGGTGACTGCAATTACGGCCGGGACTAATATCTTTAGTTTTTTTCGGAAGATAATAAATGCTTCTGATCTTTAGCAAATAAAAAACAAATTGAAATTCAGCATCGCAAACCGCTGTACCATCAAATACCTAATGAAATAGAGAGTTAAATATTATTTTATCAACCACCGCGAACCAAAATAGAAAAAAGAAACAATTGCACTTATCGGCTATATGTGTCTGTGTGTGTGTAATTAATTTGTAACTCTACTTAAACCAATTAAAAACGGATCTCTGCTATAACTTTAGCAGAAAATATATACACGAAAACTACTAATTTTATCTGGATAAAGTAGATAAATTAAGTACATATATTGATTTGGATAAAAATATTAAACTATTTAAATGTTTTTAATTGTCACTCAGGTAAAACGGACGTAGCAGTGCAGATAATATCGAATCTGTATCATAACTTCCCGTCGCAACGGACTCTGGTGGTGACTCACAGTAACCAAGCGCTCAACCAGCTGTTCGAAAAAGTAGCGGAGTTGGACGTTGATGAACGGCACTTGTTACGTTTAGGACACGGTGAAGAAGCTCTGCAGACTGATAAAGATTTTTCCAGGTACGATATGGAACTTTAATAAATATTACTAGACGTTTGCTTCGAGTTAGCCGTCGCTAACAGTTACTAATAAATGACGTCATAGGCACATCAACTGGTACCGTTAGCAAAAAATATGAATTTATTTTTACTCGGCTTAAATTTAAATCTGTAAGTTCTATTATTTACATAAAGATAATCACACTTAACTTAACAACTATACATATTACACCACAAACAAAAATTCATAAAAAAAATCTAAATTGATAGCAGCCTACGCGATGACGAAACTCAGAAAGACCAACTGAAATCTATCTATATAGTGTAAGTCTTCGGTGACCGACTAACATGACAACGCATAACACAAATACTTGACGGACGAAGCTACAGGCGAAAAGCTAGTGTATACATATTTCCTTTTAAATATGCTAATAAGTAAATATTGTCTTGCAAAGTTTAAATCAGGGGATCCCAAACTCTTCAGGAAACCTTTTTCCAAAATGAACTAATACCATAGACACCCATATATCTAGATTACTAAATCATATCTCTGATTATTTTCCAACCGATACACAACAATTGCCATCAAAAAAAATTGTGCTTGGTTGTGTCACTAAACTTATTTCATTTTCTCTTAAAAAATTAACAAACTGTGCATGAACATTCATACTAAAATATTTCTTATAATAAGTTTGTACATGTAAAAAAAACTTCTACACTATTTTATCCATTTTATCTTATAAAGTTCGAATAAGAGCCTGTGTCGATTTTGAAATCTCATCGAGAAAAACCAGTTTTTGGTTATAGGAAACCGATATCCATACCGAACGGTCGTAACTTAGCTAACTTTGACTGATACTTTGGGAATCCGTGGTTTAAATATTAATAGGCAACTCAAAATTAAATTAAAATATAGAAAGAAATAAAAAGCAACAAGGTGAGTTATTTTGTATTTCTATTACTACAGTGAGTATAGTTTTAGGTCCAACATTATAGCAAAGGGTTTAGCCGGATACGTATGACGAGTCGGCCCCCAAATGGGAATCGATATTGAAACTTATGTTTTAATATAGACTTGATGTTTAAACACGATTTATGTACTTTTCGCGATCGACTTCCGCTTTGACCTTGAGATAGAGAGCAAAATATCCGTATGCTTGACTATTACTGAATGTGATATATCTCTGAAGCTAATTAAGATAAAGAAGTGAAACTAACGCGAGGTGTTAGGTTACATTACAGAGTATATCACATATATTTTTTTATAATTTTTAGAAAAAAAAATTACATTAAAAAAATAAAAAATAAAAAAATCATGTTTTTTTTTCTGAGTTCTCTGTGACTTACAATCACGAAATTAATATATGTTATGCTCCTTTGTGTGGTTTATCACCCATAAAAATTGCGTGAAAAAAAAGTTGGTGCAACACAACGAAAAAAAAAATATATGTGATTCGCGCCTTGTAGTGTGAGTGTATAAACAAACAAGTTCGAACTTGTTATCGCGCTGTTTACTCCATCGTTTGTTTAGCTAAAGTCGCAGTCATTTGTATTACACAAGAAGGCAGTTTGGGACTCAAATTCTGTCATAGGTATTTTGTATCAGCATTTTGAAATTATTAACTATCGAACCAAATCATTATTAAGTAATAATGTCGAGAAAGTGTAAAAATTGTAACAAGTACCTGTGTAAGATTCCTGGTTATAAAAAAATTATAAAGAATGAAGAAGAAGCTAAAATGTTTAGTGACTGTTTGAATAAAATCGTAATAGTTAATGATATTTTTTGTAAGAAGTGTCGACTTATCCCATATATTAACAAAAAAGCTTCTACTTCTAAATGTGCAGTTCTAAATGTTAAATGTTCTAAAAGTTAAATACTTGGCCGAAATAATGGACGATCAAAATAATCTCTCAGTACAATATGTGAAATCAGCACCTAATATCATCAAAGCAGAAGTAAAATCAAGACATATAAATAGAAAAGTCTATCGAATTTACATTCACTATATTTCCGAAGGTAATGACTACAATAGTATTCTTCGTTATTGCTGTGATTGCCCCAATGGCAAACGTACAGTGGGATGCTGTTCTCATGTAGCAGCTATTATTTATTATCTATCATATGGATGATATTTGTCCAAAATCGTACGTCCTGCTGAGGTCCTAACTAAGTTATTTGCGACTCAAAGTGTTCCGATTGTAATTAATTACAACAGTGACGATGATTAATATTTTGTTTCTTGTATTTTGATAGACACGAAAAAGTAATAATAATAAGTATTGAACACTGGCCGTTCTTTTTTTTCATTTCTTTTTTAACTATTATTCCATCTCTTAAGACTATTTACTTATGTTTTAAAACAAGCTGATGTGAAATTTCGAAAAAAAAAAAACAATGATGTAATGTGAAAACCTTATAATACAGGGGTATACCATAAGACAGAAATCACATATAATTTTTTTTCGTTGTGTTGCACCAACTTTTTTTTCACGCAATTTTTATGGGTAATAGAGCATACAAAGGAGCATAACATATATTAATTTCGTGATTGTAAGTCACAGAGAACTCAGAAAAAAAAAACATGATTTTTTTATTTTTTATTTTTTTAATGTAATTTTTTATTCTAAAAATTATAAAAAAATATATGTGATATACTCTGTAATGTAACCAAACATCTCGTGTTAGTTTCACTTCTTTATCTTAATTAGCTTTAGAGATATATCACATTCAGTAATAGTCAAGCATACGGATATTTTGCTCTCTATCTCAAGGTCAAAGCGGAAGTCGGTCGCGAAAAGTACATAAATCGTGTTTGAACATCAAGTCGATATTAAAACATAAGTTTCGATATCGATTCCCATTTGGGGGCCGACTCGTCATACGTATCCGGCTAAACCCTTTACCAACAAAATCAATATACCCACTAACATGTCGGTTATACCTTCAGCTTAGACTTACTTATGTAAAAATGTAACTCCCGAAGATATATTTATTTATACTCATATTTAAGTCGAGAGCCGAAAATATGGCGGGCATGTAACTAAGAAGAAAGGACATCCTGATTTCGGATTCGTAATTTAAAAAAAAGTATAAGGGCAACAGCTTTTATCAATTCGAATGTTGCCAGTATAATTATATAGCCATATAATAAACCAAAACAAAGGCTGTTTTAACATAACAATGTCGCATTGTGAACCAAAGTTTAATTTGGCGTTTTTCTTTTAAACTTATCTTCAATGCAAAAGTTTCAACAATGAACTCCTTCTGTCCCATTTCGTCAAGGTCGATTGTTTGAACTCATATTATGTTAACCTTTGTGTACACAATGAGTATTCATAAGTCTCATTGGCATGTGGCGTGCCGCAACCACTCCTTGCATATTTTGAAGTCTATGTCAAAAGTATTATAATAACGTTATTGTTATAAAATAACTCCTAACAGATCTACATAATGTATAAAGCTCCATTCTTTTCTATGTTTATTATGCAAACCACTAAACTATCGACAGATGGTTAATTCTACACTTTCTTTTCACAACTATGTTATTTTTTACAAACATCATGAGATATTTGTGAAAAAGTAACATCATACACTTAAAATTGGTGGCTCTATATATTAATATTTTAAAATAAATAAATAATTTATATTCTACATTTATGTCCCTATTCTTATTTTTCGTTTCGTGAAGTATAAGATCACCACATGCACTTACAATAGTCATCTAAAAAGCATTTTATACAAAATCTTTCCTCACAAGCAAAATTAGGACAACAAACCCTAAAACCTTGTAGTTTGGAATGAAAATCGGGACATACATATATATCTAACGCTGGTAGCTGTATTTATCAATCAATTTGTCACAATTGCATAATAACATACAAAACTAACATACAAGACTTCCCGTCATATCCTCAAAACCTTGACATATCCGGCAAGATGACAACCCCATGTGGTTTCAACAGATACGGTCGCGTAAACTACGTTCTGGCCAAGAGATTAGAGTTGCTGGAGCTAGTAGGAAAATTGCAGAGTACTTTGGAAGCCGGTGGTGATGCGGGCGCAACGTGTGAACTAGCTCATCATTTTCATGTGTACCATGTGCGCCCACGCTGGGCCGCCTTCCAGGACCACTGTGCACGTGACCAGGTCAGTAAAGCAATTGCCTTTAAAGCAATTATGTAGATAAAAGATTTCACTGAACCGGCAATTAGGTGATCGATCTGGATCAGTGATCAGATCAAAGTTTCCGATTAATGACAAAAATCAAACTATCTCCAGAGTGATTCTGTAAAAATTTGAACCCGAATTCGAATTAACGTCATTTTGTGTAGAAATTTTATTGATTCCAATTTTTTTTATTAAAATATAGAACATTGATTCATTCGCGTCTCACATATACTATTCCTATGTCATTTCGAAAGTCACTTCACTTATGCCACGAAAGTTATTACCAATTCAAGGTTGAGCACGGATACCTGAGTGAATTGGAATTATGGTTCGGATTTTTACAGAATCGCAGGGCTGATCGAATTTGCGGATTAATAACAAAAATTATTTGTATATATGGATAATATGTGATCCATTTCAATTTCAAAGATGAGAATGCTGAGATGGATGAGTGGAGTGACGAGAATGGATAAAGTAAGAAATAAGTATTTAAGAGGGAGTTTGAAAGTGGCACCTGTGACAGAAAAACTGAAAGGGAAGCGTTTGGCCTGGTATGTACATGTTATGAGAATGGATGAAATGAATGTAAATAAAAGAGTGACAGAGATGACTGTCGATGGATGGGGAGCGAGAGGACGACCACAGAAAAGACGGATTGAATGTGTGAGGCTTCATGTGAAAGTGAGCGATGTTATGACGGCTGTCAGAGAAGAGCGGAAGGAGAGGACACAGTGCTAGAGGATAGCTGGGAACAGAGAAGGAAGATGATGATGTGATCCATTTCAATCTGATCTACATCACGGATTGATGATGATTTGACGCCAGATTGATCGTCTAATGGCCCAATCGAAATCATCTCGTAATATACGGTCGAACATGACTCAAATTGTGTACTTGAGTCTTTCTAGAAAATAAAAACTACAATGCAGAAAAAAAATTGCAACCATATTTTAATATTGTGTTCGTGATAGTACAAATCATATTCACATTATTGTCTCTTTTTTACTTATGAAATTGTACTATACCCTGTGGTTGACGACTATTTTTGTCGAAACATTAAAACTTTTTTGCATGATATACGTTCAGTTGCACAGACGTTAATTAAAGTTAAATGACGACTTTAAGCTCTAATGAATGTTCCAAATTTGAAAATTTGTATAGGTAATATGGCGTTAAACTAATGAGATTTTTAATGAACGTTTGTGCAACTGGCTGATAAAGCATAATAATAGTTAATCAAATACCTCTAAGTATGCTTTCTTAAATAGTATGCTGAAAAACAATGAAAAATAAACAATTTTAAATATAATGTGAATTAAAACCATTGTTGTTTAGACAATAACAACTAATTTTGCTGTGCTACATTTCCCACAAAATAAGATATGTAATGAAGTCTTTCTAATTCCAATTGATAAGACTTCGTTGTTCCTGTTTATGCAAGTGACCAGTATCTCACCACTCGTTAAATTACTTTCAGACTAAATCGATTGAAACTATCGGCAAGGAGTTTCCGTTCCACGAATTTTTTGACGATGCACCTAAACCTTTATTCCCTGGTAAATCTTACGAAGAAGACATGGAGATAGCTAAGAGTTGTTACAGGTATTTTATAATTATCTATAAAAAAAACTTTCATTGGTGTTATGTTTGCGTGTTATTTATTGAACGCTTTTTGGATAAAATCATTTAATTTGTTCAGATACATTGATCACATATTTGAAGAGCTGGAGGAATTCCGAGCGTTCGAGCTGCTTCGATCAGGATTAGATCGTTCCAAGTACTTATTGGTAAAGGAGGCCAAAATTATAGCCATGACGTGCACACACGCTGCTCTCAAGCGATCTGAATTGGTTCAAATGGGTAAGTTCTCTTTTTAGGAACAGAAAAGGCCTGTTGAATTTTTAAATTGATTTCATGCAAGCGGAATGTGTTTCATTTGAAATGTTAAAATCCTATAAAATGTTATTATTATATCGTAAATCTATAAATAGGTTTGAAAATACTCATTGCACCTTTAGAAGTTATTTTAGTATATCCTATTCTATGCAATGCAAGCAATAAAGTAAAACTGACTTTTATTTTCGGTAGACTGAAAGTTCAAAAATATTCTTTAGTGCCTATTTACGACAGGATCAGATATTTTAATTTATTATTTTTTTATGGGCTTTTGAACTTTGCGCTCATGCCAATCGTAACCAATTTATGTTTAACGCAAATAAACATATTTAACATAAATATATTAGATATATATTTATTGGAACATAATTTTTTATACCATATTACACGAAAAGATGACAGATAAAAATAAGTTATGTTTCCTCATACAGGTTTCAAATATGACAACATCCTGATGGAAGAGTCCGCACAAATCTTAGAAATAGAGACGTTCATTCCGTTGCTCCTTCAGAACCCGCAAGATGGCCGCTCCAGATTAAAAAGGTGGATAATGATAGGTGACCATCACCAGCTGCCACCAGTTGTGAAGAACATGGCCTTCCAGAAGTACTGCAACATGGAGCAGAGTCTCTTCACCAGGATGGTGAGACTGGGAGTGCCTTACGTTGAATTGGATGCACAAGGACGTGCCAGACCCAGGTAAGAATAGATTCTATACCTAGTCTGACTGAAGTCGTTGTATATGACCGTAATCCCTTTGTACGTCCCCACTACAGGGGCTCAGGTCTTCCAGGCTTAACGTGCCTTCCGAAGCACGCAGTAGTTCGAGATAATAAAGTTTTGGTCACCCATCCCGTGACACTACAACTAAATATTAAAATACTGTTGATTCGACGCGTTCTGGTGTACTTTAAAATTTCATTTTGCCAATGGAACCCTAAATTATTCCTAATAAACTTATTCGATAGAATATTCTCAAGAACTTTAGTGAAACGTATGTAAAAATTAGAATAATTTTCAATTCAAACCAATGGAAAAATACCTAAAATTTGCATCAGTACTCTTGTCAGCTTTATCTGAACAAGATAAAGTCGATATTCAAATATAATTTCAATATTGTACAAGCATGTTTACGTTTATATGGAGTGACCTCTAGAATGCGATTATCCTTGGAATTTCTATTATTTTCGTTCCGAACAGTATAATTTTAGGTGACACCAATATGCTGAGCATTAAAAATGAGGGCGAAAAAGAAACGAATTCATTTTTTTTTAATAACACGAAACTATGGATTATGATCACTTGATTCTGGAGAGGGGAGTATCTTAAATCGGATAATCATTTGGAGTTCTTTATACGACGTCATAATTCTAAGCATTTTTAATGTCGTGTTCTTTAAGTATTCAAATGTATAACAGTGGATATTAATACATTATATTAAAGCTTTTAATCGTTGCTACTTTTATTTGTAAGCCAGAGAGAAACTGAAATTATTTTTTTTGCAAAGTCCTATTTCTTGGTAGTCCTTACGTTGCTTCACCCGCAGTCTTAAAATTTAATAAAACCTATGTTGATGTATGGTACTTAACGTACACTTTGGACGGCTGTTTTACAGGAAATATAAAAAGTGCGTTATCAATAGAACATGTCATACCGTTACTAGGTAGCACCTAAACATATTAAGATCTATACGATTTTTATAAAAATGTGGTTTCTTGTTCGTTTTATACCTACGACTGCGTGCGCGTGGATAATATTATACGTCTGTCGCTATTGATGTGTGAGGCACTAATGACATTGCAATAATAATATTGGACTTTAGTTTGATAGTACTATAGTAAAAGGCAAGTCGTTAAGATATAGAATCTTGCAATTCGAACAATGCGATTATTACATAAACAATAGCACTGGGGAGTTTCTCTTTAAGCAATGTTTACTCCGTGTAGCAAGCGGAACAGCGCTATACGGTACAATACAGTTGTCCCTCACGCTGCACGGAATAAGCATTGCTATAAAAGCTCACGATTAGACCCCTTAAATTATCTTATTAATCGATCCAGTAGTTACTCGAGAAATCATGACACCTGTATCACTATACTTTACGTGTTACGCATTTATAAGTTGAATTGATATATTTTTTGCATTACCCACTGTTTACTGTTGTCGGATTATATTATAAGATGCTTCTATAATCCAGTGCCTCGTATCGCTTAGTTCCTTGCTAAATATATCTACTTGAATCCATCGCTCTCCAGCCTATTATTAGAATGCCCTTGACTTCTTATGTTCGTACATTGACCGTAAGCTACAAACAGCACGCACAGTTCTCATTTAAAAATTGAGTCTAAAAGTTCGATAAAAGTCCATAGAGTTTTAATCATTAAATTTTTCATTAAGAATAATTTTTAATATAGCATTGTAAATGCAAAATGGACCAAATATAACATAAAAATTTTTTTTAAACAAAATTGTGTTTTGCTCTTTTAGACCCAGTTCAGAACTGCGTGTATATTAGACGCGTGAACCTAAAATCGCGCCTGAATTCGCAACGAATTCGCCACTTCTGGACAAGGTCATGCCGTTGACACGAATTTGGTGCATCTTTTATTTTATTAATAACAGGGAATATGCACGTTTTTTTATTTATTTATGAAGAAAAATATATAAATAGGCTTGAAAATTGTTTAAAATGGTCAAAAATATACTATGTAACATTAAAATTACCTTGCAGCTTTCACTCCTTTATCTCTGCGCTCGTAAATTCGAGATTAGATGCAAAATACGCCGATAGCATCTATTTTTGGTAGATTATCCGATTGTGCTTTGACAAAACCAGTGAGATCGTATTGGGTTGATTACTAATATTGTTCCCGAGTAATCTCATATAATACAGATTTAATCAACTTTTTTTTACGTTATATAGCACAGAATCACAGAAGAATATTGATTAATCAAATGACCATTGATGTCACCTTTCGTTCGACCAATGGTGGCGCGTTTTGTAAATTAATATTTTCTGTTTAAAAATAAGAAAAAATCTTTTAAGCCATAATGTAAACACATTAAAGAATATAAAAAAAGATATTTGAGACTAATTGAAATTTTATGCTTACTCCCTATTGTTGGTAAATATGAATTTCGGAAATAAACAGGCATGTGTCGTGTTATTTATAGGCCATTGTAAAAGAAAGATGAGGTTAAAAATAAGATTATTAAGGTCGTAACATATGGTTTTGATCATTGGTTTAGATGTTGTTTTTTTGTGTCCAAATACGTTCGCAGGCTGCGTTTAAAAGTACTACATTTTAAAGTAGTGTTGTAGTGCTCATAATTTTTTGCGACAGATATCAGACATAATACGACAATGTTATTGTTAATTAGATTTTTCAAAATGTCTCGTGGGCCTGCTGTTGCCCACCGTGGGACTTTAGATGCTACAATATGATATCTAAAGATGAAATATCGCTCGCCATACATTCCAATGGCCCAACTCACCCGGCTTATCATATTTTCATATAATGATGAAACAAAAATGATACAGAAGTATATATTTCATAGGTTAAGATAGGTTCTTGGGATACGAAATATTATAGCAATTTATTTTAATTTACAATAATTTATATAATCGCAATCTTAACCGTGTATGATAACTTAAGATGTTAAAATAGGTTATATTAAAATATAATAAGATATCGTAAGATGATGATATCATCTTAACCGTCTGTAATGAGCTTTACGCTTGAGCCGACGAACAAAGAGAACGTTATGCTTAACGCCACCACTACCGTTTTTGGTGGCGAAATACTTGAAATGAAGAAGTCTTTTAAAATAATGTTCTGATCACGAAGGAGAAGTCTTTAAAATAAATCTAAAATTATCGTCGATGACCTCCCAATGAAATAACGACGCAGTCGCAAAAACACATAAAATTCCATTTTATATTGGATCAAAGATCATAGGGTAAACAAACTCTGATGTTTAATAGACCGTTTTTATTTCTAAATGAATGGTCGATATCTGTCACGCACAGAAAACAAGAGAACAACCTATCCTCAGACCTACTGAATTTACATGCGAAATTTATATATTAGATATAGATAGGGTTACTATTCGCCCCGATACGTCGGGATATGTCACCGTTATTAACAGTGGTGTCCCGACGTCTCGACAAGCTATATAATTTCCCGACAAACATAATCGAGTGCGTCGCACAGGACGCGCAGGCCTTGCAAGCCGTATAATGGTTGTAATTTTTATTTTTTTGCTTTGCTTAGCATTTTCAATGCTATTTTTCAAAGGGGATGATGTTAATTAATTGTTATGTTATCCTCTATAATTAATAAACGAATATAAATAAACATTAGACGCTACAAACATTTATATAGTTAAAAATATCCATAACTACTACAAATTAGAAACAACCAATGTGTCATGAAAATTCTCTATTAATCATATACATATGCTTAAGAAATGAATCTTATAAATAGAGTTATAAACTGTAGCTGGTCCGATATTTTGGAGTGCATCGTAAGACTATATAATTTTTTACATCTTGAATGTTATCATTACTTACGTGTGTTACAAAATTAATTGAATATATATATTTATATATTTGAATAAGTTTATATATTTTTATAAAACTATATCATTTATCTTAAAGCTATAAACTTAGACCATTATCTTTAGTATAAGTGAACAAGGAATCTATATGTTAGAAAAGTCTGAAAAATGACCTAGAGACCTAAACATTTCTGTAAAATTTGATTAACAGCATCTGCAATCTGTACCGTTGGAGATATCGCGCGCTGGGCGACCTGAGTCACGTGACGCGACTGCCCGAGTACCGCGCTGCTAATGCGGGATTCCGCTTCGACTTCCAGCTGATCAATGTGGACGACTTCAACGGGGCCGGCGAGACAGAGCCCAGCCCTTACTTTTACCAGGTCGGTTGGTTACAGAGAGATATTCATGATCTTAATATCATTATATTAAGGTTTATTTTGGCAAAATGTTGTCAACATTATCTTGCTATCAATTTAGTCTAATTGAATGAGATAGTATCGAACGGGCGGCAGCTGATCGTACGTTATGTAATGGAGTCGTATCCATCGGTATTCAGTGATGAATAAAGTATGCTTGCGCTATTATAATGTTCGCCTTAGATTAAACTTAATATGGCAAAGTTTTCAGTATTATTTTCACTTTCAGAATCTTGTGGTATAGGTAAAGGTATTTAATAATTTCTATAAAAAAGAAACTCGGTTATTGACTTCAGTATCAATTGATAAATGATAATAGAACAGTATCGTATAAAACTATAAACTAGCTAGCTACTTGCGAATTTTAATCTTTGAGAAATCACGTATACCTGACACAATCTGCTTTTTTGTTTTTCCTGTATCGTTTAATTGTAGTTACAATTTAATTTAATATACAAGGTACATTCAAGAAATACGCTTGACGGCTGAAAAGGTCTTTCCGACCGAAGTTTTATCACATCAATTAAAGACCTTATATTACAAAATGCGTTTCAGCATCGTGCAATTATATATATTTATATTTAGACACTTAACCCACTCACCGTTGATGAAATAGAAAATGATAATAATTTCCCTTACAGAATTTAGCGGAAGCGGAATACGTCGTAGCTGTGTTCATGTATATGCGCCTAATAGGCTGGCCAGCGGAGCGCGTCTCCATTCTAACCACATATAATGGACAGAAACATCTTATCAGAGACGTCATCGACAAAAGATGTGCCGGTAACCCACTAATAGGACGTCCGCATAAAGTAAGTAACTTGAATTGACAATAACGACAATTACTTTAGATCACAAATAAATCTTTACATAAGGATCTACAGAGCATGCATTGAAGCATCCAAATCAAAAGATTGAGAGAAAATAAAAAGATATCTCCAGGTCGTGTTGTTTGAAATAATGTCAATTACTATACTACAAATTATTGAATTCCCTAATATAACAATTCGATTGTATACTTATCAAAAATTTGTATCAATTGTCACTATAACTAAAATATCAAAATATTAAAAGTAAAATTTGTTGTTTTTTTTTTTCACAAAATAATTTAATACATTCACATTTTGACCTAATATAAATTTCGTGGTTTTTGTGTCCTCTTATGTATAAATTCTACGTTTGTTCATATTGTCAAAACTTCATTAATGAAAATTATTATATAAAATTGAAAAAAGTTAAAAGGACGAATTTGGTTTAGTAATTAAAGCTCAGTTAAAGAGACCAAACGAAAGTGTCACATTGTTCTAATGTTAAATTGAAATAAAAGACTCGTTCTAGGATACTCATTATGATAAATTCTCATAACATATTACTTTGCACAAATTCAGAACCTGTTTAATAAATTCTTTATATAACCATGCGGTCACGGTTTTTTATTAGACTTTTAATATCATCGCCAAATGTAGGTGTCCTTGAACTGTCTAGTTCGCAAATTGTATTGCAGAAAATAATTGACTTCATTGAACTAAAACGGTGGCTTAAATTGAAGATGTCCGAATATAAAGATCATGACGCGCGAGATTTAGTATCGCATACATCCAATATTGGGTTTTTACAGTACAGTAACTTTACTAAATACAAATAGTAATAATTACAACAAATTGAAAAATAAAATAGAATAACTGCGGCGAGTTACTATTCTAAATTAGTGTGGATTATTTTGTTTTAAAACAAGGTTTTAGTTATCTGCAATTATTGATAACGTGGCTGCTTAAAATTGATTTGATAAATACACGTATGTAGAAAAATTCAACTGTGAATTTTCAGATTCGCTGCTCTTAACCAAGGTTAATTATGAAATCAGATTCCATGTCAAATTTTTTATTCCGCGAAGAACAAGACATTTCCGATAACAACTGTATCATTACAAAAAAGCGACAAGAACACGTGTTACTCGGACGACAACTAAAGCGTCACTGTCACAAAAATGAAAGATATGTCATTACGTCCATATTAAAAAAAAAGAACTCACGCAAAAAGAGCCACGCGCGCAAATGTTTTGAACTATCTGTATTTTTGTGTCCCAAAATTTGACTTAATTTGTTTAGTTTCCGTTGCGAATTATGAATTATATTCCGTTTCGTAAGTCATGGAAAGTACGAATGTCGCAATGTTGTCTTATTAATTTGTGAGTTTACCAATATGTATATATTAAGTGTTCCAATACACCTCTTCAAATTTTAGATGTACCAAAAAATTTACCGTATATATATTTTTTCTTTCGTTTAGGTGACAACGGTGGACAAGTACCAAGGACAACAGAACGATATCGCGCTGGTTTCGCTCGTTCGTACTAAAGCTGTGGGTCACGTGAGAGATTTGCGGCGTCTCATAGTAGCGGCATCGAGAGCACGTCTGGGCTTATACATATTCGCGCGAGCTAACCTCTTCAGGAACTGCTTTGAACTTCAGCCAACATTCAATCAGGTAATGGAATTGGATTTTTCTAAGAATTTTAATAAAAAGAATTTTAATGAACTCACAAAAAATATACTAGCCAAGAGCGATTCGGATTCGCGCTCTGAGGGTTCCAATATTCAATTTATTTAATATTTTTCTTTTTGACTATAAATAAGAATTTATGCATTGTGAAAAATAAATAAATTTCAAATATGCACATCAAGCCCTTTCATATGACACTCATTTGGACAAAGTATATTAAATTTTTACACCCACTACAAGAGGTACACTTTTTTGATTTAGTTACAAATGTATAATTTTAGTTTTTTTTTTTGATCTTGTACTTGCAACTTGTAACAAAGACAAATTCTTAAAATCAAATATAAGTACCACTCATTTCGCTTAATTATAATAATAACAATGGATTTATTAATGCGACCCATGACATGCATAGTGTTATGTACAAGCAATAGGCATAGAAATTGAAAATTCAACGCCGTATATCATGTTCTGAATCAAATGCACAAGCCGTTGCCTTCCTACATAACTACCACCATGTTCCATTGAGTTTTCTAGGAGATGTTTTTTTGTATGAATTCGTATACAGTCTACAGCACGTTAGACTGTACATAACTGACAAATTTCTATACTTTATTTTAAATCTTATCGCGTTACATTTAGAGTTCAAAATCAATAGAAAAAAATTGACTTAAGTGGTGCACTCGTGTGTACGTATAGTATTATCTATTTGTATGTAGATTAAGTCTATAAAAATATGTATTCAATAATGCATCGATCTTCAATCTTTTACGGCTCCTGAAATATCGATGAGTCACCCAAAGACTCGACTGCGGAAGGCCAATAAACAACTGAATTTAGTTCACCGGGAAATCCATTCTTGATTCGTAACGATTCTTGTAATCGACTAGCAATTTTTTTTAACTAAACGATTTGCTCCAATTGAGTTTCTCGGTAAGACATTTGTAAACAGGAGAAGTGTTAAATATATTTAGCGATTGAAAATATCCCCTATGAAAGCTACAACATATGCGTGAACATAGGCTATATTTTATCCCGAAAAACAGCAAATAAAAGGATGAAAATTGGAGTGGAAGTTTTTAAAGGCAATGAAAACATTACTATAGTAACCGTTGTTACCATTCAATTTGTCATTGTAATTAAATCTGTGTCATAATATGAAATGATATCCAAATAAAGAATTCCCTAGGGACTATTTTTCTTTCTTTCTTATAGGTAATAAAATAAGTATGTGATTATTACTCTATGTACAGTTGGTCGAGCGTCCGCTGGAGTTGGAACTGGTACCGGGGGAGCGGTACCCCGCCCAGAGGGGCGCGGGGGCAGCGGTACCGCCCGCACTAGTGCTCACTGTACGCGACATGCCGCATATGGCCAGATACGTGTACGACATGTATCTGGACACCATACGAGACGCTAACCAAGAGGTCAGTATAATAACATCACTACCTTTTAGCACATACACAACTGTTACAAGTTCTGATATCATTTTTGAGAGGTTTGGGGGGGGGGTGTAATGGAAATCAATTGGAAGTATTATTTTGGAGAGTGTCTACCTTTTAGCACATACGAGGGTCAAACTGAAAGTTCTTAGAAAATCAAAAACTGATTACATTAGCCAGTTATTAGTTTTATTATATCTTTTCAAAATATTGTCCATTCACGTCAATACACCGCTGCATGCGATGGAACCACTGGGAAAAGCACTTTGCCCACTCGTCCTTAGGGGTCTCTTCAATGGCATCGCGATACGCAGCCACCGCTTCTTCAGCATTCATAAACCGCTTTCCTTTAAGTTTTTCTTTAATTTTTGGAAATAAATAAAAATCACAAGGCGCGAGGTCGGGGTTATACGGCGGGTGACCCAGTAATTCAACGTTTGATGTCGCCAAATAGTCGATCGTTCGCTTGGCGGTGTGCGACGAGGCGTTGTCGTGGTGAAGGAGGATCCTACTGCGAGGTCGTTTCTCTCGAACTTTTTCCAAGACAAGTGGCAAACAATTGGTAGTGTACCATTCTGCAGAAACTGTTTTTTGATCCTCTAACACAATTGTTACAAAATGACCTATCCTTCCAAAGAACGAGGCCACCATTTTTTTTCCCGCACTTCGATCTCTCTTCACTTTAGTTGGCAACTCCTCGAAAGGAAACACCCACTGAGCAGATTGTCTTTTGGTTTTAGGATCATAACAGTAAATCCAGCTTTCGTCACCTGTTAGTATGTCGAACACAGCATTTGAGTCACCTCCGTTAAATCTTTCAATCATTTTACGACACCAATCCACACGATGGAGTTTTTGAGCCTCAGTCAAATTATGAGGTATCCACCGGGCGCAAAGCTTCCTGACCGCTAAATGTTCGTGGAGGATTTTGTGCACTTGACTCATACCGATGCCTAAGCTTGTCCGAATCTGTTGATAGGTCACTCTTTTGTCAGTCTCTATCATACGCCGCACAACACAGATGTTATCTTCAGTCGTCGCCGTAGAAGGCCGTCCCTCACGTAAATCATCAGTGAGATTAGTGCGACCACGTTTAAACTCATTAAACCAGTTGTAAACAGTCGCACGAGATGGGGCTTCATCGTGAAAGGCCAATCGTAGTCTATCATAACTTTCTTGTTGACTTAAATGACATCGAAAGTCATAAAAAATCATTGCTCGAAAATTTTCTCGTGTTAAATTCATGATGACGTGACACAGACAATTTTCAATTTGCCGCCAAATCGTAAAACAAATGACAAATGAATGAAATATATACTCAGTAATATTGGCAAAGAGTTATATTTTCAAATTTTAGAATTATTTTTTTATTATATTGTTTATATGTGGCCAGTTCTAAGAACTTTCAGTTTGACCCTCGTATACAGGTTTTTCAAGTTCTGATCCATTTTTTGAGAGGTTTGAGGAGGCGGGTAATTGAAATCAATTGGAAGATATTTATTTTTTTTAAATTAGGTTTTCTTGACACATGTAAAATATAGCGTATGGCTTTAACGTAGCTAGTAGCTACCTTGCTAATTTCCCAAAAAAAATATGGACTTTTTCCATAGCCTGCACCCCGACTTAATCGACCAAGGCCATAAGGAAAGGATACACAAAAAATTTAGTAGGGAAAAATATATTGTACTTCTTGTAAGAATTAACATAATGGCATAGGCCCATCAATCAGTTGTCATTTTAATTCGTACGATTTGTGCAAGTTATACATATAAAAAATGCTAACGCTAAAACCCTGGTCCTCATGTCAACAAAGATCGGAAAAGTATTTTGAATAAAGGATTTTTTTTAACTTTTAATAAGTAACATTCTCGTACAGGGCACTCGACAATACTCAGCACCTGGGACAGCTGCGGCCGCCCAATCTAAATCTCCGGAGCGATTCGTGGCATCACATCCAGCTGCTGACTCTGATGACGATGAACCATCTGCCTTCCAACCTACAGATATTGTCAACGAAATCGAAGAGGCATAACCATCGCGATATACTAAAGGTACTCATATCAAATATGAGACGTTTATACTTAAGTTGAAGATTAAACTAAGTGCAACGTTTCTCGGAAATAAGACTGTAAAATGTAATTTCTGTCATAATTCTAAATAAATGATTAAGTTGAATGATCTAAATAGTTTTTTATTATTATCAAGTTTTTAATGCTAGTAAATTTTTGATAAGCTCAGAATACGGTGCATATTTGATTGGAGCAAGTTTGTTATTGAGTGAATATAGTAAATATTAATTGCCTTGATATTATACTTAATTTTTTATCAGTTATATGCAGAGGTCGGAATAAGGTAGAGTTATTTATATACTTGCATCGAAATGTTGATATTAATGTGGACCTTCCCGGGATTTCTAATGGATAATCTTGGACATCTTTGGACATCCGATGTCATTGATGTAAGTTTGGCAACGTCGTGCGTGCAGTAGTTTAAATTGTGTAATAGTAAATAACTTTTTATTTAAAAAATCACGGGATTTTTTCTGCTCTTTAAAATTAATCTCGGGGTTTGAGGCATATCCACTTTATTCTTTCGCTGTATGAAATCAGTGTAAGTACATGAATAACTCTACCTAATTCCGACCACTGGTTATAAGTAATATTTTAAAATATTTTTTTAAATAACATTTTGAATTTTCTTTTACCCTTGGAGTATATATTCCACTTTCGGAATAATGGAGACTCAAGATTTGGGGGAAAACCAAAAATTTACGTTGAAATAAACAAAAATATTCTGAAATTGAGTCTAAAAATCGCTTATCGCTTATCTAAATAATGCTAAAATTCAAAGTCGAGGTTTTTTTTCGTATATAAAGTTACTTAAAACACGACTCGCCATAGTACGAAGTTAGATCTGTAAACAGCAGCCTATTTATTTTAAAGCAAACTCCTAGAATGTGGTGTTCTTAGCTTATTTTTTAATTTTATCTTGTAGCAAGAGTGTTAGATAGCACTGTCTTTGTCTAATGGAAATCTTAATATGTACATATTTAAATGACGTCATGAATAAGGTGGACAGCGTTATCACGGTTTTTTTTTTTATTTTAAGGTAATAAAATGTTTATATTACATAAATATTTTTGAAGCGGATTATTTAAATTAACATAAAAACTTACAAGTACTTTTTCAATCAGAGTAAAATACACTATAATTACCAGTAGATAGTGGAATTATTGCAAAAAAAAAATAGTTTGGTAAAACGTACAGTCAACTGCACGTCAGACTAGCAAAGCTTCCCCACTCGATTGTAAACCTTAATATATAAAGGTTAGAGGTCAAACTTCATTGCGGTAATAGCTGATTAACGACGACTTCGCCCTCGTTTATTATACCTATACTATCTCATTTCGCGTATGATGTGGGAAGCTACAGGTGAAAGAATTATCACGATCGTGTCAGTATTTCCGAAGATTACTTCCAATAAATAAAACAAAATTAGAGACTACTGTTTAAAATATTAGCATAGATAACACAAATAAGAACAGTATAAAAAAACCTTTATTATTTAGTTACATAGTTTGGTATAACAATCAGAATAGCCTTAGAAGAGTCCTACTATTTCCCCGGTCTTGGTGTCAAGGTCGATGTCATAGATACTGGGTCTGGTTGATAGACCTGGCATCTTGGAGATCTCGCCCACCATTGGTACTACAAACCCGGCGCCTACAGACACAAATATGCCATTGACTTTGAGTGGGAATCCCGTAGGAGCGCCCTTCACTGCTGGGTCACCAGTCAGAGAGTTTGAAGTCTTCGCCATGCATATTGGCAATTTGTCGTAGCCCTGTAACGATATTGTTTTGTTATTATATTAGATCAATTTTGACTCCAACCCATGATCTTTCGCAATCCCCTGAAGAGCAGTTGCCAGGTCGCCAGTCTCAGAGTGCAGGGACAGTGAATTTTTTTCAATATTTTTTGCTTAACAAAAAAATGTTTAACAAACTAAATAAGATTAATTCACCAGTATTACCAGTCTGTTGGAAACAAATAATAAGCTTTTGTTTCAAAAAATTGGATATATAAAGATGATTGTTGCACAGTTTTTGTATCGAGGTATGCACAGTAAACGACAGCTACAATTAAACAAACCATCAAATCTTTTTACTACGCTAGAGAGCGATTGAAAGATTAATCTTCTCTCTCTTTCTAAGCGATGGGCGGTTAGAGATCTAGCTTCTCTGGTTTATGAGGCAGACTCAATATTCCATTAAATTGATTATAGAAAAAATAGCCTTAATAAGTATTGTATTAACAAAAAGGAGAGCGAAGGAACTTGTTAATAAAGTGGGTCATTTAGTTTTATTCGCTTTCAAAATAAAACAAATTACTTATTTTATTACACCAATTGATCACGTTGTTGTTGTCGTGGGTACTCTTTCTGCTCTCGGGCTATATATGTGGTTTTCAAGACAAGTTACAGATTCAATTTCTATCCCTAAATCAGGACTTTTCATACATTAGTAAATCAAAAGGATGTATCGATGTCACGATAAGAATTAAAGTTATATTACCATATCTGTAAATGTTTTTATTTTTTCGACCACGTCGGCGGTATATTCGATGGTGCCTGCGCCATACATTTCGGTGGCGATCTTGGTGATCTTGTCGGTGATAGACATGTTGAGTGGGTACAGATATTGGAAGTTGTTTGGCTTATCGCAGGCAGCTATCACCGCGTCCGCTAGATCTAGTGCGCCGGCGCCGCCTTTAGCCCAATGGTCGCAGATCACAGCACGGAATGCACCATTTTTCTCGGCGTATTGCTGCACTAGTCTTAACTCTGCTTCAGTGTCATTCCTATGTTACAATTTATATGCAGGATTAGTTTTTAAAAAGAACAACCTCCACAACAAGACATCTAACGAACATAACAACATGGTATATTGGTACATAGGTAGATATGGTATCTCACTCTCGACCTGAGAAACGTGGCGTTTGGTGTAGTCAAAGTATTCTTCCATCTTGTTTTTCTAAGTGCGTTGCTTTTCAAGAAATATGTTCAGAAGATATACTTTTGATCACATTAGGAAAATTTGATATATCGCGATATTTATTAATATTAGTTTTGTGAAAGTGAAATCAAAGCCTCAAGTGTTGATAATTGATCTTACCGTGTAAATATAATCGCTTACATTCAAATAATCGTGCCAGACAAATATGTAACGACTATCTGTCGGATAAGATAAAGACGAAAAAACAAACAAAAATCTATCAAGAAAAGATATAATTGTGGACTGCTGCATCACAAACCGGGGAAGTACTTTTGTTCCATAACTTAGAAAAAAAATATACTGCTGATACTTCATTATATTTCCTTGTATGAGTTTTATGTGTGGCATTTTGGTTTCTCGATACCTTAATTTTCAAATCATTACTCTTATCAAAACTCACGAATAGTGAGTAACGTCACAAAACATAACAATTTGGTACTGTTAACCTCTCTTTACTTGACATAAAGTGGAAGTAAAGTTGATGGTGACCGAGTTGCCTGATAGTTACCTGGCTTATGGCTCATTTACACTAGTCGTTAAGTTCGCTACGCGGCATGCAGACGATATTGGTTTGTCATTCGTTCATTTACTAATGAAGGATGCCCGCATTCCACATGTGGACCACATTGACCAATGGCAATTAAGTGAATAATGAAATACAAACCCATGTCTGTTGATGGCGATGACTACAGGTACACCGAATTTATTACCGTTGCTAATGTGCTTGCCCAAGTTGCACAAACCTTTGGTCAGCAATTCCAGATTTTCCTGCAATAATATATGTACATGTAAATGAGATTTACAACATGAAAATTCGCGGAACCAATAAATCAGAGTATGTTAATTGTTATAATTAATCATACATCTCATCAATCGCTTTCTTCGTAACATTACAATTTTTTTTTTATTAATAAAAAAATATTCTCCTCTGTAGACCAATTTCCAGCGTCGATATATATATGCAATGGGTCCAGTATTGCCACCTCGATACGTAAGGTAAGTGCTAGATGACATCTCAAAAAAAGTTTCTAATCATCTTTAAATCTCTCCCCATTACGTTTTCTTCAACCTTATCTATAAAATCTACCTGTGAGCAGGAAATAAATCACAATACCAAATAGTGCTAGATTTTAGTTACAGTTATAGAAATAGAGCCGAATTAAGCTAGAGTGGGACCTGTAACATCTTGAGTTTTATTTGTCAGTGTATGTTTATATTTAAAAATATATGAGTTTATTTCTTATTTCTTGCATTTTAAACACTGACCTAAAAAATATATTGGCTTTGAAATATAGCGAGACCCTTGCTCGAGGCCCGTAGCGTTTGCTACTTTTGTTACATGGCTAATACGGACCTGGAAATAGTGCCAGATCTAGCACCGAAAGTTGGCAACACTTAATGGATCACCTTAACGTATACGTCGTGTAGGGGCGCGCCGGGCGAGACGGCCGGCCCTCCACCGTGCATCTTGAGCGCACGAACCGTTGCCACTATCACCGCACAGTGAGGCCTGTCGCCGCTAGCACGACATTTTATGTCGAAGAACTTCTCCATACCTACAGAATAAGCACGTTCGTTAAACCCTGTTCACTGATGCGGTAATTCTGTATCGTTAAGAAAATTTATGCAAGCATAAATTAACCTGTTGTAAGCGACGCGTTTACCATGGTAAGCGGTCCGCGTCTATGGCTGTGTATCGCGAGACACACTCTGTTAATTAGGATCTATGGCGCGTAAACGTTCTTAATGTTTTATGCCAATGGTAGAAAGACTACACATCTTTGTAAAATAAAAATTCAAAAATTTTGTAAGATATGCTATATTACAAAAAAATTGTTTTATGTCGTTCACAGTGTGAGGTTAGAAAGAAAGAAAAAATGTTGGGCAAATGTTTGAACAATATTGTGAATTTAAGTGTTTATTTTGGAGTTTGATTAATACTTTTGTCTTTTTTGTTGGTATTGTGATACTATAACAATAAAAGAGGTAGTCCTAAAGTATGTTCTTTTTTGATTAATAAAAAGCTCGATAGATTTTATCGAAATGTGAATTATCGACATCGATAAAAATATGTGCCTATCACTACTCATACTAATTTGTTTTTGTAAGCAAGGTTAGTTATCTGAGGACTTAACACAAAAAACCGCCTGTTAATCCATTGAGAGTTCTGAGTATTAGAGGATATTACATAATGCATTGCATTTCTTTACGTTATGTGCGATCGCATGCGTTTGCGGCGGGGGGCACCGCATACTAAAGAAAGGAGTTAATAGATATTTTTTGTTTGATAATATGTATCGATCATTTCACGAGCGGTTTAGATTTTATGCACCTATGCATGGAAACCAGGACAAATAAAATAGCTTAATGCGAAAACATAAATAATTTTCCTGGTGAATTCTTTGATCGCTGTACGTGATGCTTTTTTCAAACATAAATCACGTTTAAATTTCAAAAGCAACTAAAGTTTTAGAATACTATTAGTGTAGGTAGTTTTCAATGTGATTCGAATTGGTATGCTAAGTTATAGACAGTTTCAAATATCGAGACCCTCATGTTTAATATATAATATATAAATCGAACATTTAGTCTACAAAAAGAAAACTACTCTATTCCAGTCCGAAAACGATCTATTGTTGAATTTTCCATGCCTACTTATTAAATTGATATACAATATTAATAAGATACGATAACTCTTAAAAGTTAAATATATACCGATATCTGAACCGAATCCAGCCTCTGTGGCGACGTATCCGTTTTCGCCGGCTAGCTTGGCGGCGATCTTGTCAGCGATTATGGACGAGCATCCATGAGCGATATTAGCGAACGGACCAGTATGGACCAACACAGGAGTGCCCTCTAACGATTGCATGAGTGTCGGCTCGAATGCATCCTTCAGCAATACTAGCAGAGCACCTGTCATACCCTATATCATATATTAAATATTAGATTATATCATTGTGAGGAGCTCGCAATGGTTGACTGTCGCAAGGCCGGTCAGAGGTTGGGTGACCATAAATGTTATAAGTTAAGCTGTTTGTTCCAGCTACGTCTGCAATAATTAACACCCATCAATCTGTATTTGACCCGCTGGTGGGTTATAGCACATACTCCCTAATTGATTCCATCAGTAAGGACTGATCATATGTAAATAAGTAAGTAAGTAAGTAGCGCAGACTTAAGCTTTTATTATGGAAATCTGAAATAATGAAGATATATTACTTTCCCAAGAATACCATTAAAAAGGACGCTTTTTTTATCTTATTATAGAGAATCTTCCAATTTCCAAATGTCATCAAGGACCTACTTCCAAAAATTATTACGTACTTGTGCATACTTTCTAAAGCTATTATATCCTTGCTTAAAAACTCATCATAAATATGGAGACGATTTATATTTCTACTTAAATGATAATAAGTATGCTCCTACGTACCAAATCATCAGCTGTGACAGGATTGCCTCGTTTGTCCAGAGCCACCACCATATTAGCCAGACGCTGCTTGATGTCTTCCACGTCAGTACCCAAAGCCAGGATGGCCATGATCTCAGATGCCACGGAAATGTCGAAAGCCGTTTCACGTGTGAAACCTTTCTCCGTTGGTGATTGGCCGATAGTTATCTTACGTAGATATCTGTCGTTCAAATCGACCACTGAAATGAGGGAACATAATATATTCTTAATACATAATAATTATATTACTAGAAGTGTTTAGAAAGGTCTTGTAGACTGGGCAGGCATACTTATGCGCAAGATCGTAAATATTCAAAAGTTCAGAAATACACAACGTGTAACAGAAATAACGCACATCCTTATCCCAACCCCAATGAGGAAGTATATAAAAAAACATTAGTTCCCGAAATCAAACTAGATGTCGCTACGGTACTTTCTTGATTTCTCCATGACAACCCTTCTGGTTTTCTTTCATGTATAAAAGTAAATTAATTTTCAAAACTCAATAAACAACTCATATTCTATTTTTACTTTTTCGTATTTGTATTGATATCTAAGTTTGGAACTTTGCAAATTTCAGTTTTTAATATATTAGTTAAAAGGAACGGAAATTATCTTTGATCCATTCGTTTCATGCAAAAATCGACTTTTACTGGAGTCGCCAACTAGTGAGGTTTTTTAGTGCTTTCTTTTTTTAATGCTTCCTCATCGCTGTGTAACAGTGTGGACGATGAATGAAAGAAGGGCCTAATAGTCTGTAACGTTGCGTATTATTTAGACGCAACTTACATTTACATTATAAGTTGTCGTATGTAATCTTTCCGTAGTTTACATACGACAACATTGGTTTTTCTATCAGCGCTCTCAATACGCGCTAATGATACTCAAAGGGCGGGGCTTAACTTATTGCTAATAGCCTCTGAGCTGCATTCGTTGTGATGCTGTCACAGACGACTGAAATACTTTATTGCGGATGACTGTACCGTTCTGCTATATAAAAACGTTACGAATTTCGTTGTTTTCTATAATTTGTTCATCATATTATTATGCATTTAGTGCTCACATAGTATTGTGATTGGGAAAATTACTGGACTTGATCGGTAGGTACGTCTGCTGCAATAGGATTTGGCATATTGCTAATTGAACCTGTTGGGATTACAGGATTCTTGGTACCAGTTAAGTCTACTCGCTGCGTTCTTGATTACTACTTAACCACCGTCGGTATCACGTTATTTCCTGCTTAGTTTACCTCAGAATTCAGAAGCTGACTGATTCGGAAGCAAAAGTTAAACAAGTCAGGCCATTGATTTACTTATTAGCTCAGCCAACATGATAAGGTACCAGACAAAAAAATATCGTAACCTCTACTTCTTGTTTCACTTCTTCCTATGGTATAGCTTGGCTAAGTAAACCTGCGTCCTGCCGCAATCGTAGGCACCACACCTATAATGCTTTATTGTTTTATTATTGCAATGCTTAATTACCTCTGTTCCACATAATTTTCGCGGTGTCTATGTCTAATCTAGCGAATCTACTCTTCTCTTCATCGGTCAATGAGTCCGGGCCGGTTTTGTTGATGCCCAGTCGTTGCAATCTCCTCAATTGAATGGGTGAGAATTTCCTAACGCCTTTGATGCGGGGCACGAGACGATCATACAACGGGCCGTCCTTTTGCGTCAATTCGTGGAAGATACGAGCGTCCATTTGAGCGGCGAGGAGATTGTTGGCGGCACTAACGGCGTGGATGTCACCGGTCAAGTGCAGGTTAAATTCTTCCATCGGAATGACCTACAATTTATACCAATAGAATAACTACATTATTCGTTTGTAAGATTAATTAAGAATATTATCACGTTTTTTTTTTGCGTAATCAATAAAATACGACACATTGAGTGCAAATGTCGCATGATGTCACGCCTTTGTACGAGTTGTGACGTAGCGAGACCTCACTCCTCAATTTGAACGTCTATTATCGAATCCATTTCTTGTTAAATTGAAGCAAAAACAATAAATATCTAATATTTTTCTATTATCTGATTGATGGACTAACGGCCAGTTTCTGAATTAAGAAAAGTACAAATCTCAACTGATTATTCTGAACAAATTAAGTTTTTTTTTACGTTTCACAGGTGCAATAATCCTAGTTTTTTAAAAAAGGATATTGACTGATCGTTAAAAAAATTTTTAAGTACAGTTTGAGAAGTTCCTAATTTTGAATTCTCAATTCAGAAACCAGGCGTAAGTATAATCTTTCTATTTTTTACTAAGTCTTCGTTCCTATGCTGTTGCAAAAACTAGACTATAATTTAAGTCCTGTCAAACTGTGTTTGAAATTGTGAAAAAGCCAAGATAACAGAAGTTAACGTATTACATTACACATAAGTACCTTTTATTACATTATGACCATGAAATAACTGTAAATAAATCGAGTACCTATGTTAGTATAACTCGCATTTCAACTCTGTGTTATGACGCTTTTGCGACAATACGGAAAATATAACTTAAATATTTTTAACTCTAGAATACCTGTGAATAGCCGCCACCTGCGGCTCCGCCCTTAACTCCAAAGGTTGGTCCCTGACTGGGCTGTCGCATGCACGCAAAAGCGTTGCGACCGCGATGTGCATTCAGAGCCTGCACGAGGCCTAGTAAAGTGGTGCTTTTACCCTCCCCAAGGGGTGTAGGCGTTATTCTGTAAAAAAGTTGCCTTTTATCTCAGCATTTCAAAAACTCGGAACGCAAACAGAATTGGGGCGGACTGTTTTCGCCTTTACCCTCTTGCCCTGAATGATTGGGAAAATTACAATGTCACGTCAATTTGAACAAACCACGAACTTTTTAATCAACTTCAAAAAAAGGACGTTATCTATGTGTGTAATTTTATTGGAATAGCGTATATTAGTATGTATGGACTTCTGAACAAAATGTTATAGATGTGTGTATCTTTGTCCACAGATTTCTCGCAGACGTCAGATTGCAATGATTCTTTTTTCTTCAATAACAACAATCAACTTAGGGTACACTACAAGTTTCATCGAAATCGATTCAGTAGTGTTGGAGATATAAAATATTAAAATGTAATGTACTTAATAGGAGTACAATTTTAACCGACTTATAAAAGGAGTTAAAATTGATGACATTATTTTTAATCAACTTCTTAACTTAAATATTAATATATACCTACAAATTAATTAATAATTAAATAAATATAAATATATACCCAGCTACGACGATGTATTTGCCCGCGCTACGGTGGCGCAATCTGTCGAGTACGCCCAGTGATATTTTAGCTTTAGTGCGTCCGTACTGCGACACTTCACTCGGGAACAGACCGATCTCGTTAGCCAACTCAGCTATATCCTTTGGCTTCTGTGAGCGCGCGATCACAATATCACTGGAATAATAAAGCTTATTATCATACATCATCATCAACTCTTTCACGTCCCCACTGCAGGGGCTCAGGCCTTCCTTATGGATGGTTAAGGAGGATGGGCCATGACCCTCCACGCTGGCCCAATGCGGATTGGAGGGTATTAATGACTGCAAATGCAGCCAGGACCAACGGCTTAATGTGCCTTCCGAAGCACGGAGTAGCTCGAGATAAACATTTTTTGGTCACCCATCCCATTACCGACCCTTGCGAAAGTTGCTTAACGACAATGATCGCGAACCGCGGCGGCTATCCACTACATCACCGAGCTACACTCACACATCACTAGTATATTAATGTCCCTAGTCCTGGGGCACAAGCCTCTATGGATATAATCTAATGTTATGGGGAACTGACCATGACCCACCAAGCCTAGTACATATTAGTGTATGTTAACGGCTCAGATGCAGCCGGGACAATCTGCGTTCGTTAACGTTCCTCCGTCACATAAGAGCTCAAGATGATACACTTTTGGTCACCTATGATTGGGCCTTGAGAAAGTTGCTTCGCTTACGCATCGCAAAGCGAACGTGCTAACCATTGCGCCATCGTGCTCCACAAGTTTATATCATTCTGATCTAAAAAGATTAAGCACAACTTTTCATTTATCAGAACAAGACTCGTGGAATCTGCAGTAGGGGGTCTTCTGCATTTAGACGATTGTCATTTACGCTTGATTCCCATTACGCGTAGATGTACTTCTGATTGCCCGAAAACTGTTTAAATTATTTTTGAATGTTGAATGTAACGTAGTAAATTCTTCAAAGCAATGCAATACAAAAATATAATTTACAATGACGACGACGCAGGAGAACAGATAGCAACAATTACAACACGGTCTAACAGTATACGTAGAAGTTCATGTGTTGATGACATTACCTTGGCGGCGGTGAAACAGGTAACAGTCGCAATGGGCGCAAGGGCCAAGATGGCGCAAGTAATTTGTCCAGCTGCCGACGCGCCGCCAGCACGGTGTTCCGCATCAGCATCGCCACGGTCATCGGGCCCACGCCGCCCGGCACCGGCGTCACGTGCGACGCTACCTTCAACGCCTCCGCGTACGCTACGTCACCGACTAACCGCTGCCCGGACTTCTTTGTCGGATCTAAAAACGAAATAATAAACGTTGTCCAGGTTTAACTTAAACCATTTTTGGTCCTATTTTTTTTTTATCAAGAATTTTGTGGAAACAAAAATGTGAATTTTAATAAAAAATTCGATAAAAATATCACAAAGATGACTCAAAGATAATTCAGTAATGAAATAAAAATCCTTTGGTAGTTTGATTTTATCGCGTTAAAGTAAACGTATACGTATTTTATAAAAGATATTTGACGTTAAATATGTATATACTCGTAAAATGATTTATCTACTCGTATATAGCTATTTAACGAAATCACAAGTCTAAAAAGATTTGGATTTAAGTAGAGCAAAGACATTTGGACTATCAGAACTATATAAAATAAAACTAATAAACTATTTACCAATTCAATAAACTAAACAACCAATGACATCCCTTCACGAATTAAACGAGCGACGTTCCCGATTCAACGAACACAGAGCAGAGAACTATGATTGATCTCTTCCAAATATACAAATATTAGATTTTAGTTGAAAACATAGCCCAAACGTAAACCTTATAACATTGTCGTTACTTCGCTGGTATCCATTGTATGCTACACGCATAATCTTACCGATAAAGATTTATTGTTTTCCACGGTAAGAACGTTTTCACACGATAGTTCTTTTTAAACTGCCTTTAAACAACCAGTGGCCTGTTAAGTTTTGTCAATATTATGGACATCGGTAGGAAGTACCGTGAATTGTCCATGAAATGTAACAATGGTAAATTGTTGTTGATCGAATCTCTTCTATCATCATGGAATAATTGGTCGATGCAATAGTATTTTTATAATAATGTATGCGGAGACAAGATACTGTAATTTGGTTATCAAATAATTTAATAGCCTCAACATTAATATACAGTATCAGTACACAGATGTGTTCCTACGGTTCAGTATTTTTAATATTTATTTAGTAAGAATTTTAAACTTAATTTTTTTATATTAAAAATTTTATTTTAGTTAATATTTAAAAAAATTCATGTTTATTTTTATTGTAGTGATCAAATTGTAGGTATAATAACAAAAACCGGTCATCGACCTCAGTGTACGTGTTTATGGATAGATTTATTTTTATTTTTATCTCCGATGTTGACAAGTTGAAAAAGTGTAAAAAAACTTGAATATGATTTACTTACGCTTAACAACAATATTACATATTCGAAAAATGCTTAAAAATCCACTTTAATAAGATAATAAGTAATATTATCATTAATGCACCCAAACAGCCGAAAGAAATATTTTTACAAATATTTAAACTTTCGATATATATTTGATCAATTTGTTCCTGGCACTCTGAGATGGGACATGGGTTCGAGTCCCATCTTAGAGTGGATTTTTAAAGCATTTTTAATTTCAGTAAATCATTATGAATGCAGAATTGATCAAGTATAATAACAATACATATTAAAGATTCGCTGACTATAATTTTATTCTTTATGTATATAATTTCTTAAATTATAAGTATTTTGTTAACCAATTAACAAAACTGCACCACACAGAAATGTGTTACAAGTAAGCTGATATCATATTTCTTTTAACAGAATATAATCACCTGATTTTACTCGATTGAGTTACCACATGAATAATGAGGAAGTTTCCGAAAACAAAACTAAATTTATATTTTTTTTCCGGTTCTCAACCTTAAGGGCTCGGAACCACCTTCCCATCAACGGAGGTACATACTAACAAAATATAAAGCACCCCCATTAGTGAAAGAATGGATTATAGTTTCTTTTATAATTTTGATATCTATATCGTTTTTGCGATGTGATTATCATACCTGCGATTGGATTGATGCCACAGTCTATCACCACTGCTCCAGGCTTGATCCAAGAGCCCTTCACCATCTCTGCTCGTCCAATAGCTACCACCAAGATGTCAGCTGACCTAGCCTAAACAAAATATTAGAATGGAAATTTATTTATATACTAATAATAAAGGTAGGATATAATAAAGTATTTATTCATTTCTTTTTTTTTGTACACACGGCTGCGTGAAGGTTTCTCAGTAAAATAAATTTCCTCAAAGGATTTTAATCTCTACCCATATCGTATTAAGGTTTAAAATTGAGTCGGATAATTTGACAGTTTCATGTAAATAATAAGAAACTGAAAAAGTAGCTGATTAACAGTGAGTATCTCACAATATTGATTGATTACTTACAATCTCGTTCAAGTTCTTGGTCTTAGAGTGACACACGGTGACGGTAGCGTGCTCCCATTTGAGTAGCTCAGAGACCGGGGTTCCCACTATCCGACTGCGTCCTATTACCACCACGTTCTTCCCTGCTATGGTCACGCCGGTGCTACGAATCAGCTCCACGCATCCAGCCGGCGTGCAAGGAATGAATCCAGATAGATCCCCGACGGCAACGCGTCCCTCATTTACAGTGTTCAATCTATACGGGAAGAATAAATAAATATTACCTAAACAACATCATTTACATTGCTAAGATTCTAAGATGAGTAGCTAAAGCCCCCTATTATGGAGTATCTGAGACAAGACCCCGAGACAATATAGAAAAGATCATTTTCTACATTGACCCGACCGGTAATCGAACCCGACCTCAGAGATGGCGACACCTTGAAACCGGCATACGAAACACTCGGCTATGGAGGTCGTCCATTGGAAGTCATTGTACTAAATTTTATATCGTGTTATTTACGGTGAATCGTATTCACGTTCCTTTTCTCCTTTTCTTAATACTCTAACGTCGGAGAAAATAAATAACAAAGATGTCTTTGAACACAAATTAACGACATCCCTTAGTTTCCTAGTGATCGAATTTGACATATCGGTCAGTGAAGGTCAGTGAACTCAGCGATCTCTACTAAACGATCGTAAACTCTGCGGTCGAGACGGCAGCCCCTGCTGATTTGTGTGGTGTGTACGAACGTTGTCACAATCATTGCCATTGCTATTCAATAGCTACTATTTATGGACATAGGAAGCAGAGTGAGCCTACCAAAACTAATTGGGGGGTTAAAGGGGTTCACTTTCAAAACACGCCAAAACGTTCTTAAAGGAAAACCAAGTCGATAAACTTTATAGTATTGTATTTGCAAATTTCAGTTTTTTTATATGTTAGTTAAAAGGAACGGAAATTACTATCGGTCCATCCGTTTCCTGCAAAAATCAACTTTTGGTAGAGTCGCCATATAGTGAGGTGCCTTTTTAGTGCTTTCTTTCTTTTTTTTTCTTAAAATACTTCCTCATTATTCAGCGGTCCGATATTTCACAAAAAAAAAACTCATCTGATTTTGAAAGTAGACAAGTCAACTTTAAATTCTTATATTATGCTCACCCGTCGACGTCCTTATCTGGTGATACGGCGTCTGTGATGCGGTGCGAGTCGATGGGCTCCACTGAATCCAGTGGCATCTGTACAATGATGCCGTGAACATTCGGAGATTCATTTAGACTGTTTATCTCGTGCAGCAACTAAAAATAAACAAAAAGTAAAAGTATAAATTATGCTAATCTTAATAATCAAATCTTAATAAAAACCACAGGTCTATTCACCTGTGGTTTCTAAAATTTATTGATCTTTGACGCATCTGACCAAATTTTCCATGTCTTGGCAGTCTCACAGGAAAAGAGGACATTTATATATCTCTTATACAGTGCCGATTGTCATTTAGGGCCCACTCAAATTTAAACTTTTAATTTGATAAAAAAAATTCGGCTGTTTGAATGGATGCCTGAATATTGATGAAAATACCCTCGTTAGTAGTGAAAAAGAAACAAGTGCTTGAAAAATTCGTCAGTCCTATTAGGTCCTGGGTAGCTCAGTGATAAGAGCCCGGATTGTAAAAGATAGTGGATTCGAGTCCCATTTCAGAGTACCTGTGACAAGTGGATTTTTTAAGCATTTTTCATTTAGAATTTCTGGCATCATCCCTCTCTTTTAGATGCGTCTTCCACTAAATAACCACTTACCCGAGTTTCTTAATGAGGAAGTATTGAAAAAAAACATTAGTTCCTGAAATCAAACTAGATGTAAGTTCTTGATTTGTAAGTGTAAGTTCTTTAGACGGTAAGTTCTTGATTTCTCCATGACAACCTTTCGGGTTTTCTATCAAGTTTAAAAGTAAATTAGTTTTCAAAACTTACTTACTAATTTGTACTTTTTCGTATTTGTATTGATAACTTTCGAACTTTTCAAATTTCACTTTTTTATTATGTTTGTTAAAAGGGACGGAAATGACTGTTTTTGGTCCATTCGTTTCCTGCAAAAATCAACTTTTGCTAGAGTCGCCATCTAGTGGTTAGCTTTTATAGTGCTTTCGTTTTTTTAAAATACTTCTTCATTATCATCTGTCTACATGACATGATATGACTAAATTGATGTGGTTTTCAAAACAATGTTCACACATACAGACTTGTTACATCATACAACAAGCAATAACTAAGACAAATACATGTATGCGTATAATATCCAGTGTTATCATCAATGTCAAAGATCAGGGATCCATATCGTAAACAAAATAACAATTGGCGTTATCCAAAAACATAATCTATCGTTATAATGATTGTAAATAAGGAAAATTGTCAGAATTTATGATTTTATTTTGTGTTTGAGGCGTATGTTCTCCGTGCACCCTCTCCTCTCTTTTGGAGGAAGGACATGCCCTTTAAACGACGGCAACGTATGCCGCATCCAATTGTCATAATATATTTTTCTTGGAATCTTGAAACTTTTTTATACAACAACGGAGGCCCATAAAGTCTATATGTCACAATAAACTTATTGTCAAAGAAACCCTTGTTTTAGTTGGCAGTATTGTGGTGACGCAAAGTGCCATTAAAGTTAAGAAGAAGAAGAAGAAGAACCCATGTTTTTGCATTTTTATAAGTATTAGCACGATTTCCACCTTCCGTCGTTTATATATACCCTATAACCTAAGTCATTAAAATAAATATCGAGTGCGACCAATAACATCACAGGAAAATACCTGAAACATTTTCTAGTTGAAATTTTATGTTTGAAATAGTATTTTCTTAGGTAACATTTATACTAGCACCTTCTACGTTTCACAATTATTACTGTAAAAGTAATGGCGTTTATTATGTTTGACGGTTCCAATACCATAAGCAGCATGACACAGAACTTGTCTTGCTTCATAAAAATCTATTTTAAAATTCTTTTACTTTTCTGTGGCTCAGAAACTACTTTTGCTAGAACGAGAAAGATTGAGTGTTGCCTTTCTAGAGATCTATCTATCTTAATCTAGCAAGGGGCGGTTCTTAGTGGCAGAAGAGGATAGAATGGCGGAAAAAGGACATATCATCATCATCGGCCCTTTTACGTCCCCACTGAAGGGCTCAAATCTTCCTTCCAAATGGATGGTTAAGGAGGATGGGATAAGACCCTCACCCCTTAACGACTGCAAATTCAGCCGGGACCAAAGGCTTCGCGTACCTTCTGAAGCACAGAGTTGCTTGATATAATATTTTTTGGTCGTTGTTGTTGCTTAAGAACAACGATCGCGGGCCGTGGCGCTTATCCATCACGTTACCGAGCTACTCGGTATAGAACAACCTTAATGGTATAATAAAAATACCTCAGCTTCAGTGATGGTGTTAGGGAGCCGCACGTGTTCTGCAGAGAGACCGATATTCTCAGCAGCTTTCAGCTTCATACGTATGTAAACGTTGGAGTCCTCCCGCCCGCCCACCTGGACGATAGCCAGCCGCGGCATGAACTGCGGCATGTGCCGACGCATCTCCTGCACTTGTCCACGGAGCTCATCCTGGATGGACCTGTAAACAGGCTGCTTGTTTTAATACCACTACCGATTCACTCTGCCGCCATTTATACGTCTTATATTATAGTGTATTCTCCTCTATCTCTCCTAGGATCTTTCTTACACTTCTCTTTATTTCAACAGGACACTTCTAAATTATTATTTTACCTATGGTTCTACTAAGGCTATGACGCTCAAAAATGCCTTACCCTTATAAAATTAATTTTTAGAACGCTATTGTTTTTAGTTTCTTCATAGTATTCCTAAAAATTATAATTGTAAATGAAAATTTGGTATTTTTTTTTAATTATTTATTTATTTGACAGAAAACTTTCAGTGATTTTGTTTTAAAAAGAAATTATTGGATTTAAGGTCCATAAATTGTCAAATAAAAGGGGAATTTTAGAAAATTTTTCTATAATACGCGGAGAAATCGATTATAAAAAAAGCAGACATACCTACCCACCGAACATAAAACCTTCTTCTTTTCGATTTTGAAGTCGGTTAACTAATTTTCTGTATGAAAATATTTGAAAGTTTATTACATTTATTACATTTAACACCGAAAATATTGTAAACCCTGAAGAGACCAAATAGAAACATAAGTACAGCTATATAAAAAATATTCCCCTAAATCTCTCTACTTCTACAGGGCCTTCGTGGCATATTTTTAATTTAAATATAATTAAATCTTATACTAATAGTGATCTTAGTAGAAAAATATTTCAGTCTTTCCAAACCAATTAAGATTTTCAATAATTTCCTACCGTGCAACTTCGGTTCCCGAAACCGGTGTGGCGACCATGTCTGTACCTTTCCTCGAGATGCCACTGACTGCTAAGTTTACGACAGTAAGGAATATCAGGAGATAGCAGCAACCCGAGATAACCTGGTACACTCGATTCGAAACAAAACTACCACTTCACACATCATTCGAATAAACAAGACAAGATAGCGCATTAAAAAATATTTTTGCTAAAAATTATTGCGTACAGTATCCCTAGTTTGCCACTTTTATAAATCAAAATACACACAATTTTTTACTGCAATAATAGAACATCGGTATCTAAAACATTTTTCAACATACCTCAAACACTGTTTACAAAACAGCCGCATGAAATTTACACGAAACATCACTAAGCTTATATAATTAAAATCGTTGGTTATACTTAAGAGAGCTGTAAAACCGGCGCTACTTCAAAGCATTATGTTCTCAGATGAAGCATTTAAGTAATTAATATTTGGAAAACAAACAAATTACTTTTTACTTAGAGTTTGATGTTTATCGGAAGTTTTACTTTCTAATTTGTTAATGAAGCACACAAATAAATAAGATAAAAATATTTAATCGCATGGCTCTGACTATGATAAAACATATGGTAAAGTTTCAGTGTCTTGTCTGCTCTCATTTATCCCACTTATGTATATTTAGCATTATATGACTAATATACCACTAAATGAACAAACCGCTATCAATTTAAATCAAACTATCGAGAGATTATGACTTAAAAAAATCAAGTAACCTGGCGTGATAATGTCGTGCATATTTAAAGTAATTAGTCTAATTTATATCATTATAAATCAATAGTACCTAGCGTTAATATAAATCTTTTGGGAAACGAAAATTATAAAATCGGTCTTGCGCACAAAAGGTACCATGTAACTACACATCCTCCGCAAAAAGAAATACGTTTATATTTATTTAATTCTGATTTTGTAGCGGCAACAGAAACACAGCACATGTGAAAATTTCAACTGTTACAGCCCTCTGTAACAGTTGAAATCAATCTTTTGGACGGACAAAAATCTTAGCAATAGGGTCCCATTTTAACCGTTTGATTGCGAAACCCTTAAAAACAGACATCAAAAAACAATGAAAAAAGGCGATTAATATGTTTACAAAACGTCTATTAAAGTCGGGCTAACAATAATAGGTAATGTACACAAAACACCCGCGTTTTGAGTTTGCATACGTTCCAGGTATTATACTGATGAACATATATATGATCCTTCTTTGCGTCACGCAGTCCGATATAAATAAATTATTATAAAAAAATAGAACCGACTTCAAACTTAAAAAAAAGTGGAAAGTAATACATATCTCAGAAGCAAATTATTCAAGAAAATGCTATTAAAATCGGGTGGAGATTTTCTGTAGGTTATTAATTAAATGATAGGCACACGACTTGAATAACTGGCTTTTGGGATAAGTGATATTTTTCCCTTTTTTTTAAGTTTGAAGTTGGTTCAATTTTTTTTAGTTTTTATTTATTGCTTTTTAGTGATATTGACATTTTTTATTAAAATTGATAAAATAAACACTAAAAATACTTTTCTGAAAACCGCGTCAAAATCAGTTCAGTAAAAATCGAGATAATCGCGGATTATACATACAACACGTGTTAAAATGTTAATCTCAATTTTTTTGTCGTTTAGTATACCTAAAACCTTCTTCTAAGTCTACTGTATCAAAATCGGTTTAGGCAAACGCGAGATAATCGCGCACAAACATACATACATACAGGTCAAACTGAGAAACAGGCCCGTCTTTACCCATGATGCAGGGGGTGCAATGCAGGCGGGCGACGCGCCAATGATGGTCTAATATACCTAAATATGTGTAAAAAGTGGGATGGGGGCTCCAGAGCACTATTTGTTACGGGCGTCTGTTGTGCTTAAATCGGGCCTGCTGAGAAGCTCCTTTTTTTGTAGTCAATTAGCAACAGAAACTAATTCTAAATAACAATAAAAGTCATAAAACATGCAAATCAAATCAAATTAGAATCCATAAAATAATTTAATGAAGAAGACAATTTGAAAATATCTCTATCCTTAACTACTAAAGTTAGATTGCTATAGGAAAACTGTTCTCTTGCTGTATTATGTAGCAAATAGCAAAAAATTTGACTTCTATTTTTGTTATTGATTTTTTTTTCGTTTTTAATTTTTCTCCTCTATTGCTAAAAATATACGATAAATAAAAAAAATATTTAATAAAAAAATAACATAAAAAAGATCAGAATGTTTATTTTGTAACACAGACCACGACCTAATTATTTATTCCTATAGTTTAAGTTTTGCACACACTAAAAATATATGAACCTAGCAGGTAGGTATATACTTACTCAAGAATAGAGTTAGTTTCTTCTATTGAATTAATCATATCTTTTACAACTTCACTGTTTCTACTTAGCGGTACCACAGATACACATAAACTATAGCGATTAAATAAACAAATCTGAATACTCTGTTGAGACGGACGGACGACGCGTAAAGATATAGTTACTCTGGTCAAACAACCTGTGGAACAGGTATATTACGGCTACAATAGGTAACTATTAAGTACCGCCATTATAAATACTATGGAAATCTCGTAGAACGCGTCGCAATTTTGATGAGGTAGGCTAAGATGATCGAGCTGTTTTATTGAAAGGTAAATATTTTTGTTAACAAATAATCTATAAGGATAATAATAAAATAAAAAAATCACATAAAATTGTCAAAAATACTGAAATAAAAAAAAAGACAGTATGTATTAATTAATCTATTTAATACTACTATTAGAACGACAAATGATTCGATCGTTTATTTATTTGCTTTGAATAGGTTCTGAAACAGTGGACAGATTTTTAAAAATTCCTTCACATACGGGAAACTACATCGTAACTGCTCAGTTCACATAGGCTTCAATATACGCATGCGAAGTCGCGGGAAAACTAGCTGTCTTGTTATATAGGTATAGTATAATAATCGATACAGTAAATATACAGATTGTTACTAACCTTTCTTTCACTGTCCATTAATAATTCGTTGGATGGACGAACAGATTTTCACGTCGAAAAGGGAGGCTGACAGTTCCCTGTTAAAGAACTGTATTTATTTTTCTTAGCACAATGACCTTCGAGTTGATTGTAATTATGGTACTACCCACATGAGTAAATAAATAAATACGAACAATTGACATGATATGAAGGCATCGTTTAAATCCCAAATTAAGTAGCTTTTAATACTTGTATTATAGAAAACTAAAACGCCCAGACATTAACAATAAGAGAAAGGTCTATTTTCTGCATTAACCCGACTGGCAACGGACAAGAGACCTCATATATGGCACACCTGACAACCGATGTGCGAGGTACTCGACCACAGAAGTGGTTACCAACGACAACGTTTATCTTTCATCACCAGTCTATTAAGATCACACTACTAGGGCATAGGCCTTTCTTTAAGATGGAATCGAATAGGGAATTTGGGCCATGTTGATCCACAACGCTGGAACAGTGAGGATTGGTGCGAGTAACGATACGCAGGTACAGTCGAGATCAACGACTTAACGTGTCTTCCAAAGCACGGAAGAGTTTGAAATAGTAAATTATTAGTCACCCATCCTATCCTTTATATTACTTAACTTCCGCATTGTAGACATAATCAGGAGACCATTGTGCCAACGAACTCTTTACCTATTCTAAAATTACATAAGAACAATCATATTTGATCAATTTCGCTTTCACAATGCTATACTGGGAAATATTCTTAATGAAAAATGTTTAAAAAATCCATGAACCTATGACCTTTCGCAATCCGGGCGACTGCTCCACTAAGCTACCCAGGACCTAACGGGACTGACGAATTTTTCAAGCACTTGTTACTTTTTAGCTATTACAGAGCATATTTTCATTTAAAATATTACATAAAACTACTAAATAGAAACTATAATAATTAATCTAATAAGTCATTGCACAATGACCCAGATGTCATTGCATACGCATCATTTTTCAGTTCACATTTCACGTTTAGCTTGGTAAGTAACTAAAATAAATTATGAAAATAATAAGTGTTTTTATAGCGTTTCATCCTTTTTCTAAATGATTTTAAATGTGAATTATTTTTTAATCAAAAAGCTAAAACTTTTGTTTACTTACGTCCTGCTGAAATACCTCGGGTCACCGGGTAACCGCCAGGAAGGCATCACAAATGTGTGTGCGCTGGAAGCGGTTCTGATGGGGGTGGGTTGGCCGAGATAACATCCGGCCACACACCCTCAACACGTAAAACAGGTGTAATTTTAGAGAGTTGCGGAGACATCCGTATAAAGAAGTATTACTACTTGCGTTGTGCCATTGTACTATATACCTGAAGACCAATATTATGTATCTGCCAACACTGATGTGTGAGGAAATCATACCACTAATAATATCAAGTTTTTTATTAATGTTTAAGTAAACATTAGCAGAATTAACCTGCAAATCAAATGTATGAGGTAACGGGAAGCCTGCAGTTTGTAAGGCCGTGTTGAGAATCTCCTTTTTCTTCCCACAAGCATCTACGGAACCCGAACTCAAAATTGTTTTGCGTGTAACAACATACCTCTTTATCACTGGGCGTATTATCGGTTTAATAAGCTGTAGAACTAGAAGAGGCGAGCTCGGAATGGTGCAAGTTTAGCTTGCCTGCATGTCTCCAAGGTGTACCATACGTCGTTTATGTTATTGAGTGTACGTATCTTAACAATAAGCCAACTTTCGGTATGAGTATAATAGGCTCTAGGCCTATTGATACTGCATCTGATCATGTACATGGCTAATCGTAAACTGCATTATGTCCACGTGATCTACTGTGTCCTTTTATCCATGGCATAGTTAGTACTTTTCGATTGAATGATTAAACTCTCGAGTGCATTTTGGTTAAATCCAATATCAACCGAAACGAAGCTAATGTAGTTGAGCAGTAAGCTAGCTGCTCCATGGTTATAAATCAGCATAATATGCTTTGGGATCACAATAAAAACTATCCATACTTAGTTATATTTCTTCTATATTTGTTATAACAATGAAAAAATTACAAAGTTCTTATACTTATTTGTACACTTAAACAATAATCCAATTTTTATATTTTGAATGTCTAGTAAGGAACAAGTAAATGTAGCATAACATCTTCATGTTACAGAATTTGAACACGAAATGTCATAGAAAATCAAAAAAACCAAAAAATTTATCTGCACTAGAATAAGAAAACAAAAAAAAAAAAACAAAAATTTTATTCATAAACGAAACACTCGTATACTAATACGTTTAAAATAACTAAGTACATACATGTATCTAAATAAATCAATGTGAAAAATACAAGAAAAACAAAACAAACTAAAAGTTTTAACGTTGATGATTTACTAATTTAGTTTTGATAATTATCTCAGATCAAAGTGTATCGTTCCTATAATTCAGTACTTAAACTCTTAAATGATATAATAATAAAATGGCGAATCAAAAACTAAATCTATGAAAAAAATAATGGAATATTTGATATTCCATCCATAAATGTAATATTTTATGACTGGAACATACGTAGGTCGTCTTCTTTCTCTTTGTGCGCGTTCGAATAAAGGTGGATTCGCATAGTGTGCATCGGCATCATGCCCGTGTTGCAAAGTTTGCACTGGAGCTCCTGGCTTGACGATATAGAAGTCCTGTGTACAAATATTTTTATAATAATTGAATAAGCACAAAAAATGTCTAAGTCCCCCTCTGATTTGTCAAATACATATCAAAAATATGTTAGGTATAATCGGAATATTCAATTGTGCTCTTCAGGACATATAGCCACAATATAGATATATGCCTTGGATACGAGGATTTCCATATAAATTAATATTATTGTAAAATACCTTATACCCGTTTTCACTAACCTAGAAAAACACATAACTTAACTAGATAACACTTAATATTAAGAATAAGTTGAGCAGATGGAGTAGCTCGGTGGCGTAGTGGATAAGCGCCGCGGCCCGCGATCGTAGTCGTTAAGCAACTTTTGCAAGGGTCGGTCACGGGATGGGTGACCAAAAAATTATTATCTCGAGCTACTCCATGCTTCGGAAAGCACGTTAAGCCGTTGGTCCCGGCTGCATTTGCAGTCGTCAATACTCTCCAATCCGCATTGGGCCAGCGTGGAGGGTCATGGCCCATCCTCCTTAACCATACATAAGGAAGGCCTGAGCCCCTGCAGTGGGGACGTAAAAGGGCTGGTGGTGGAAGCAGATTTGTCGTTAAAATTATTAGTTAGACAATGCCTTACTGAGCACATGCATTAAGCAATGTTTGTCTACGATTTTGCAAGCTTCAGTTACTCTTATCTTTTTTTATGTATGGCATATTTGTGTTTTTACAATTCCGCCAATGTCAGGTTAGATAATAACAAAAATATATATTTTGAGGTAATGAAACAAGATAAAATATACGTGGTCTTGTCTTTACATTTATTTATTTGATTGTTAGTTTGTTTGTTTGCATCGAATAGGCTCCGAAACTACTGGACCAATGTTAAAAATCCTTCCACCTACGGGAACTACGTCATATGCGGTGGACATAGGCTGCATTTTATCCCGAAAAACAACAAATAAAGGGATGTATGTATAGGAAATTAAAAAAGTGGAAGTATGTATAGGAAATTAACGGTAATGATAACGTTACTATGGAGTAACCATTGTGTGAAAGACGAAGGATTGATGTGTCGTATGAGGCATGAAAGTACGAGAGGCATACTTGATAGAACTAGAATGGATGAAAAACATAGATGAAAAGGGCCTGCTAAACAGTGAGGGAAAGCTGTACAAAAAAACCATTGCCCGTAAGCCGCTGGCGAAAAGCTAGTAGTTTATATTTATCTCACCTGCTAACGAGTATCGCTAGTTGGTCGTTCTCTCTCTTTAACTGCAACAGTTTCTCTCTAGGTATAGGATATAACTCTTGCGGTGTGTGAAGAGGGAACACGATCGCCCGCTCCACCATATCGGGAACGGATATCTCCAGTAACTCGTCCTCCGGCACCGACTTCCATTCCCAAGCATTTATCACAGTCTGCATCTCGCGATGTTTACGACGTTTCATCAATAGGCTACGAAAAAAGACAATGTATACCTATTTATAAAAAAATATGCAGTGGGACCCGGTTAAGTGGGTCCTAGATACGTCGAAACGCATTCATAATCATAACTCTTTTGAATTTAACTCCTCTGGTATAAGAATCGTGTGTTATTTTTGAGGTTAAAGTCACGTATAACTGCAATAACTGAATTACACAAAACAGAAAAGTGGTTTTTCTGATTATCTCTTACTTGCAAAATAACAGGAAGGGTAAAATATTTTTTTTTACCGACCTGACGACGAGAGATTCAGAATGGTCATGAAGAAGCAAATTTTAATGTATAAAACAGAATTTAAAAAAAAATTATTCATCAACAAGATGAACCCGAATCAGAAAAATACAAATTTGTATTGTAGTTAAGTTTAATTCTTACAAAAACAATAATAAAAAAAAATGTCAAATGATTACCGAATATATATATCGCTTAAAATATAATTTCGATTTAATTAATTCAATCATTGTTCAAAAACGTTTAATTTTTCGTTACAAGTATTGATGTTTTAAACTTTAGAGGATAAGACGTCAATAATTATGGCTATTAAAAATTTGTTTATGTTTTAAAATGAAAATTTAAATAAATATTTAATATATACACAGTCCAACTATTTTTTAATTATTTGAAAATACAAATAGCGTGAAATGCATTTCTTAACAATCGTCACCGCACCAATGCTATATATATAATAACAACTATAGTATAACCATTAGCCTGAATGAGGACTCACCTCATCAAGTCTTTTCTGATGGTGGCGGGTACTTGTGGCCGCGCCTCGTCGTCAGCAGTGGGCACGTCCTGTCCGTCGCCGCAGTACATCATATAGTCCATCAAGTGACGGATATGATTGATCTGTATAACAAATTGTAGTAGATAAAAATTAATTTAATTACTTAAGAGATTCGTTTAAATATTTACATTTGTTTCTTTTCATATTCTTATTTCATGACACACGTGCGCATTCAGCACACTTTAGCTTTTGTTAGTCATTGTGGAATCAGAGCAATATATGTGATGTTGGTCTTATATTTATTATTATTTATTAAATATATCTGTGGACCAATGATAGGAATAGGTAGTGCTTATTAGTCTAAACTTGGAAGAGCAGAGCAAGTAACGGAGACTTCTTTAGAACTATTCATTTATTTCATTGCAATTAAGATGAAATGATTATTAAATTATGATTTTTAAGATTTATACAGTTTAGGTATGTTACTAAACAATGATTTGTGCGATTGATATCCAGCTATTATTTTAACTTTATGCACATTTTGAAATATACTTTCTTACTACCTTTTGTTCTAACCTCGGACCAAAATACATATAAAGCAAAAAATTATGAAGAAATAATAATGAAACGTAATTACTTATTCCAAATAACATACATTTTTATTGTATATAAGTGATGTCCCGAATCTTAAAAATCTATATAAATAAAAATGAATTTCCGTTCGTTAGTCTCGCTAAAATTCGAGAACGGCTGAACCGATTTGACAAATTTTAGTCTTGAAATATTCGTGGAAGTTCAGGGAAGGTTTAAACGAAGAGAAAATATAACAAAGTTGAGAGTATAATACTAAATACGATAATTTGATTTTCCCATACACACTGGTTCTTAGCTGTTAAACGTTGAGTTGACGAGCAATATTTATGGTCGTGCAGTGGTCAGTTTACGCAATATCTTTCAATATTAATATGGTTTTTATTAAGAGGTAAGTGATACGAAGTTTACCGAGTCAGCTAGTATACAATAAAAATATAGTGCTAAAGAAGTCTTCGTTTCTCTTCTCTGTTCTTCTTCGAAGTGTTATCTAATAAGCACTACCAATAGTATCCCTTTTTTTACTCAGGGAAATGCAGCCTTGAGCCTTTAACCAGGGCTCTCCAACCCACGCCCTACCTGGCAAAGCCCGCTGTGAGTTCCCATCCGGCGGTGGGGGGAAGATGGACCCGGGATCCGGCTAGAAACCTTGTCCAGGAGCTTGGTCCAGCCGTACAAGTACTACCAATCCCACCAGTGGTGTGTACTCACCAGGCCGATATCCTCGACGTGCAGATCAGCGTCGATGCCGACCAGTAGATCGTGTTCGGGGAAGTACGGCGCGCCCGTATCCGTACTGCCCAGGCCGCACAACGTGCTCACGTAACGTGTACCGCACACGTCGCGACGCAACTCCGCACTTTAACATATAACTAGTTTGAATACGGGTGTAAACAGTAAACGAAAATAAATACATTATTATAATTATTTTTCTGGTAGTGCTAAATATACTATTAGCGATATTTATTACATGCTTATTATATTTATAATATTGCTTTAATTAATATTAAATGAATGATACTTTATACACACATATTACACATATTTTAGATATATAAAATAAAAAATTTAATCATCCTTATAATTTTGTTAAAAACATATCCATGAAGCTTATCTTTGCATTAGAGGCAGTGTAAGGCACAATCTCTGTTGCATAATTTCAAATATAGACGAAATTTTCTTTTCCGAGAAATAGAATAGGCCTTCATAGGTCTCATGTATATTAGTCGAAGTACTATATAATTTATAAAGCGACACGATTTCTTGTGTTACTTTATTCGTCTATATCAAAGGTTACCAACTATTTATGGACAACCACGTCTTTTACAGGCATAAAAAAATTCAACGCCCAGATGTATAAAGCTTCGAACTCATATACGGCTATACTTGATCGAGCACACGTCGAGTAAAAATCTAGATGGCTAGGTTCAATTAGATGTGAAGGAAATTATATTTATTCGACGCGAGCCTTCAGGTTGTAAGTTTTATGGCCCTCTTCTTTTACATTCCCCCGTTTTAGAGAGAACTATAGATTAATGCCAAATGGGAGTAAGGATCATGTAGTCGTTACGTTCTCTTATAAAGTAATATGAAAGCGTGGTACTTGAATTATTCTGATTGGCCGAAAATTGGGCCTTCTAAATACGTACATCAATGAGCTATACCAGTTGCATCTTGTTTCATTTTATTTCCTTTGGTATCATATCAGTATTCATATTGATTGTAAAAGTTCTGTTTGTTATACTAGTTTAAACTCTTTACTCTCTCCGGTTGACTGGCAAATAATGCCTAATGACATAGGTCCGATATTTATGCACATTTAATTTTGCAATAAAGCTTAAATAAATAAATGTAACTTACACTGGACAGAAGAGCAATGCTATGATAGCGGGCAGGCCCGGTATGTTTGGCATGAGCGTGGTGTGACGCAGAGTCAGCTTACTGCTAGTTTCGTTCTGTCCTACATCGCACGCGACCACCAATCTTAAATAGAAAGTGACACATTAATAAATGTAGACGACAAAGCTGGCTGATTTGAACTAAATTTTAACTTGCTTGATGCCTCATTTTTGAATGAAAGTTATCGCAAACATAAAAAAGTATGGTTATTAATTATTTCTGATTCAGTCATGTTCGCCTGTCTATCTAAACGCGATTATTGACCAGATTTTCATCAATGGATGGAGTAATAAATGATGAATGAAGGTTTATGTCTAAATTACATTTAGGTTTTGTCAAAATTTACTGAAATATAACTATGATTGTTGAGGATATAGGGAAACTCATATCATGCTATAATGTAAATATCCTCTATACTATTAATTTCAAAGCAAATCGCATGTTTCCCATATTTCAAATTGCAAAAAAAATTATATACAAGAAGTTTCTCAATTCACCGATAATAATAACATCGTAAATTTTACAATATGTAAACGAAAAAAAAACAATATAAATATTGAACCATTAGTGCATCATTAAAAAATTATAAAAAATGAACCGTATACCTTTCATAAACTTCTTGTGGCTCAGTATCCAACAGGACGGAGTTGACAGAATGCCATTCAATCGAGACCTGCTTCTCACGGCTAGCGTACATCAGATTGTGCAGAACTGTTTCCAGGGGGCTACAATAACCAATTTGGGTAAATTATATCTTAATCGTAATATAATAAAAAGGAAAAATTGTTGTTTATTGAATAAATTCGAATAATGCTGAATACTGTTAATCACACCGTTAAAATAAAGTTTCGATTTTCTTATCTTTGACGACATTTACTTTACCAGAAGATTTCCTAACTTACCTTCAGATTCTCTTTATGGGTCTAATAATTTCAAACTAATTTTATGTTAATAAGTTTGTCGATCTGTATCGTAGATAACAGATAAAGAAAATAAGATGGGTATTGATTAGGCAATATCACTACATAGTATAGAACAAAGTCGCTTTGTCCCTATATCCCTGTATGCTTAAATTTTAAAACCACGCAACGGATTTTGATGCGGTTTTTTTTCATTGATAGGATGATTTAAAGGATTTTTTTTATGTATAATACGAGTTGACTCGGGCGAAGCCGCTGGCGGAAAGTTAGTTTGTTAATAAAATGTTTGTGACGTGTAAATAATCAAGTTCCGCATAAACACCGTTCCTGAATATTGGCAATTCCCACTTGTCAGTTGTCACTAGGATGTCGCCCGAGAAGTAGTAAACAATATAAAAGTAGCGGATTATAATAGTTTATAAGCCCCCGTAAAACACGTCGTCCATACCAACTTAATACCTTTAAACCTGTGATGCAAATAAACAAATTTAAATTGAATTTTAATCATTTGTCGATTTTTGTATATTACTAAATACTGTTTCATCACTTTTGCTTTTTTTTTTCAATATGGACTTGTTCCGTTATACACGGAAATTTTGCCAACATCCCGTAGTTTGCTGATGAACTGTTTACAGAAAGATAATGTAAACTATAAACAAGACTATACTATAAACAATGCTTCACATATCTACTATTAAAATAAATATTAGCTCAAAAATAATCAAGAGTAGCTCGAGCTCTCGTATTATAGAACATCCATGACAAAGAAGGTACCACAACACCCAGATCCGAGACAATATATAAAAACTCGGAACCTCAGAAATGGCGAAACCTTGAAACGGACGAGCGAACCACTCGGCTATTTTTAATTAACAAAGGTTACTTAATGAATACCCAGCTTAACATAAGTAATGAGAAACTGTTATAATGTGTTACCTGAAAGGTCCCTTCAAGGCAACGTCACTGACACAGTCTTTCGAATTAGGCGGCTCAATTTCCCGCAGTTGGTAGAAGGCGGTCTCAGCCTGTTCTTTATTATAAGCCCGCTTTTGTGCCATATTCAAATCTATAGCTTGTTGCCGAAGGTCGTGATTCAACTGGTCGTGAAGAGAGATAAATAAAAAATAAATATATTTTACTGTTAAAAGCATAGAATAGAAAATTCTTTATTGTTAACATTACACAAAGTTACATTTACAAATTTAAAACATTTTACAATACAATGTAACAATTGGCGGCCTTATCGCTTAAAGCGATTTCTTCCAGGCAACCATGGGATGGAAAGAGAGTTAACAATTTATGAAGACGGGGGTGTGTAAATGTTATGAATTACATTAAAAAGAAAAAATGTTCAAAAATATGTAGTGAATACATTCATAATACAAATATATCCGATAAATACGTAATATACATACACACATACATACAACTACATAAATATATATAATATATATATATATATACACATATATATTATCAATACCAGGAATAGTTATACTCGACAGTAGCAGGATATTTCATTGTGAAAGGAAGAATTCCTTTACCCTATTTTTAAAAATTTGCAAAGATTTCGCTCGCCTTATCGAAACTGGAAGGGAATTCCAGAGACGAGCAGCTTGTACAGTGAAAGAAGAATCGAAAAAAGAAGTACAGTGAGATGGAATCTCAAGACTCAGGCTCTCGGATGATCGCAATGTGTAAGAATTTGTGCAGTGCAGAAAACTGAAACGTTCTTTGAGATAATGAGGGTAAGTGGGATTGAACAAAATATTGTAGAGAAGAGATAATAATCGAGAATTCCGGCGAAGTCGTATAGGAGGCCACTTGAGTTCACTGCGATAGTTGGAAACATGGTCATATTTGCGCAAACCAAAAATGAATCTGATACAGAAGTTTTGAAGACACTCAAGTTTATTTAGCTGGTCCTCCGAAAGATCAAGGTAGCAAGCGTCAGCGTAATCGAGAACAGGAAGCAGCAGAGATTGCGCTAACGCAACCTTAGTGGTAGTGGGCAAGAAGTTACGCAGTCTCCTCAATAAAGCGGCAGAAGCATATAACTTGCGACTTATAGATTGAAGCTGTGGACCCCAACCCAGATGGCCATCCATTACCACCCCCAAATTTTTTACTGTTTGACTAAAAGGAATGTCAACCCCCTCAAAAACAACTTTCGGAAGTATCTGTGTATCAACTCTGGAAAGTAATCTAGAGCTACCTACTATCATGGTTTGGGTTTTAACAGGGTTGACGCTAAGACCAAAAGCTCTACTCCATTCTGCAATGCATAAGACATCTAAATAATTTTTATAGATTGATACTTTGCTTCCATATAACAGTGTGAAAAACAAAAAGGTAAGAGAGCTAAAATAATCAAATTTTGGTGCCATTTAGAGAAGAAGAAAACTTGTAAATATGTTATACCTTTGTTTTTAAAACGGAACTTTATGGCCGAAAATAATAGGTATTATATATGTTTACTTATAATATATGTTTACTTCGGACAATCCCACACTGATTGAAAATCAATAAAACAATTAAATATACCGCTATAACGTCAACTTCTCATTTGAAAAGACTGAGTTATATGACGAGACATTTATGCAATATTGAACTGCATAATGAGTATAAATATATATATATTACCTTAGAATCGTAGCTTTCTTCACAGGGCACAGCATATCCCCGCTTCACCAACTCTTTATTGACACTTAACTTTCCTCCATCGGCTAATAACTCGATGGAGACCACGCCATGAGTAACAGAATATACCTGTACGAAATTAGAGCCTATGTATAGTCTGTAAGTTCTAGTATCTGTCTCTATCTTGACATCAATATTGTGCGGATAAAAAAAGCAGAGCTTCTTGGGGCCAGTACAAATCGGACAGAAGCGCCGTCCAGCGTCTTACATAGTATGCGTTAGTATGAGACAGAATATCCGTCGAGTGTGTAGGGTCGAATGTCATGGCACATAATTTGTTAACAGGAGTGTAGACGATTTTATATGAAATATTAAAAAAATATATGTAAATAATTTACATTCATATAAAAAGCAAAATTAAAAAATTTTTTTTTTTTAATTTTACGCGAAAATGTTAACTACTTTCATGGTGTCACTATAACGTTACGCGCCTCTAAAACTAATAGCATTATATTCTATGTATGCTTAGGGTTTAATTCTTTTAATACAAGGGCGTGACGTCACGCGGTGTTTGGGGTCACGTGACAAGTAGTAAAAATAATTGTTTTTTTTATAACTAATTTAAGCAATATTATAAATATAATAAGCATGAAAGTGTGATTTTCGGTAATAGTATATTAAACACTACCAGAAAAAAATTATATTTATTTTCGTTTACTGTCTTCACCTCTATTCCGACCAGTGGTCAATATCATTAACCAACTAGTAAGCGTAGCTCGGTGGCGTAGTGGATAAACACTGCGACCCGCGGTCGTTGTTGTTAAGCGACTTTCGCAAGGTCGGTCACAGGATGGGTGGCGGAAAAGTATAAACTCGAGCTACTTCGTGCATCGGACGCACGTTAAGCCATTGGTCCCGGCTGCATTTGCTGTCGTTAATACTCTCCAGTCTGCATTGGGCCAGCGTGGAGGGTCATGGCCCATCCTCCATAATTATCCATAAGGAAAGCCTGAGCCCCTGCAATGGGGACGTAAAAGGGCTGATGATGATAATGAAGCGTAGACCACACGTACACTTTTTGGAAAGCGCTTTCATTTGGATTTCTGTTATTCATAATCGAAATTATTCCGGAAGATAAAAACAAAACAGTTTCTGTACAAAATGCAGATAAATTTTGGCCACAGACGGCTGTTCCGCCCATCGATTCCTTTATCTGTCTTAACAGAATATCTTCTTACTCTCGCACCTCTTTTATAGAAAACAAAGTGAAAACTTCAAATTATTATTAATACAACTATATTAGTATATATATTATCATAATGTGTTACCTTGCCGAGCAGGCGACCATGTCTGGTGATGTCAGTGAAGAAATTATCAGCGTGCCGTGTCCATTGCGCGTGTGGTTCGAGTAACGGTGATGGAGCCACTTCAGCGAGGGCGCATTGCATAGCTAGCGGCGGTAAAGTTTTGCAAACGCCCATTGGCAACGTATGTAAATTACAGATGTTAACGCGACCATAGAAACCGAAATCTATGTACAGCACCTGTGATCAAAAAAGGCACAAAGGAGTAAGTAACCTGCCAATGCACTTTCGGGCGATAATTGGCTTACGCTCGATCGCCATAATTTATAGATACTTTTCAAAAAGAACTAGATTTTGTATGTGAATTACATACAGCGAGACTACATTTTCTACTCTAAGTAAGCAAAGTGATTTTAGCCCTTGCAGTCTAAGGTAATTTTTTTTTTTTTTTTTTTTCAATAAAACGTGTCGTGTTCAACGTTTTCATGCTTCTTTGGAGCATTTGAGCTAATCGAAAGATGTAGGAATACACATAAATCCACAGGAAAGTAGTTGTCCCCGTTAAATTCCCCGCGTGTTTTGAATTTTTTTTTTTTATGTGATGGGGGCAGACGAGTAGACGGATCACCTGATGGTAAGTGATTACCATCGCCCATGGACACCTGCAACACCGGAGGGGCTACAAGCGCGCTTCACGTCGGTTTTCTGTGAATTTTTGGTTTAAATGCTCATTAAACGGACGTTAGCCATGCACTATCAGATGTATAGGTTACCATTTTGGTGTCCATTTGATCACGCGCTTTCGTGTAGAGTTGACACACGTTGGTAAAAACAAGGATCGAGTATTAATACAGTTTTGTTTCTAGATAAAATTCAAAAGCTACCAATTTTTTAAGATGTGAAGAATTCTAATTATAGTAATAAATGATCAAAAAAAAACTTTTCATTTAGATTAATGTGTATTAATTTTAAATACAATCACAATTCTATTCGGTATTTTATATTATTGAGAATAGCAGTCAAGATTTTGCGTTTTTCTCAATTCAGAAACGAAAGTGAAAATTTACACTAAAATTGCAATTTATTATTAGTCCAACTTCATATTATACAGAAAATAAGCAAACCTACAACCTTCTATGATTAAATATTACTCCGGTAAAACCTAGTACTAGATTAACCTTTGCCAAGTCTCTGTTTAATAATATGAGTTTTGAATAATACTAATATTATACCTTGTTTATTAATAACGCTGTTAAAAATTAATTAAACAGTTTACTTAACTACTCCTCTACTTAACTACGTGTACAATAGCTGTTAGAGTTGACTGACCTCGACCATGTCTCTGGGCAGCATCCGGTGCACGCGCACTCTATACGGGAGGGTGGGCCGCGCGTCCGCCCGCGGCGCCGCGTACACGTCGCCCGCGCACACCGGCCCAGTGTGGGCCAGCAGCCGCGCCCCGCCCAGCGCCGCGCGTATCTGCATCAGGTCGCTGGTGGTAGACTCGTCGTCGTACTGCACCCAGAAGCTGCTCACGCTGATCCTCTGTTAATGGTTACATTAAAAAAATAAGAAGCGGTATTAAAGCACGAGAGTCTGTCGATTTCGATAATAGTTTGACTTTAGTGTTTTAATTCCCAAGTTATATGTAGTTTCATACTCTACTTTATCTTCACACATAGGAAGAATTTAATTAAACAAAGTAGGTAGGTTACAAAGAAGTAATTTATGCGTGCGCCATTTTTTTCACAGTTCGAACTGCGCATGCGTGCTCCTTTTTTTTCATATTCAGCCTAAAACCATAGACTAGTATAATGAATAAAAAGATAGTGGTACTATAATGAGTTTTATCTACACTCAAATCGAAAAATTTGATTTACGAATTCAAAAACGATTCTATACATGCGCACTTTATAAACGCATATACATAAAATTAAAAATTAAACTCGTTATAGTACCGCCAACTGTATCATAAAACTAATTATAGTACTGCTTTCTTGTTTTTTTATTAGTCTATGGTTTTAGGCTGAATATGACAAAAATGGCGCACGCATAGTTTGTTTGAACTTAATTTCCCGCCCTTCCCATACAGTTTTTTGTCGATCGTGTTTTTATATTCAGGATTCCAAAAAATACTTCCTTGTAACCTACCTACTTTGTTTATTTTTCCTATGAGTGAAGATAAAGTAGTGTATGAAACTGCATATAACTTATGTATTAAAACACTCGAGTCAACCTATTTTTACCAGACCCTCGTGTTTATACCCCTTCTTATATGACAGTTGCATAAACTACTATAATAGCGTCGCCTCGCTAGACGGCTTCCCGTAGTGAGATAGAAATGACGCCTGGGTAAAAAAAAAAAAAAAGAAATTCTATTTAGTCCGTCAATCACATAATTACAGGTTCTTTTTTTGCTTCAATTTAACAAGAAATAGCTAAGTTTGTATGAAGTGAAGTAAGCATTGATGCAAATTAATAAGTTTATTGTTCGCGGAGTGAACGGTATTACTGTGGAATTACTAGAAGCTAGAGGCAGAACTGTTATAAAAGAATTAAGTCTGCTGTTCAGTGAGGTCTTCACAGGCGAAGTAAGACTAGAATTAGACAAATAGTGATTTTTTCATAAAAAAGGCGATAAGACCCTAATTAAAAACTATCGGCCTATCTCACTTTAAAGCCAAGTGTAAAAAGTATTCTCAAAAGTCCTGAGTACACGTTTGTCAAAACGATTGGATGAACATCGATCCAGAGATAGGCAAGTTTCAGAAAAGGTTTTGGAATGATAGAACTCATCTTACACTTCGGCAAGTTATTCAAAAGTCAAAAGAACACAACAGTCTTCTATCCCGCCTACGCCTACGAAAAGGGATATTATTTGAGCGCCAAACCGACTACTTACGTGTGATATTTTGAGGGGGAAATGAGTGTCATCCACATCGGGAAGGCGCGGAACCATTTTTGCAATGTCGAGTTCGGATTTGGTCGTCTCAAGCATGGCAGCCAAAGCGTTGGCTTTCTCTACCCTGATAAGTATAAAATGATGCATTTTTATATCAATAAAACATAGATAGGCGAAATAAAGAGTTGCTTGCAGCCAACCATAGCGACAATACTGAATTTCATATGCATACATTTAATTCTTGTAATTACCGACCTAATTTTCTCTGAACTCTTTGGTGAGATAAAAAGTAGCATATATGCTATTTCAGGCTTAAATTAATCCTTATATAATCACCGAAAACGGCTAATGCGCCTGGACGCCATCATGATGACGTAATTTCGTTCAAAAATCAGTACCGTTAACAAATAAATACTGATTGACGAGTACGCTTATTGAGTTGGGTCGTGTTTTGATCACACATCATTTTAGTTAAGTTTTGCTTATTATTGTTAAGTTTTGTTGTTACTTATTATGGCGGACTAAAATAGCAACTGCTATTATGATTTTCACAATAACTTTACTATATATCACTTAATATTAAATATATCTAATGTCTCTCATTGAATTATTACTATTGTTTATGTTTTAAAAAATGTCCTTTCCGTTTATTATCGCGTTGTTACAAAATATTTTTTTTTTTCATATTTTCATTTTATGTTCTATATACCTCAATATATACATATAAAGTTATTCTTTTCCATTTTACGCAATAAACTAACAAACTAAAAGTTATTAAATTAATATAACAATAAGTTCGGGAATATTTATACATATTTCACTAAATAATTTATCTCTTGCCTTTTGTACTACCTATAATTTCTATTTTCATATAACGTCACGCGGATGTTATTTACACAAGGTTCCGGCACATTAACAATCTATGGGACTTATACCAAATCTCATCCAAATCCGTTCAGTAGATTTTGAATGAAAAAGTACCTAACATACCATACATACATCCACACATATATCCTCGCAAACATTCGCATTTATAACATTAAGTAAAAAAAATATAACATAAAAAAGCACAATGAAAATATGTAACGCAAACCCTTTAATTTAATGTATTTTTTTTAATTTCAAGACCAGAAATTTACATACTATAGTTCATTTAGTTCTATTCTTATCTATACCAATATCAAAAATTCCTATGTAAACATCATACGTAGGTAAAAATTGGCTATAATATACGCGCTGTTAAATAAAGAACACTTAAACATACGGCAACAAAGCTATTCTGATGTCCATTTTAAGATGACGCGCTTTGATCGCTTTGTACACTGGAAGCACCACTTGTCCAGGAATAGTTGGGTCCTGTGATATTAATGAAAACAGTATGTTAATTAAATAATTATCCTTCTTAAAGTTTTCATTCTTAAATGTGTAGGATATTAAAAAAACTTACACCGCTATTGTTTTTGTCGCGTCTGAAAAGTTGATTTTCCTTGAACGTCAAATAAACTTTCCTGAAATGCATAAAACAAGAAATAATTTAAATATCTTTATTTTATTTCATTTATTTTTACTTAAAATTCATTCAAAATGGCATAAAAGGCGGACTCAATGCTAATGGCATTTTATCCCAATCAACCTTTAGGAAAAATGATGAACGCGAAGGCGGCATAAAGCAAAACATACTTAATGCATAGATCTAAAAAATATACTAACAAATATTATAATACAAATATAGATACATAATATTGATGATGAATTTCACATATTTTGCATAAGAAAGGTATGAGTTTACATTTAAAAATAAATTTATTGGAAGATCTGATCGGGTCAGGGAGGCTATTCCACAGTTGTATGGCTTAATTGAATTGGGGTTTTATATTAAAACAGATATAATGGTCAATAGTCAAGAACAAAATACTCTCACTTTCTGCAACTTCAGTTGAATGCCTCCAACGGCAGTTGAATGCCTCCAAAACATCCAAAGACGCAATGACAAATCAATAACCTTGGTTTTTAAATGAGAACAAAAAATCAAATACAGACTGCGTGTTAGATCCTTATATCTTTAATAGAACAACAACCAAACTTTGAAGGCGTGCTCGTTCCACATTCGTAATTCGTCCTACACTACACAAATTCGTGCCCGTGCGTTATGTCGTATACGTTAATGATAACTTTACATTTTAAATAATATACTTCCTAATTTAAGTACAATTGTGATTAATACTTATATTACAAAAGATAGTTCTATTTAATTATGTACCGGCTGTTTTTGTCGAAAGTGACACGCGGTTCGTCGCCTACATGTTGACGTACAATGTTCTTGATGGCGGCCGCGTACACCTGACCAGGTTGATGGTCTGGGAAATTCTGAAGATACACCTGGATACACAAATACACATAAATATATACAGTCAGGTTATACAAAACTATCTTTGCTCAATTTTAAACCTTATTACAATGACTGTAGAATACAAAACTTAATAACCGAAATTTGAAATATTGGGGTAGTCTGACATGTAGCTGTGTCTCATTGAGTATAAAACGTGAATCAAATAAACAGAATATCTGTTTATTTGATTCACGTTTTATTATTGACGTTTAAATTAGAATTTCATAAACAGATAGGAATAATTAAATACGAGTACTTACAAAAAAAAAACACGTAATAGAATACAGAAAATATTTGATTTCAAATTTAATCAAGGGAACTTGCAGGTATTTGGAGACACCAGAGGCCTGTGTGCCTCCAAATTGTATTCGGAGACTGGGCTCTAGTTATATTATTATTTTTATTGGTTACAATACGAGGGTCAAACTGAAAGTTCTTAGAACTGGCCACTTATAAACAATATAATAAAAAAATAATTCTAAAATTTGAAAATATAACTCTTTGCCAATATTACTGAGTATATATTTCATTCATTTGTCATTTGTTTTACGATTTGGCGGCAGATTGAAAATTGTCTGTGTCACGTCATCATGAATTTAACACGAGAAAATTTTCGTGCAATGATTTTTTATGACTTTCGATGTCATTTAAGTCAACAAGAAAGTTATGATAGACTACGATTGGCCTTTCACGATGAAGCCCCATCTCGTGCGACTGTTTACAACTGGTTTAATGAGTTTAAACGTGGTCGCACTAATCTCACTGATGATTTACGTGAGGGACGGCCTTCTACGGCGACGACTGAAGATAACATCTGTGTTGTGCGGCGTATGATAGAGACTGACAAAAGAGTGACCTATCAACAGATTCGGACAAGCTTAGGCATCGGTATGAGTCAAGTGCACAAAATCCTCCACGAACATTTAGCGGTCAGGAAGCTTTGCGCCCGGTGGATACCTCATAATTTGACTGAGGCTCAAAAACTCCATCGTGTGGATTGGTGTCGTAAAATGATTGAAAGATTTAACGGAGGTGACTCAAATGCTGTGTTCGATATACTAACAGGTGACGAAAGCTGGATTTACTGTTATGATCCTAAAACCAAAAGACAATCTGCTCAGTGGGTGTTTCCTTTCGAGGAGTTGCCAACTAAAGTGAAGAGAGATCGAAGTGCGGGAAAAAAAATGGTGGCCTCGTTCTTTGGAAGGATAGGTCATTTTGCAACAATTGTGTTAGAGGATCAAAAAACAGTTTCTGCAGAATGGTACACTACCAATTGTTTGCCACTTGTCTTGGAAAAAGTTCGAGAGAAACGACCTCGCAGTAGGATCCTCCTTCACCACGACAACGCCTCGTCGCACACCGCCAAGCGAACGATCGACTATTTGGCGACATCAAACGTTGAATTACTGGGTCACCCGCCGTATAGCCCCGACCTCGCGCTTTGTGATTTTTATTTATTTCCAAAAATTAAAGAAAAACTTAAAGGAAAGCGGTTTATGAATGCTGAAGAAGCGGTGGCTGCGTATCGCGATGCCATTGAAGAGACCCCTAAGGACGAGTGGGCAAAGTGCTTTTCCCAGTGGTTCCATCGCATGCAGCGGTGTATTGACGTGAATGGACAATATTTTGAAAAGATATAATAAAACTAATAACTGGCTAATGTAATCAGTTTTTGATTTTCTAAGAACTTTCAGTTTGACCCTCGTAATGCAACTTACTATAAGCTGTTATTTATTTTATTTTACATTTTCGATGCCCTACTACACTTGCTTATATTTGTGAATTGCTACAAATACGAAATGACAATATAATAATAAATTTAAGTATAGCACACACGGTATTACACGCAACTTGAAAGGCATTAGTCGGATAAGTACAGTAAGTTTTTATATTAACTTTCCACCAGCCCTGGTTATCCCTAGGGAACTGTTTATTTGGATATCGATACATACATATCATGACACGAATTTAATTATAATGACATATTGAATAGCAATGGTTGATACGTTTTAATTCCCAATACAAATTTACACTTCCATTTTCATCCCTTTGTTAGTTTTTTCTCGAATAAAATATAGCCTACGTTCACCGCATATGATGTAACTTCCTGTAGGTGAAAGAATTTTTAAAATCGGTCCAGCAGTTTCGGAGCCTATTCGATGCAAACAAACAAACAAACAATCAAATCTTTCCTCTTTATCATAGTAGTATAGACTACTCATTTGTACGCAAGCTGTATTTCATAGGGTATCAAGCGCTTTGCTTCAGCCAAGGTATGAGGTATAATTGAAGAGATAATATATTGGGATACTTATCTAAACTGATAGTATAAAGAGGACATATTTTATTGTTTAGTAGCTACATCATACGAGGTTAACATATGCTATAATATTCGCATGCAAAGTCACGGGACAACAGCTATTTTTGTATATAATTTTTCCATTACCGTATTCCTTGGATCGTGACCGCCGAGAATACGGACTGCTTCACGCTCGCGCGCCTCATCTTGCGTCGCTTGCACGAAGTATTGTGGATAGAAAGCGCCCGCTATTATAACCTGATAATAATAGAATTAATTAGTAATATTTACCGGTCCGGTACCGGTATATTTTTTTACATTGTGTCTGACCATCAAAGACACCCGGTTAGTGAATTTAAAATTAAGAATGTATCAAACTGTAGTGTTTTTTAATGATAGCAGTTTGATACTAGAACTTTTTGACTGGTAACGTAACAAAATATAAATTATTGAGTATAATCAGTTGAGATTTTGTACTTTTAGCAATTCAGAAAACTCCTATGAGTCTACAGAAAAGTATTTATTCGTAGAGAAAATATTCATGAATATATCTCGACTTATTACATTAATTCGGGCGACGTTTGACGCGCTTCAAAATGTATAAATTCGGCCTCTGTATTCTTTATTAGGATTCACCTTGAGAGCCAAGGACAGCTCATTTTTATCCCAGGGTGAAGGGCCCTTGAATGACTCGATGCCTTCACGCGATAGTCGCATGCGCAACTCACGCACTAAATCATCGAGATCTCTGAGCGCGCGCACTTGTACGTAGAATCTACGTGCCCATTGGCCCTCGTTGTGGCCTTGTTGCTTGAAATATTGCTGCTGACGGAGATGATTCCACACCTGAAAGATAATTATTATTATTTAATATCATTCGGGCAGGCAGTTGTATAAACTAATTTAAGAAATGCTTTCTACATCCAGGAATGATTAGAGTAATCCATGTCTACTCTAGAGCTTAAGCTCTAAGATAAGGGTTACATTGCTACAAACTAAGCAAGTATTTCATGTAGTACTATGAAGGTAAACATTGATGTTCAGTGAATAAGTCAGAACACAACCTATGTGAAATCTAAGAAATATTGTTTTGTTATCAAAATGAAGTGGAAGGTAATTAATTTTGCTGCTTGCGTAATATACCATGATGATAGAAAAATACCATTTAATTCAAGCAGGCGAATAAGTCGCCAGCGTAGTGTATACGTGCCGCGGCCCGCGATCGTTGTCCTTAAGCAAAAGTTGGTTTCGGGATGGGTGACCATAAGATTACTGTCTCGATTTATTCCGTGCTTCGGAAAGCACGTTCAGCCGTTGGTCCCGGCTACATTTGTAACGTACATTCTGTTCTAATCTGCATTGGGCCAGCGTGGAGGGCAATGGCCCATCCACCTTAACCATCTATAAAAAGACCTGAGCCCCTGCAGTTGGGACGTAAAGTGGCTGTTGATGATCAGTTCAAGCAGGTATTCCAGTAGGTTTTAATTATGACTACAAAACTTTTTGTATGTGAACATTAAACTTCACCTTGTACACATTAAGGAAAGCTATGCAGTCACTCGTTGATCCGTCAGCCCATGTCAGTTTAGAATTGTAAGCATTAAGCCTTTCACGGAATGGACTGTTAAATAGATTCTTCACGGACATTGCAGCAGCTGAAAAACATTTTAATAATAAGAACAATATCAATATGAATAATAACGACATTTGTTTTAACATGAAAAATTACTTGCAGTGCGGTTACCGATTATTTATTAACTATAATTACATCGTGTAAATTAAACATACACGCTGATCATTTCGGGTTGACTGTTACTAAAAGATGTCATAGGCACATCAATAAGAGTAGTTTCGGTAGTGAAAAATAAGTCTCGAAAAATACAAAAGCTAAAATTTTTATCGTAATAAACATCAATATTCTGATTTTGAAACTCGCACAATTATTTTATTATCTTAAAAGTCGAGATTTTTTGTATGTGACATGTGACTAGAAACACGGAAATGTTTGTTTAATATTTTGTGTTTATTAAAATAAACACTTACGAGTATTATTTCAAACAGTAGAATAGGTACCGATTTGTACCGACGACTAACAATTATATTTTTACTCGCCTTAACATATCGTCAATTTAACGAGTTGCAGATTGATATTCTTTACATTAAGTTTTTTAAGTTAAAAATGAAAAAGCAAGTCTTAAAAAACGAGCGATAATATCGACCGGCGCGTACGCGATGATGTTGCTATCAGTACTCAGAGGGTCTGGACGTGCGGGTGTGGCGCGGTAAAGCAAGAACTACTACTGAAATTACTACTGAAATCGCATAACTGAAATCATTTTGACGTCTTTTACTTTATATTTCATAACAAATAGCCGGTTGATATTATTTCGTAAATGGAACCTAGTTAGATTGATTTAGTAGCCCGAAATCTTAATTTCATAGAAGGTGCTGGACCGGTTTCCGAGATTCAGATCATATACTCAAGAATTGCTTGTTTACATTTATTAAGTTAAATAGTATTTTCCTAACAACAAACTTACCCATGATAATACATTCGTCGAGACAACCAAATATGTATCCAAGCATGATGAGCTTGGAGACTCGCACGTCTATGGGCAACTTTGCCATCACACGACCGAGATAAGTCAAATCTCCGTCTGACGGACACCACTCACCATCCGATAATTTCTTCATGGCACCCATCTTAGATTTAACAACAATCATAAGCAACACTCATTTAATTGTTTCGAGACAAAATATTCGATTCTACTCATTATAGATATAGAGTAAGTACCTAACATTAAAAATATTGTCTTTTCTAAAATTTTTAACACAAATTATGTAAATCTATTTGTACTCTACCAGTGCTATTAATAAACAATTTAACTCTAAAATTTCATGGTTTAATATTAGTCCCCAATTTATATTATACAGAGAATAAGCAAACCTACAATCTAGGAGTAAAGATTACTTCCGTAGAACCTTGTCCTAGGTAAACCTTTCCTAAGCCTCTGTTTAATAATATGAATTTTGACTACGTGCAGTACTATACTAAGTGCAGTCTCGGCATAAATTTACTTCAACGCTAAACCTTGTTTATTAATAACACTGTATAATTTTAATGCATATTTCTTATCTCATGCTGTTTACGTATTGTATCTTTAATGGATAAGTCTTTAAAATAAGTTCAAAACAACAGTTCCCGAAACACAAAAAAAAATGCCTTAACATATCTTACCTCTTTGAGCACGAGTATAGTGCGATGAATATTGGACATGTCTGGCGGGTCCATGGCTAAAGCGAGCACATCGCTGGGCGGACCCATGTCTAACATCTTAGCCAATAGAACCAACCGCTCTAATGGACAACGAACTATCTCAGGTGGACATTCTTGAGAAAATGTATCCTGCCGACAAAAATATATATTAGAGTTCATACACCCGGTTTCTGAATTGAGTAGTTGAAGTTAAGCACGCTTCAAACTGTACTTAAGCGTCAGTTAAATAGGTTTTCGTTTTTGATTTTAGTTTTTTAATTATAAGTTGACAATATTCTGATAAAACTAAGACTTTTAACGTTTAACGTAAAAAACTTATTGGGAATAATAACTTTATAACTTTAGATTTTACACTTCTCTCAATTCAGAAACCGGCAGAAACAGACAACGGGCGCTTTCAAATATGTAATGTGTACTAATTGCCTATATCAAAATCTTAAGCCTATGTCCACAAAGCATATGTTCGGGATCCACGGAATACTGGTCATATTTAGACAAACTATCGGAACTCAACTAAAATATATGTGTAAATAAATATATTAATTAACATTTAGGTGATTGTTAAAGTGTAAAAAACTCAATTTTGTAAATACTAATATTATCAAGTTTTGTAAAAAAAAAACAGCCCTTGTAGTTTCTTGCCGGTTCTTCTTGGCACAAGGTCTACCGCCGTAGATTTACGAACCGATGGCATTGAGTTTCAACTTTCACAAGTGCTTGTAACAGACTAGACTGAATAAATGATTTTGATTTGATTTATAAGGAAAGACTTGGTGGTTTCGTTGCATCGAATGAGCTCCAAATCTACTGTACCGGTTTTTAAATTCTTTCACCTACGGGAAACTACATCACAAGCGGGTGACGCGGGCTATAACTTACGCGGGAAACACGCTAGTCTTATATATAATGTACAATATAACAAGACAAATAGAATATAATTAGACTGACATAGAATTTATCTGTGACGAGTCTGTATACGCGGCCGTCACGCACACGTCCAGCGCGGCCGGCTCGCTGCTCACAGTTGGTCTTCGAAGCCCACGCTAGTTGCAGCGACGTAAAGTTAGTGTTCTCATCTGCCACTAGGATCTTCATCAAGCAGAAATCGACCACTGGATAGGTTGGAAGAGAGAAAAACAAATGTAAATTGTTTTTAAAACAAACAAGTACCTAACTACCATATATATCAGAAACTAAAAGGAGATAAGGTGCAGGCCACGGTCAGTATAAGCGATATCGCTAACAAAATCTACAAGTACATGAAAAGCTAAGAAAACATTAAAACGCATATTTAGGGACATAGCGATGATACATGACACTAAAATGTTCAATTCCTTTGCGACACTTCTATTTTTGCAGACAAAAACAAAACAGCTTTGTAATTTGAAAAGTATTAGTGCTTATTTTATACCAGTTTAGTCCATAATGCAGTAACATCGGACACGCCCATTCGCCCTCTGTAGAGACACAACAATAGTGTTCAAACACTCTTGAAGAACTATAGGCCGATCCCGCTGTTGAGCCATATCTAAGAGTGTTTTCTAGGGTGATTACGAATCGTCTTGCCCGCGGGTTTGATGACTTCCAACCTCCCGAACAAGCAGTCTGAAGAGACTATAGTACCTCAGACCACATTCATACACTGCGGTAAGTTATACAGAAGACTGAGGAGTATAATCTGCCACTTTACATTTGTGGAGTACGATTCGATCGAGACATGGGTACTAATAGCTGTAATTTTGAAAGAACTGTACACCCTGTTCAAAGATCTTAGTAGTAGTTTCTCAAAGAGTGGGTTTGAAGATAAGCATGGCAAAGACAAAAATCATGTCCTGAGAATCCAGCTCAAATGAGCAGCATTTAGGAAGGAAAAAATATTCGCGTCCGATTTACCTCAGTGTATCAAGACAAGTCTTCGAAAAACGACCAGTGTATGTTGCCAGTGATGACGAGGTCGTTTACTATAGGTCTCATAAGAAGACTCAAACTCACCCAGCGGGCAAAGGAGAGAGCAATACTTGGTGTTTTCCTACGCGATCTAATAAAAACGAAAATATGCGTAGGAGAATAAACTAAGTGACAACGCTCGAAGGATTGCTCAGCTCAGTGGGTAGGTTCCAACCAAGTGGACCGACGATCTAACAAAGATCGCGGGGAGCCGCTGGAGGCGGGCAGCACAGGACCGATCGTCGTGGATACCCACAGAGGAGGCCTATGCCCATTAATATTTTGCTTTAATTCTGTATAGATTGACCTTAAAATCAATTATGTCTATTAGAAATGAACTCAATAATATCGAGTTTTTGTATACATATGTTATTTCATAACACACTAAAAATTCAAATCCATGCTATGAGCAAAAAACTAAAATCGAACGATCGACATCAGAGTATTTCGTCATTCAAAAGTTAAATAATAACAAGTTCAATTAAATATACTCTATATGAGTATATAACTCGTTAATAACAATAACATTTTAAAACTGTGTACAACAACGTATATATTAAAGATTTCTCTGCCCACTTACCATATTTAATGTCGGGTACTGTAATGGAGCTCTCGGCGATGTTAGTGGCAAGTATAATCTTGCGGGCGCCGGGCGGCGCTCGGTGGAAAACTCGCACTTGCTCGTCAGCAGTTATGGTCGAATGTAATGGCAAAACGTGCCAGTTGTACTGAGCACACTCGACATCTCCAATTTTCTTCCTATCAATATACAAATTTCAATCAATTTGTGATTATATTTATTTGAGGGCGACTTGAAAAGCGGTAAAATTATTTAAATAATAATCACTCAGATATTTTCTTGTTATAATTTTCTATAGCCACACAGTACGTAAACACGAGATAGGACTGCCAGACTACAGTTTTCGAATAAGATATTCACTAAGTACTAAAGTAAAAAAAAAATCCATCAGATCATATACCTCAATGCAGTGTCCATCAAACAGTTATAAAGTTCTTCAATTTCGTTAATACCCGGCAAGAAAATCAGAACTGAGGGCAACTCTGCGTTAGATCTGTCTGTATAATTGTCTTCCTGTTTATCAATTTGTTCAAAAGCATTCAATAATTTTATCACAAGATGATACATTTCAGGAGCGATGCCGGGCTCACCCTTCTTTGGTGTAGAATTTTGCAAAATCTAAAGAAGAAATACACATTCTATAAACAATTATTACATCATCATCAGCCGTAAGACGCCCACTGCTGAGCATAGACCTTACCCTCCACACTCTCCACGACGATCGGTCCTGCGTTGCCTGCATCCAGAGGCTTTAGTGTGTGTTGCCAGTGATAACTTACGAAAGCGAAACGTGGTCGTTCACTATGGGTCTCATAAGAAGGTTCAAGGTCACCGAGTGGACAATGTAGAGAGCAAAACTTGGTATTTTTCTACATGATCGTATTAGAAATGAGGAGATCCTTAGAACTAACGTTTCTGATATTGCCTGAAGAATTGCTCAGCTGAAGTGGCAATGGGCGGAACACATAGCGAGAAGAACTCTTGGCCGTTGGGTAGAAAAGTTCTCGAATGGCGACCACGTACCGGACTACACTCAGTGGGTAGGCCACCCTCAAGGTAGACCGACGATCTTATATTGATACATAAGCAAAGAATTAAAAAAAATAGTAGTAAAGTAGTAATATAGCAAAAGAAATTGAACTCACCGATCCAAACTTGCTTAAGTGGTTCAAGTAAAAAGTTTTCACTGTAAACATTTGTTCATTCTTTGTCACTTTAATGCAGGATGACATTTGGAGTCCTTTAGGTGTCGGTATAAGGAAATAATCGGCAAAAGCTTTCCTATTGAAGGTAGCTGACATTAGAACAACTTTGACTCCTGGGGACACAGTGTAGAGCAATCGTTTCACAACAAGAAGTAGGAAGTCCATTTCTTGGCCTCTTTCGTGAACTTCATCCAGAATTATGTGAGTATATTCATTCATAGTCTTTGAAGCAACTGTAAAGTTAATAGTAAACAATTTCAATTAATTAATTTCTTTACCAGCAACATTTTCTTTACATACTATGGCTGGCTTTTTCTTTTGAATGCGTAATACCTGAACTAAATAAGCGCCATAGCTAAATATCACAATAGTAAAGTTATGAGGTACTCTAAAGATATACAGATATACAAAGACGTTCTCTATAGAAAACATCGGGGATTTTTGTGTTTGTAGTGAAGTATAATAGGTACACGTACAAATTATTACGAGCGGCGACGCATACACACGGGCGCGCTCAGATACAAACCGTTTTCGTTACATATGTATGAATACTCTGACAATATTGTGTTGAAACTACGACCAACCCATTTTGATACTTTTCCCCAATTTTTGTATATTATTTTAGTATTTCTATGGGGTGCTTCGTTATCGCTACTCCCGCACATTTTTACACAACTGCCCAAGAAATGGAGTGCATTGTGTTTAGATTACTGATTTTTGAAATCTAAACGCAACAAAATAACATGAAACTGGTTAAAATTATAAGTTCTCAGTTTTAATCGTCGTGGTCAGTTCAAATTTCCTTGTAAATATCATTATCAAAGATTTTTAATAGCAGTCGATTATTTTGTTTTTAAAGCTGAATACAAGTGCACAAAAATTTTATTTCTGAGCCATAACTTGAATAGCTTTGTCAAATAGTATTATATAGCGAAATTAAGGTGATACTCTGTTCAGCAATAAGCTATTTCAAGCTATACTCGCTTATTAATGTCTCATGAATAGCAAAAAAATATCATATCTATTCAGATATATGTAGTCGAAGGAGCTGTTTTTCAGCTTTAAACCACTGACTGCGTGATGCTTAAAAAATGGTGTATAATATTTTTACTAAGACGATTATTAAGCATAAAAAAAGGAGAACATAAATACAGAATTTGTCAAGCACTAAGAATTATATGAGTCCGAACTCAACTTAATTCAGCATTTGGATATTATTGAAGCTTTTAAACAAACAATATTCATCTTTAAACTGTAAAATACTTTAAATGTGTACTACTTGTGTGTTACTTGGGTAGGGACTTTTTCAATACTTATAGAAAATTAGTAAAGTACAAGTCTGACGAATTAACACGACACCTAGCTCAAAATTCCATACTCCCCACACTACCTCACACAACTGTCGCCATACGAACTCAATAGCGATAGCATATCTGTAGCGCATCCGAATTTTTGAGTTATTCTTTTGCTGTGTTATATTATTATCGGACTTTTGTTAAGTTTTTGTAAAGTTTGGACGCTTTTTTTTAATTGTTTGTTTAACTTAAAATAAGATATACTAAACCTGTTAATAAGTTCAAAATGACAGATTTTTGTACGCTACTTTGCATAAACAACATTCTAGTCAGGTGTCATGTTAATTGGCCTGACTTGTACTACCTTTTGCCTTTGACTTCTTCTTTCAGAATTAGTATGTATTTATTTTTTTGCCACTACCTCCAATATTTTTATCAATTAGTTTGAATATAAAACACAAACCGTCACAGTAACTTTCATATATATAGTAAGGAATGTTATAACAAATGATGCAACAAATAATTATATGATTAAAATAATTTAAGAATAACAATACACATAAAACAAATTACTATTTGGCTGTGAACCCTCAAAAAACAAACGCTTCCGCACATTATTTTAATTATCTATAAATTGTTAATTAAGGGTGAATCTATGTTATTAAAATTATTCCTACAGATGGCAGTAATTAGTTGGTCGTCTTGATTTTATGTTAATAATGACATACTAATGCTGGCTCTCGATGTCCTTTGCATCGTATGATCGTCACATACAACAAACAATTTCAAACTTTCTGTTTCAATTTTTTATAATAACTCGATTAGGTACAAGAAACAGATAGTAGATTTGCTTTCAAGTACATACACCCACGTTTACACACTTTGCACAAAATTGTGCACAGTTCGCCAATTAATGTCAAGTATTAATTTGAGCTTTGAAGGAACCCCAGCATTTTTCCATTTTTATATACAGTTGTATTTTGGTTATTACGGATGACCTAGTGCGCTGTCAACCGTGAAAACAACCGTTATTTTTATCATTAATGTGGCCTAGCACACATAGACATGAATACATAGGTAATACTGTAATCAAATTAACTATAACCTCAGATACTCATAAGCTAAAACATAAACTATACCATAACGAAACACTATGGTAGTGTTAATTTATCTTATTTATATTGCTTTAATTTTCTTACTTATTTCAGTAATAGCAATGAATACCATTACAGATGTAACTTTTATACTTGTTATCAGAAATAGGATACAAGCATAAGCTAAGAATCCAATTAATTTATTAGAAAAAGACAACATTATACATCAAAATCTAATCATAGAATATTATTAAAATGCCGTTTTAAAAATTACTACACGCTATATCTTCTTTATTTAATATAATATCTTCTCAACATTTAGCTAGAGATTGCTACCTTAGCAATAAGGTAGCCTTTTGTGTTACTGTATCTAGTTTAATTCACTTTTTAAATGTATTTCATAGTGCAATATAGAATATTTATTTATTAATTATAATCTTGAACTAGCCTAATTACAATTAATTTCTCAAAAATTAAATTACCAAAATGGTTCCTGCATTCTAAGTTCAATAAGTAAAACAAGGCTATCATTGTAGAGTTTATAATAAGTAATGTATGTAAGAATGATAGCTTAATTTAGGATGAATAGTTAACTTATTTGTGGTCCTATCAATAAATAATAATAAAAATAATGTACAGTCAACAGCACCTCAGATTGTACAAATTTGTCAAATTTAATTAATCCAATGACGATAGTTTAAAATCAATAACGGAAATTTGACATATTGTGATAACCTGACATGCAGTTAGTTATGTATACCTATCATTTGAACAAATATTGTCACTACCCATTCAATCTCTTTGTAAAAAGAGCAGTATTTGTATTCATATTTATAGAATATTTAAATTGAAAATCATGTTTGGTATTCATTGCATTACTGGTTTTAAGTAGAAGTGAAAATGACCTAGCAGATTCTTTGTTTACCTTTACCATTGAATGTGTGTAAACACCATTAAAGCTCATGCAATGGATAACAAAAAACAAACGATCTACAATGACATATTTAAATTCCAGTTACTACCAGATTTAACAACATTTTGCCATTACATATCGCTCCCAGTGCGACACTGTTACATTATCACACCAAGTAAAGGGGGCTTTAGGACAATTATTACATATTTAACAAATTTTTGTATTTTTTGCAAAAGTGACAGTGTCACACCGGGGGTGCGATATCTGATAGAGTAATCAATCACTTAATTATCTAAAGTCTATACTAATAATATAAAAACGTAAACTTTGTTAGTTTGTTTGTAGGGGGTAATCTTCAGAAATACTGATCCGATCATGAAAATTCTTCACCTATGGGACACTTCATCATATGCAGGTGACATAGGCTATATATTACGCCAGTGAGGTCAATGGAAAATAGCTACTTTAAAAAATTAAAAAAGAAATAGACCTACCTAGTTTTTGCAATAAAACACCTGTAGTAACGTAATGAATTCTGGTGTCCGACGATGTTTTGTTGTCCAATCCAACCTGTATGACAATTACATTGATATTCAAACTTATAACAAGTTGATAAAAAAATATCTTAACACCCAGAATCACTAGGTCATTAAAATGTTCCAATTGCTTCTCAGTACTAAAACTGTTATTGCCAATAGGAACCCAAAATTAAGCTTATTAGGTATCTATTGCATTTCTGTGATATATGCTTTTAAAGGTTGAGTTGATGAACATTAGTATTATAATTGAACTTCAGATACTCCATAATGTGAGGGCTCTAGATACTCTTCTTGATATGTGAATGATGTATGTGATGTAACCTAATATTTATTTATTATTATTTATACATAGTATCCAACAGTCGAAATAACAAAACCGCACCTGATATCCAACAAGCCCCCCAACATCCCATCCCCGTTCCTGTGCAACTCTCTTAGCGATCGATATTGCAGCAATACGTCTGGGCTGGGTTACTATGATCTTGCATGGCTTCCGATTCTGATAGCAACTGTCTAATATCCACTGTGGCACTTGAGTTGTCTTACCACATCCTGTGGGACCTTCTATGATTACCACAGGGAAACCACATATACGGTCTAGAATCTAAAAAAAAAATGTCTAATCAATTCGTAAATCAAATAATATCAAACCCCATACAAAAATTGTTTCTGAAAATCATAAAATTTGATGTAGAACAATAATGGGTATTATTAACACACCTGTTGTTTATATTCATTAATAGCCAAATTATTAGTATCCTCCTTCCTCTGAAATGAATATTTATTGTACACCTCTGTCATTGCCTCTTCCGTTAACTCCCCAAAGTTCTGAAGTGAAGCCCCCCATGATGACAGTTGTTCAAGAGATTCTAATCCACCAGAATGACTCTCCCATTTATCTCTTTCTATCTCATTCTATAAATCAAACCCAAAACATTGAATATAAAAAATTTGCGAGCATAAGTTAAAGGTCAATCAAATTACATGAATTTCAATTAATGAATAAATTTAATGAAAAAATAATTAATAAATTTATAGCCATAATAAGGCTCAAGAGTTACTAAAACATATCTCAAAAAACCGCCCGATACATAATTATTAGTTTTTATGGAGTTGTAAATGAGAAAGTAGGTACCCTGAGATAAAGATTAGTTTCTTTCTCCTTAATTTCGCGGGCGTAGTCAGTCCCACTGGGAACTATGGAGTGGCGGTGCTCCTCACGCCGATTCAAAAGATTTATTGTGTCTTCTTTGGTCAATCTGAGGCCGCCCGTCATAGGCCCTCGAAGTTTAATAACTTGAGCGCTCGATGGGCAAGGACTGTTAAAAAATTCTCGCAATTCGTCCATTTTTATAAAAACTAGAAAAATATCTAAAACAGCATATTTAATTATTGCTAGATAATCAAATTAAAGTGGAATAAACAGAAAACTATTATTTATTTATAAACTGCGAAACAAAGCACAACGGCGACCAGAATCGAGCCTCACAGACCATGAAGAAGATAGAATTTTATCTATAAACGAAACGAACTACCACGAACCTATGAACGAGAAAAACCGATAAGAATAGGGATGTTCGATATTAATAGATGGTGTATAATTAAACATTGATATTATATTCTTTAAAAACTTGTCTTAATGGTGAACAAATAATAATGATATAAATAAATTGTCGTAGTTCGTTTTATTCTCATCATATGTATCAAGACTTAATGACTAGTTTGTAATTTTTAAAAATGCAATGGCGCACTAAGTGAGGACTAAGGTGGTACGCCTCGGGCCTCGGTCTTGGGGAGCCTGAAAATGACTGCAAGTCCTTTTGATCAAATCGTAAATTCGTGTTAGAGGTCCCGTAGAAAAATAGGTACAGCTTGTAGTAGTAGTTTACATTTTTTTTTCAATTAAAATTACTTTAACTGTCTTCTCTTTCTAATATCTAGTTTCGTAGTTTTTTGCCTCTAATGGGGTTAGTCCGCTACTGTGCACATTTGGCCTAATTACGTAATCGTGACTAAAAATCTGTCCTAAATGTTTCTTTTCTAATTTATTAATTCTCACTAATAGAATAGGTATTATTAATAATTTTATTAGCATTTTGTTTTAAACTTACATGATCATTAACATCAGAATAACTGCTAAAAACGGGATTGCTGCCAGATATCTTAATTTATTAGTGCTATAAAATTTTACACAAACAAGTTTTTAACGTTAATAGCAGCAAGTTAGTCAAGGACTGTATTGCAGTTCTTTAGCACCCACTTCAGACGAGTTCGATATACACAACTAAAAACAAAAAAGATCAGGAAAATAAACACATACAGTGTGGAAGTGAGTACTGCGATTGTGTAAGTGTTGATGTGTGTTAACAATTACTGTATTATTAGTTTTTCAATATCATAATACTCGAATTTAAAAGTCATTCTATAATATTTCATTAACTGTATTATAAATAATCGAACTCAATTGTGAATATTGCTGTATCACTAAATAAATTCGAGACTTTTTAACTTTAAAAGAATATCAGCTCTTCTATTTACTACTAAATTGGGATCGTAAGAACAGAACAAATGTTTATGTATGTAATATAGTATTAAAAATGTATAATTTCCCAACGGTCAGAAACTACCACAGTTCATACAGCTGAGTAGTTGGATACGATAATTGGTTTTATTGGCATTATCTTCAATACTAGATTGTTTATTAAACATCGGTTCAGTCAATCAGACAGAATGTAACCTATTTAGAAATGAAGTGTTTATATCACAATAAGATATAATAAAATGAAAACATCTGTATAGTTTCATTTTTTTTTTTGCTAAATGTTGTCTCAGAAGTATCATAAGTGTGTATCGCGTCTGCGCCGTACGTGATCGAGAATAATGATGAATGAGATTATCTCAATTTTATTGGTCTAACTACAATTATTTATTAAAAAAGTAATAACATAATAACAATTTCGATAAAATTTTGATTCACATATTTATTTTCCTTTTTTGTATGTTACATATTAAACATATTCTTTTAATAAAATCAACAACAACAAAGTCACAACTATATAGAAAATGCACAAACGTACGACCTCATACGACATTTCAACACAATGTATGGTTGTAATTTATTGATTACAAAAAAAATAAAAAATACGTGTTTAATATTCTTTTATAATCCACAGAAAAACAAAAATTAGATATCATTCCTATTACTTTATATTTTAAGCGTTTGTTTTAATGTTACCTTTTTAAGAATTTTGTAGTTGGTTTTCTCTTATAAGAATATCGATATTATGATCATCCCTATGTTATAGTACTTTTGTTGTTGTTGTCATAGAACTAAAGGCAAAGGAATTCAGCCCCCACAAACACAATATAGTCCCCGTAAATTGTCAATTCACGCCGCCATTATGAGACCGAATTGCGTTCAAAAATCAGTACCGTTACCAAATAAACACTGTATGACGAGTAGTACATTTATTTAGTTGGGTTGTGTTGAGATCACACATCATTTTTGTTGGTTTTTGATCGTTATTGTTAAGTTTCGTTGTTACTTGTTATGGTTAACTAAAAAAGCAACTGCTACTAAGATTTTCATAATAAGTAAACATAATTTCACCAATATCTCTCATTTCATTGTTACTTTTGATTATGTTTAAAAAATATCCTTACCTTTTGATATCGCGTTATGACAAAGTAATGTTATTTATTACTTTACCAAAAATTAATGAAATAAACTAACAAACTCAAAATAGTTAAATTATTTTAACAATATTTTGAGGAATATTCATAAATATTTCAATAATTTATAAACAATTTATCTCTTCTCTTTTATTCTATCTATACTTTCTATTTTCATTTGACGTCGCTCGCGTGTTATTTATTAGACAAGGTTCCAGCGCATTAGGAATTTATGGGACTTCGACTAAAATCAAATTTATATTTTCGTAAAGAATAATGTATGAGAAAATACAGGATTAACTTTGCGTCGAGGCAATGTTAATCCTGTATTTTCTCATACATTATTCATTTTAAGTTCCAATCGGGGACATTACATACATAATTAATCACAATTTCATATGTAAGGACCTAATATTATTAGTTTCAACATGTTTGTGTATGAAAATACTTATTTAAATATTGATAAAAAAAATTCAACTTTAGTCATTGTTTGCCCTATAACAAGAGGTTTTTGTTGGTTAAGATTGAAACACTTTTGATGATACTTGTTATGGTTGAATAAAATAACAATTGCTATTATAATTTTCTCAATAACTAAACATAATTTCACTAATAAATATATTTAATGTCACTCATTGCATTATTATTTTTAGTTATATTTTAATAAAATGTCCTGTCCGTTTGTTATTATGTTATTGCAAAATAAATGTTATATTTTAATTTTTTTTTAAATTTCCATATACTTCATTGAGATATAAAATGATTCTTTCCAAAAATTATGTGCAATAAATTATCAGAGTGAAAGTTGTTAAATTAGTACAACAAAATTTTAGGGATTATTCATAAAAAATAATAATTAACAAATAATTTATGTCGTGCATTTTGTGCTATCTATACTTTTGTGCTATCTATAAACACGTGAGTGTTATTTAGACAAGGTTTTAGCACATTATCAAATTATGGAACTTATACTTGCTTCAATGGATAAATATTTGTATTGAATCTTTTCGAATAATCTTGTTATTGGAGTTAATCATATTTCAAAATGGAAAAGCGATTTATATTAAACAAAAAAAAAATATATATATATATATATATATGCACGCACGACACACAAACAAATCGATATCACATTTTATAATGAGAAAGTATTTTAAAAAAAATGAAAGAACTAAAAAGGCACCTCCATTAGATGACGACTCTAGCAAATGTTGATTTTTGCAGGAAACGAATGGACCACAGAGAGTCATTTCCGTTCCTTTTAACTAACATAATTATTAAAAAACTGAAATTTCAAAAGTTTGAAGCTTAGATATCAATACAATTACGAAAGAGTACGAATAGAATATGAGTTGTTTATTGAGTTTTGAAAAATAATTTACTTTTAAACACGAAAGAAAACCGGAAGGGTTGTCATGGAGAAATCAAGACATAGGGCGCTTGTGCACTACACTGAATTTTCATGTCCGGCGGTCAGATTTTTTCAGGTCCGATATGTCAGGCCATATATAGGTGGTAATGCTAGCCTGTGCACTGTTAGGAATTTTACCGTCCGGGATTTTACTTTTCTCTATTCCGGACCGGTTTTTTCAGGTCTGTGATGGCGGCAATGAAAAACGTGTTTACGCTTGTGCACTGCTGTGTCCGCGATCCGAAAAATTCATAAGGAATAGGCTTGGGAAAAAATAATCTATTTGTGTATAATTGATTTCGGCGATATTGTTAATTTCCAATAAACTTATAATCGATATTTATTGTAGATTATAAAACGCTATATTTTATATGATGATTTAATATAGTTGGTAAATATCACTGCATATGCTTTGGCAAACTCGGTATAGTTTGAATTTATTTATAATTTGATCAGCATATGGTTCTAGTATCGATACTTAGCTAGATTTTAGAATCGTATTAAAAGTATCGATAACTTAAGGTAAGATAAATAATTGTTGTTACTCTTAGACGCCTAAACAACTGAACCCATCTTAATGGAAATTAATATAGTTAATAGACTAAACTTTAAGAAAGAACATAGAAAGGCTACATTTTATCACGAAAAATAGGGGATGAAAGTTTGCTTGGAAGTTTTTCATTATCAAATTTTTTTTAGACAATTGATAAGTATAGATAAATGTTTGATAACAGAAGTAATATTAAAGAATAAACAGAAGATTAACAGAAATTATTAAGTGACACTCAATGTCTTTTTCGCATTTAATAAAATGTGAAATGACTGTTTGTGTCATAAATAAATTAAAAAATAGAAGTATTCTAAGGGAAAATATTTTTGCTCAAGGAAACTACACCACCCGTATAAAATTATGCCTATATATAATACAGTCAACTGATCTCGTAAAGTTCATTTAGCATATTAATTCTCCGCTTATATGGCACTAATTTCGATTTGTTTACGAAATACCGATTGGTCTATCTCTGTAATCGTTTAAAGTTGTTTTTACAAAACTTCGAAAAAAAATAGCACGTAAACATTAAGTACTTGACTATTATCATCAGTAATTTTATTCTAATGTTACAGATATTTTTAGTATGTGAATAATGCTGTTACTGAGTTAGTAAAGGTATAAGTTTTTACATCTGATAGTAGTCATCCGATAGTAGTAAAAAAATGCTTTCGTCTTGCCATAATTTATTATGGCTTATGTGAAATGATCAGGTGATTATTTAGGTATCTTTCTACGTCTTCGAACGGAATTACCGACGTTCCAAAAATCTCATCGTACCTAGCGTAAGTGACGTGTAGCTTCAAAAAGAGCTGCACTACACTGCGCCGCTCCGATCAGGAAAAAAACGGACAAGTGCACAA